GACATTACTGAATGTGTACACTGCCAATTACCAGGTAATGTAGACACAACTGATCATGAGTTTTTTTTATCACCAGAAGATCTTAATTAATTTGGTGTGTTCAATGCAATAAATCAAATATTTCATTTATTATTCAAATATCTTCAAATAATAACTATAGTAGCAGCTTTATTTCAGGAAAAAAAATTATTTATTCAAAACAAACACTTTGTATACTAAAAGTAGTTACATGCAAACTGTATATCCTTGTGAAAAGTCCTTTTTTCAAATTCGTATGAAACATGATCAAAACTGAAGCAAAATTAAAAAAAAAAAAGATTATTCACAGAATATGTATCCCCCGCTAAAGAAAAAGGGTGTCCTCTACCTTTTCCCATTTTTTAAAAATCTCAATTACACCTATTCCCACATGCTTATAACAATAGATGTTTAGATAGTTTAACGATAATTAAACTAATTGCATCCCCTCTTAGATTTACCTGTATTTTGTACATTTTAAGACAGAAATTAATAAATTTTCATATTTACGTTGATCGAGTGGTTAAAACATGCATGATATTCACAATCTACGACTTTTGTAGGGATTAGACAGAAAAACAGAAAAAAAACAAACATTTATCTTACAAATGCAACAATTAAAACTTGTCTAGGGGGTGGGGGTGGGGGGGGGGGGGGTCAACACATCGCTTGGAGGAGTCGCAAAATAAAGTGAAATTAATACTTTTGTGTTGTTTTTATACTGCCAATACCTTTTTAGCTCACCTCGACGAAGTCGAGATGAGCTTATGCTATACCCCCGGCGTTGGCGTCGGCGTCGGTGTCGGCGTCGGCGTCGGCGTTAGCGTCGGCGTCCCAGGTTAAAGTTTTAGGAGCAAGTCCATTCCCAAGTAACTATAAGCCCTACCTGAACCAAACTTGCATGGATGATGCATCTAGGGATGTACACTACAAGACTTGCTTCGGATGCTGGATCTGACCTACATTTTCCAGATGAGTGACCAGGTTAAACTGGAGCAGGTTAAAGTTTTTGGACCAGGTCCATTCCCAAGGAATTATAAGCCCTACCTGAACCAAACTTGCATGAATGATGCAGCTAGGGATGTACACTACCAGACTTGCTTCGGATGCTGGATCTGACTTACATTTTCCAGATGAGTGACCAAGTTAAAGTTTTTGGAGCAGGTCCATTCCCAAGGAACTATAAGCCCTACTCGAACCAAACTTGCATGGATGATGCATTTAGGGATGTACACTACCAAACTTGCTTCGGATGCTGGATCTGACCTACATTTTCTAGATGAGTGATCAGGTCAAAGTTTTTGGAGCAGGTCCATTCCACAGGAACTATAAGCCCTATTTGGACCAAACTTGCATGGATGATGCATCTAGGGATGTACACTACCAGACTTGCTTCGGATGCTGGATCTGACCTACATTTTCATTCCCAAGTAACTATAAGCCCTATTTGGACCAAACTTGCATGGATGATGCATCTAGGGATGGACATTACCAGACTAGCTTCGGATGCTGGATCTGACCTATATTTACATTCCCAAGTATCTATAAGCCCTAGCTAAACTAACCTTGCATGGATGATGTATCTAGGGATGGACACTACCAGACTTGCTTCGGATGCTGGATCTGACCTATATTTTCATTCCCAAGTAACTTTAAGCCCTAGCTTAACCAAACTTGCATGGATGATGCATTTAAGGATGGACACTATCAGACTTGCTTCGGATGCTGGATCTGACCTATATTTTCCATACAAGAGACTTGGTTAAAGTTTTGGGAACAGATCAATCCGAATGAACTTGAAGACCTTGATATATGCAGTATTAACAGTTATGAATATTTGTTTACACTATACATATTTTTCACGCTACAGGCTTAGAAATGTGTATATGCCAATTAAGGGGTTAAACACAACTTGCAAGAATATTGTTGTTGGGATGAATACTAAATATTAAGAAAATATGATGTGAGATTTGCATTACTTAAACTGATAACATTCGTCGAGGTGAGCTTCGTAATCTTCGATTACCTATGTTTATTTACTCGTAGATATCTAGAAATCGATGTTTGCTTAATTCCTTTATAATTTGAAGTTTCGACAAGAGATTTTTTCTATGAATTTATCAGTTCTAGAAAAAAAGCAATATCCATGTACAAGTGGATTCTTCGGAGCACGTGTGCTTGGGGACAAGACCCTTTCCTCAGTATATATGTAATTTTCTTACATCACAAAAAAGAAATCACGAACCTCCACTTCCAACAATAACAGCCTCTCCATAAGAAAACAACCAGGTATTTATTAATAATTTCCTAATAATATCAACCTTTTTTTATTAGAAAAAAGGAAAACAGCCCCGCCCCTGACTTGGGGGGGGGGGGGGTAGAAATTTTCTAACTGGTATGTGCTCTCAATCTAGTCCACAGATAACATTTATAATTGAATTATTAATTTATCATATAAGTAACACATTTTCAGACACCAACGAATGAGAATATTTGGGGATAATCTGGGGTTAATACAAATATGTTAATATACAGGAAGAATGCTGAAGTAGGGACTGAATTGCATATTTCCCCAAGCGCTGGGAATGCAAAAATAAAACCCAAACCTTGAACAGAACAGATACCAAACTATTTCTTCACTGCATACATATTGATGATACCCTCCCTTACCTTTTCGCAAATACTCTTACACTGAAATTTGACATACATGTATAATTAACACAGGTAGATGAAATATTCTTTTACAGACACGAATTTTTTTTGAAAGGGGGCAATCAGTACTATACATTCATAGACAGGATTCGAGGGCAAAATACGGTTTGTCTGACCAAAGAACCAAACTGTTTGCCCGAGGCTGTAAGGCCAAAGGCAAATAATTTTGTTAGAGGGGTCGACGAAACGCATTTTTGCCCGAGAACACATTCGATAAATAATTTCTTACACGTATAACTTTTACGTGGTACTGTTTATTATGATTTTATCATGATGAAATTTTGTTAACCTGCACCGCAGTTTAAACTTGGTCAATTCTGACAGCTGACTTTGCCCACACTGTGACATAAGCGGTGCAATATCTCATCGACAGGTCCAACATCTCGCTCCTATAGTCAAGCAGCGATTTATCTGACCGCTCAGAAAAACAGTAGAAAAATTCTATATTTTCTATTTTATTTTTCAAACACAATTCATTTCATACAAAACATTCATGATCTTTGTGACAGAATTGTGTAGATTTACATACATAAAAGAGATAGAGAGAAAAAAATCACATAAAGGTTGGTTTCACCTGTTCAACTGAGTGTCAAATTGTTCTTTTTCACCATTTTTACACGATATGTATTTTCTGCATACTTTAGGTTCTACATTTTAGTACAGTTTCTTTACAACAATTTTTCAAAAGTATGACAAAAAATAATAAACTATCGGAAAAATATTGACAAGCAAAAAAAAAGTGCGTTGGTGTATATTATATATAGATATAGTGAAAATGAATTATTATTTCTCTGAAAATCTTCTTTTCTGTTCCTGGGTATTGAATAAATTAACAAAGTACATAATTATGTTGAATAAGGCTGCCTCTTCCAAAATTGTGTTAAGGTAGGGCTCTATTGATTACATAGTGATAATGCATAAATTCCTTAAATTTTTTTTTTCTACACTTGGGTAATAAACCAATAAACTATGTAAAATCTTGTACAGCCCCCCCCCCCCCCTGTTCAAACTATCGCAAGGTTATGAGTGACATGGTGGCGCTACAAAAGTTTTTGACGACGACTCAATGACATGACGTCATAATACATTTGCTTTGCAACAAGAGGAGAAGGTAAGTGTTCATAACTAATTCAATTTCTACTGATTTACTCTTTTCAAAATCGTATTTTAAAGACGAACAAATGCTGGCGAATTGATGCAATTGAGCGCTAAATGAGACAATTTAAAAAAATAAATTCCTTGAAAATTATGTTTCTATATTAATTTATGTAGGCCTATAATGCTAATATATTTATCGTGACGTCATAATAATGTGACGTCTCAGAGGTCTTTGACGATGAACTAATGACATCACAATAGCATTGGCTTTGCAACCAAAACAAAAGAAAGGTGTACAGTGTGAGTATTACAAATTTGAAGTATGCAGTAAATTTACGAACTGGATTGCCTATGGTCACTGGTGTATACTTTTTTGTGGGGTGGGGTCGGTAAAGGAGGTACCAAACCCCAAATGCTTAAAAATACTTCATCTTTAAATCTGCGTCGACTGGATATACAAACATATTTATCCATAAAATAATTCTGCAAAAGGGTGAGGGGGGTTATCAAAAAGATTAATATACAGCGTTTAAACATACAAGAAAAAAATGCAGAGATTCTCATCAATGTGTATTAAAAATCTTTTCATGTCCGTATTATATTATATATAATGGTGTTTATTATGGATAGAACAATATATACTTAAGAATTATCATTTTCCTTGCAGATTTCAGAATGGCGTTTAAAATTGATTTCGAGGAAGTGCTAGATTTTGGAGAGGAGGCGGTGAAGAGTGTGGTAAGATTCTATGTTGAATTAACATTGACATTACCCCCCGCCCCTCCCCGACTTTATGTACTTTATATGTGTAATATCATAGTTATTTTTTTTCAGGACGAAAAGATGAACATATTAAAATTTACATACAACTGGGCTGATATAGTGGAGGAAGAAGAAAAATTAAAGCAAGAGGTATTTTGATTTGATGCACAGTAATCTCAACATATTTTGAAATACCTTAATAAACATGATTGCATAATATTGCAAAGTAAAGTGTTGATTACGTTGATAGTTCTAAATCAAAAAAGAAAGAAAACTTATTGTCACTACAATTTTTAATGTTGTGTTTTCACTGGGATGCTAAAAAAATTTATTTGTTTGCAGACAAAGATCGAGGGAAAAAAACGGGACCCGCAAAAAATATTGAGGAGAAACCACGAGAAAAGAATGGTAAGATTTATTTAATTTTTTTATTTTTATTTTTTTTTTTTATATTTTTTTTGGTCAGTGTAAAATACTCTCCTGTTTCATTACTTAAACCATTTAACAAAATATGTTGATGTTCATTGCAGAAGGAAATTGAAGACAAAAGGCGACACAGGCTGTTGTTGAGCCAGGTTCATGGGGAATTGTTGGTAAGCATATAGAATATTTTATAAATGTGATCAGTACGTGATAAACACATATACATTTTAAAAACAACCCGCTGTTTCATTAAAATTATGTACCATTTGTTTTAATTATTACAGAAAATCTTCAATGCTAAACAGAGAAAGCGAGATCACCAAAAAATATTAAAGCTCAACCATGGGATACGTATGGTAAGAAATAAGACCCAAACATACATATACAAAGTGTACAAAAAAGAAAAGCAGAGAATTAGAGATTATTAAATATCTAACGTAAAGCCGTTTTGCTTTTTTTTTTATTGCAGAAGAAGATTGCGACAAAAAGAAAGACGAATGAACTTATCATGACATCATATAAACGATTACTGGTAAGAAACCAACGGATCTCTCAAAAATAGTAGATTTATACAAGATGCTATAGTTTTCAGAAAATAAAAGGAAACAATTTAACATGTGTTTTTTTCTTTGTAGGAAAGATTCGAGGCTAAGAAAAAGCATGCAGAATTACTGAAGACTGTCCACAATGAGCTATTGGTAAGTACATACTTAAGTTTTACTGTTGACATTGCTATAGCTGATAAAGACAGTTTGTTTTATTTAGCTTTTATTCTTGATTGTAAACTTCTTTATAACTTATAATTATGTAGACTAAAAAAATCTTACCTTTTAGGCATCCAGACTTGTAGTTTTTATGTTCATTTAACTATAGTATTCAAACTGTATAACTTCTCTATTTAGAGTGTGATGAAAAAAGAACAAAACAAAGATACAACTGGAGAGAAAACACTGCTAACTAGACTCAAGGTACTACATGTATTTAAGATACAGAAAATATAATTTAACAATATATTAATGTATATTTTCTCTGATATAACCTACATTTATTTATTGTTTTTATTTAAAAAAGAAAATATTACATTGCAGGAACTGGCAGACAAAGCAAAAGAAATGGTCAAAAGGATGTGTTTTCAGTGGTTTTGAAAAAAAAAGTGTCGGACAAATTTTACTTCATTCACATATTAATTTTTGGATTAAACGTAGTTAACCTTTAATCGAGTTTTCTTTTTTATCAATTAAACATATGCAGTTATCTACAAAATTAAAAGTATGTGATCGCAGCTTAGATAGATAGCTGCAGATCTGTAGCTATCCGAAAAATATATATTCTTAGACCGGATATCCGGTCTATCAATATATATTTTTTGGATAGCTACAGATCTGCAGCTACTTAGATAAAGTGAACGAGGCGTGTTTGTAAAAGAGCAACAAAGTTCGAAAAAGCTATTATTAGCATATAGGTCAACGTCACAAGGTCATTGATGTCCTTTGAAAGAACTTAAGGTTTCGTCAAAGGTCAACATGTCCAAAAAATTATTTTTACAATAGCCCCAAATCTATGTAAAGTATAAAGTCAAAACTTTTACAGTTTATAAATTTTTTATTGATTAACAAATAGAAAGTATCACTTGATAAAAAAAAATACTTGGAATAATATTAATTGAGAAAAATTCTTCTTAAAAATGCATATATTTTCAAAACATACACCTCATTAATTCTGTGCTTTTAGTGAAAACCATCATTGCAGAGACAAAATATGTTTACCAATGAAGGGCAAGTTTGACTTGGATAGCCTCTGGAAAGTTGTTTTCCCTGTTTATTTTGTCCAAGTATTAAGACTTGAAAGTGAAAGTACACTACAAATGGCGGATTCTATAGGGGTCTTTTCTTTATACATGTCATGCTTTCAATAACAGCCTTTCAGAGACCATTCACGTCCAACTTGCCCTTCAATGATAAACATATTTTATTTCTGCAATGTTGGTTTTCACAAAAAGGACAGAATTAAGCAGGTGCATTTTTCTTTAAATATGCACATTTTCTGATACAATTTTTCTCAAAAAATATCTTTTTAAAAATATTTGTTATCAAGTGATACTTTCTATCTATTAATCAGTGATATATTTAAAAACTGTAAACGTTTTGACTTTATACCACACATAGTTTTGGAGCAATTGTAAAAATAATTTTTTTAGACATGTTGACCTTTGACGAAACCTTAATTAGATGAGTAGGCATTGAACAGGTCGAGACCACTACCTTATATGGAAGCCAATTTTTAACACGTGACAATGTCTTCGTCACACCCGTTGTCCAATCAATCGACTGATTCCCAAAGCATGAAAGTCTACTTCGTGTTTATTATTCGATGGCGACACGTGGTTTTCGTCGGTTTGTTGCACAATATTTACCTCGTCACCGGAAAAACTGTAGAGCTTCTTTATCACTTTATAAGACCGAAATTGAAAGATTATATTCTAAAGACACTGCTCCATGCTCACATTTAATATTTGAGTTGTTTTAGATGAATAATAGTTGCTTCTTATACCTTAAAAACACTTTGAAGTTTGCATGTACATAAAACACTTTCTGATAATATTGTGGAGTAAAATAATAATTACACACTCTCTCCTTCAGTCTAAAACTAAGGACCTATATACTACCTGCTAAAACTATATGTTCACGTATATCATGTGGAGGAAAACTCCGTGTTTTATCGACACGATATAGCACCTACGTCTGTTTGAACAATGTTTATAGGCCGATGTTTTATAAGTTGATATAAGGCTTCATAGCGCAAATTTTGTAAATGAAAGATTATACATCATTTTAAAGAATCCGAGATTCCTCTGACTCTAACCCCCGCTTTTATATTGTGACTTGTGCGGGGCACAAGTCATAATATAAAAGCGGGGGTTAGATCTAGAGTCAGAGGAATCTCGGATTACATTTTAAATATTTCTTTCACAAATCTAAAAAAAAGAATTGGAAATAAGTTCCCAAGGAACAATTTAAGTTTCCTTTAATTTTCAACACAGCTGGGTACTAGTAGTAGCCCACAGTGCATTGCGGTTCATTCATCAATAGGTAAAGTACTAGTAAACAGATATGCAAATTTATGCTGACGTCAGAAATTCTAGTGGTCTCGACCAATCTCTCACCAGAGGGCGTTTTACGCTCATCGCTCCAACACCTCTGTTATCGTCTAAATTACAAGAATCTTGTAAAACGAAGATAAGTTATAAATATCCACCAACTTTGTATTTTTTCTTAAATGAAATTAGAAATATTAATCTGTAGCACTTCTTTTATTCTTTCAAAATTTATATATATATATTAAAACAGCTTCAATATATACGGCACTATTTTGTTCTGAATTTTTACACATATTTTCATTTTGAAACCAAGGAGACAAAGTCAGGAAATATTTACTACCAGAAAGCTTAAAACATGAAACATCATTGAGAAATCATACAAAACAATCAATTTCTGACCATTTTTGTCGACAAATATTTATTTGACAACCCGCACTACTTTTTAGACGACAACAACGGTGTAAGCGGAGCGCGCCCTCTGGTGAGAGATTGGGTCTCGACCTGTTGAAAGTATAGTCTCTTTCTCCAATATCTCAAAAGTTATTGCAAAATTTCAAGAAAAAAAGAGATAATTTTAACAAAGATGCATAGGTCATCAATGACAGTGTCATTGACCTTGGTGTCATTTGAAAGAACTTTTATAATTAGTTGAGTATGCGCACCAAATGTGAAGTTTCTATCTGTCATGGGTCAAAAGCTATAGAGAAGTTTAAGACGACAGCAGACAGACTTATTAACAGCTCATTCAGTAATACAGCTGTATAGAGGTTGGGGGTGGGGGAAATGAAAGGTGATGTGAATGTCCGGCTCCAGGCTCCAAGATTATAAACTGAAAATAAACTTTAGTAGAGATTTCAAATCAACGTAACTTTTAAAATAAATTTCAAAATGAATCAAAAGCTTTAATTTATGTTTGTATTAAAAATGTTAACAAAGTTGAAAGTGTTTAGGCAAGTTTGTTAAATAATGATTAAAAATATTCAAAGTGTAACTTAAGTCTATTCTTAGTTTATGTCCTCGGAGCCAGCCTACTAAATTGCAGCTTATAGTGATCATATCCTGGAAACTGTCTTCAAAATTACTAAACTTATGTAAAAAAAGATTCTTTAAAAATATTTACATGTTAATTATGCAACTTTGAATACTAGTAAGTGCATCAGTATAATTTTGTGAAATGCAGTTACATTTAACCAATTCTAATCTAATGGATATAAGACAGACAATACCAGTCTAAATATTCGACAAAGCTTCTCAACACTTGTGATCATATAGGCATTACCTCCCTTGTTTTGTACTAAAGATCAATATATAAATTAAATATATCTATTTTTGCATATACAAATGATGAAAAATTTAAACTAGAACTTTTAAATATTAAAATTATTCTTATATTGATTCCAAATAATAGTTCAAAACCAAAATGATTTGAAATAATCGATACATTGATACAAATACTTTTATAACTATTGAGAAAAAAATTGAAGGCACGATTACAGCAACATTAGTAATATATGCACATCTGGGCCCCTACATGCACATCTACAGGGGCCCATATTTCTGGCACATCCTCGCTTCAGTGGGGGTGGTATTACGTTTACAAATTAGCATGTGGTCCAATACTTCCGAGAATAATATTCCATAGGGTATTAACTGGATAGGATGACTGCAATATTCCATCCAGGAGATGTCACAAAAAAATTTCATTAATACTTTTTTCAGGAACACTAGTTTCTCTCTCTGCTGTCTTCTTCCATGAGTAGTATATTATGATTATGAAATCAAAAAAGTACTTATATAACATCTTGGTCCTTTATTATAATAAATAAATGTTTAAATTACTAGTATACTGATATCCATTACAAATGTGTCATATAACTAGTCTAGTGCCTGTCGAGTCCATCTTAAAATATAAGGACAGATCATGAAAGTACTAAGTACATCCCACAATTAGAATCATGTAATAAGGTAATATTATTGTTAAAATTCATCGAGATGTTGCATCTATCTTTTTAATTTCTCAGTGAAAGCGGCACTGTGACGCACAAAGGGGAAAATTGACAAATGTAGAATTTTTGCATGACCTCTGTAAATTTTGTTCAATTCCTAAAAGTATTCAGTTTCAGAAAATTACATGGTTCAGAACCTAAAATTGATATTTTTATGGGGAAAAATAAAAGTAACAAGAATAGATATGGGTTACCCCATATCCAAAGATATTCGACTGTTAGATTTAATATGTTTAACACTGTTTATAATGACGTTAATAAAAAAAAAACTGCACTGTCTAATTATGGAACTGTTGTAAATTTCGTGATTCCATAGCATTACGGTCACCCAGTCTCCTAACAAACAGTACACATAGGCCTACATGTGCAAGACCAATTTTAGCCTTGGTCTACACACGTGCAATGGAGCTGTCACACGCATCCAGCGAGCTCGGAGAAACATGTTTTGTTTTGCCGAGAAGTTACGGTGTCAGACAAAACTTTTCTTTTCTTAATTAGATCATATAAATACGAATTCTGATTAATAAAAATTATACAATCCCTGTTGAACTATATATAGTTTGTTCTAACATTTTCATCTGCAACAACTTGTGTTTAAAATGGCCGGGTTGGGAAAATCAGGTCCGGGTCGGAAAATTCTAAACTGAAAACCTTTTTTTGTTTTGAAAATAACTGAAATATATTAATGTATTTGTCGCAGAAATTACTTACATTATTCAAGTTCTATATATAATGGTATATGCTGAACTTCAACACGAACCCGAATCTCCAACCCAGTTCTCGTTTTGCCACACATACCCTACAGTTTACAAAGTGTACACACGAGCAGGCCAGGGATTGAAAATTCCGTCATTTAATAATACACATACAGAGAACAATCGGCAATCCTCGGCTGACTCCGCTTCGCTCCATTCAAACCTCGGATGTGATAGGTGGAGGAATACGCATCAGATCGCTACATTTCTCCGCCGGAAACTGCCTTGTCACTCATTTCATATTTCGCTCTGCCTAAAGTTCTTAGAAAAGGTTTCTTGATTTGTGCAATTCCTCGTACTAAATACAACCAAATGTAAGTATTCTTTGAAAGCAAGAACAGAGTGTTGGGCGTGCATCAAAGTAACTCGGATTTCAAAAGTATAATATTTGAATGAAATTCAAATAAGATCACATGACTGAATCAGCAAGATGGAAGATCACCTCTCACGTCCGAGGTTATGTGCGAGGTACGAGTCATCCGAGGAACTCCGATTGTACACAGAATGATTAATTTTTTCTTTAAGAACAAATTGTATGATAATTAACGGGCTATAAACATGTACTTAATACAATTGTTGATATAGTATTATCAATTCATCGGTGAAAAGATATGAATCGAAGAATGACCTAATTATTCTCTGTTATCAAACATGTAAAAAAAAAAGGCTGAGGAGGGAGCGAGCGTAGGAATATTGATATAATTATTTTGCATTTCGGGGGGAAAGTGACTTTCTAATGATATTTTGACGTTATTTTTGATTTCTTTAACGTATGACATACACAACTAAATACTCTTATCATGAACAATAATGTTGTATCTACTTATCATGATGGAATTATTTTGGTCGGACCAATATGTGTGAGCTGCCGCTGAATACAGTTATATAACTTGCAAAGATAGTATGCATTGATCGAATATATGAAAATAATTTCTGTCTGCCCCAGAACGAAAATATTGCAAAATACCCTGGTACCTCTTCCTCCCTATTGTACGCGTGCGCAGAAAAGTGTTGAATAAGTTTCCATAGTTACCATGGTCTCAGTTATCCACGAATGAATGCAAAAAGGCCAAAAAATTTGATTTAATATTTTTAAAAAAGTTTTTAGAACATATTTCTCACCTTTGCATGCTCCAGTTGAATGTTGTTTACAAGTTTGAGCTAAAAATAAGAGTTGCGTGACCTTGACATAACCGAAACAACGAAACGGTAGATACAACCTTTATTTTTCCGGCACTTATATTGTGCAGTCAATTCTTGCAGTTTAATTGTCATACATTCGCTAAATACTCATAATTTCAAAAGTCTTTCTCTGTATGCTACAGATATCTTAAAATTACGATAAGATTTTGACTCACTGTGCCGCTTGAAATGAATACAGCATGTGTCAATTCCCATAATAGGTTTCACGTTGGAATGAATTACAGGCTCATTTTTCATCTGTCATCATTTATAATGTAGAAAACATAATAACTAAGTAATTAATTTTATTAGCAACAAGAGTATACATAAACATATATGGCACCATTGGCTTCCATTTCACACTAGAGCATTCATGACATAAAAGATTAATTAACAATTTCAAAAACAAACAAACAAAACTAGCTAACCTGATTACTACATCTATGTACTCTATTGCAAGAAAATGAGACATTTGTTGAAAAAATGAAATAGAAACACCCGTTATAACACATTTACATAAGAAATCAAGAGATAAATATACCCTTATTCATCTCTTTAAAATAACAAATAATGAAAAAAAATGTCAGATATTAAAAAAAACTTATTGGAAAAAAATGCTAAGTATTATGCTTTAAAGGGAGGGGGGATCGGGGAAAGTCGAGGGAGGAGGTCCTCCAAATATTTGAATATACCTAATCTTTAAGGTATATAAACAAATTTATCTATTAATTAATTCTTCAAAAGGGTGAGAGGGTTAAATATAAAAATGATTAAGATACATTAGGATACATCTTTTATACATACAAGCCCCCCCCCCCCCCCCCCCCGAGATTCTCTATGATTATTAAAATTCTTTTCATGTTCAGTTTTTGTTACATATAATGGTGTTTATGATTAATATAACAATACATACTAATGAATTGTAATTTTTCATGTCAATTTCAGAATGGTGTTTAAAATTGATAAATTGATTACAACGAAGTGTTAGATTTCAGTTGGAGAGGAAGCGGTGAAGAGTGTGGTAAGATTCTTTGTTTAATCGATAATTATCCCCCCACCCATTATAATTTTATATACTTTTATATCTATACTATCATTGTTATTTCGTGTGTAATAAAATCGTGTAGCAATCTATGTGAGCGGATCAAAGGATCTGATTTTAATTTGAGGGAGAAAAATAGAGGGGGGGGGGGGGGAAATGAAATGTGGCTGTCCTGCTCCAGGTCTACTAAACTGCAGCTAAAAAGTATTGTGGTCATACCTTGAAAATTGTCTTCCGAATTGCTAAATATGTAAAATATATTCCTTAAAACATTTTCATGTATACAATTTTGAACACGGACTTGAGACAATCTTAGCAAAATATGAGAATAAATACAAGATTTTGCTAGACTAAGTGTTAATCTTGTCGAATCTTTGGACTGGTATATTGTCTGTCTTTTATACCGTTCGAAAAATGTTATGTCGAATTAATATCCATTACATAAGAATGAGTGAAATGAAACTGCATATCACAAATACTTTGGCACTTTTTGTATTACTTGAGACAATCTTCGTTATCATATACGCATTACCTCCCTTGTTTTGTACTAAAGATCAATGTATAAATAAAATATATCAAGTTTTGCTTTTGCAAATTATACAAAATTAAAACTAGAAATTTTAAATATTGTATTTCTTCTCATATTGAATCCAAATAATGCATTAAAACCAAAATAATTTGAAATAATTGGTACATCATTATAAACACTTCTATAACTATTAAGAAAGAAATTAAAGGCACCATTATACAGCGACATACATTTTTATAACACAACTACTGGGCCCCATCCGCACAACTACTGGGGCCCATATTTCTGGCACATCCTCGCTTCTGTGGGGATGTTTAACATTTGGTCCAACGAGAGTATTAAGTACATACTAAGGGTGTTAAAGAGCTAAGATGACTGCTGGAGATGTTAATTCACAAAAGAGTATCAGTGATCAATTTTTTGGTTTATAGAATCACTCCTTTCTTTCTCTGTTGTTTTCTTCCATCAGTTGTATACTTGTCAATGATGAAAACAAAGTACTTTTGGTCAAACGGCACACTCCCCAAATAAATGTTTTGTATTTCTTGGTATTATATGAAAAATTATTCATATTTGTCATTCTTTTCTGATTTTTACGTTGTTTTCAAAAATGTTTTTAAATAGTAAGTACATAGATTAAGGCCTATAGACCATTCAGAAGATTACCCATAAGAAATATGACCCTATGGTACAGTACCTTGGCTAAATGCCTGGTAAGGTACCCTAATTTTTTGTGAGGAAACTTGTTAAGTTAAGTAACCTATACATCAATGACAAATTCTTAGGAAAAGTTATATATTTTTTAATTAAGAACGTGTCGTTTGACTATATAACATCTTGGCCCATTATTTTAATAATGTTTATTAGTATACTGTTATCCATTACAAATGTGTCGTAAACTAGACTAGTGCCTGTCGAGTCCATTTTAAAATATAAGGACAGATCACGAAAGAACAGCCCACAATTAGAATCATGAAATAGCTGGTATGATTATTGTGAAAATTCAACAAAGTGTTGCATCTTTTTCAATTTAATACAACATGTAATGATGTATCAATTCCCATATTAGGTTTCACATTGTAATGAATTACTGGCTCATTTGTAAGCCTCATTTCCTGATGCAGCGAAGCTTCCTTTCATTTACATGTACATGTGTATATTCATCTGTCAGTCAGATATAATAGGTAGAAAACATAATGACCAAGTAATTATGTCTTAATTGTTTTATTAGCAACAAGAGTATACATAAACATATGGCACCATTGGCTTCCATCTTACACTAGAGCATTCATGACATAAAAGATAAATTAACAATTTCAAAAACAAACAAACAAAACTAGCAAACCAGGTTACTACATCTATGTACTCTATTGCAAGAAAATGAGACATTTGTTGAAAAAATGAAATAGATAAACCAATTATAACACATTTACATAAGAAATCAAGAGATAAATATACCCTTATTCAACTCTTTAAAATAACAAATAATGAAAAAAAAAGTCAGATATAAAAAAGCAACTTATTGAAGAAAAAAAAATGCTAAGTATGTGCTATTAAGAAATTATCTGTTCCAAACACACTGTTGTCAAATCATAGACAATCTAATTTCAATTCACATTTTGGCAAGTTTTGCTTCTGCAATGTTTCAAACTTCAAGAACACCAAAATGTCTTGAAATGTCAAACTTGTACATTAATAATACATTGATATTTATGTACCAGCAGTTGTGATCAAACAAATTCAAGCTAATTATACAAATACTGGTCACAAATGGGTAAAATGTATCCCATTGTTTCTGAAGTAGAGAGTAAGTAATTATAATGTTCACAGTTCTTCCCCTTTTCATCCCCTCCTTCTACACACCAAAATGGTTACAATTTAATTTTTGTTCAGGGGATTTTGAGTGTACTTTATGACCTCAGTGTCAACTACGATTAAATCTCTGCTCATCTGAGATATTTTTGCAAACAAAATATAATTTTAAAATTTCTATTACTTATTTACCTATTTTGAATCAAACAGAGGTTAAACATTTTCTTATGTGGTCTATAGGAGGAAACTGCAAGAAAACTGCATGGGCAAACTTAGAGAATTTCAAGGCATTAGAAAAAATTTCCAGTACTATCTATTTACTTAAAAAGATCTACTGAGCAAGTCTGTATGTCCCTGTAATACTCAAGGGCCCGATAATATCAAATGAAGTACCAAAACATCATTAAATACCATGTTTACTAAATACAGTACACTCTGACTTCTATGACCCTGCCTCCTTTTAGTATAAACACAATGAGGGGAAGGCAACAGAGACCATGTCTATGCTTCTATGCTGTCAATTTACCTCTGTAAACAAGAGATTTTGAATTTCTTCCATGTATATTTGATATTTTTCGTATGGCATATTTCTTGGGAGTTATTTCCCATGACTGTCATCTTTGTGTCAAACAAATGGGGAATTTTTTCATCTTTGTCCAAACATATTTAGATATGTGTAGCAGATATATTTGCGAGAAAAAATCATAATAAAATTAAGAATCTGGGAATTAAAGGATGTTAAATTAACAAACATATATTCTATGGAAAAATCTTTCCTATGCCACAGTGGACAATATGATGACAAGTTGCTTACATAATGAACATTAAGTTGGCCTTCAATATGGGAGTTAAACGGAAATATAACTCCTGCTAAATAATATTGCATTTTATGAAAACTTACTATTTTTACGTACAAGTGTAGAATTGTCTATAGTAATCAATCTAATTAAAATTCAATAGATATTCCGAATCTGCTATCACTTTTGAGAAGATCTAATTTTAATTAGATTGAATAGTAATGAAACATCTATTGGCTGAAACTTCATAAAAAGTATTTCATTTGTATTTCAACTCAGCAGTTTTCATTAAGGTATTTTAAGTGCTTATTATCACGTATCACTGTTAAGATTGGTCTGTACTAACTTCAAAGCAAATGTATATATAAACAATATCAAAAATATATTGGGGTGGGGAAGCAAGCATTGCATGTCAATAAAAAGTGGTGAAAAGTACTTTCCTTATAAACATTATTATGAATATATGCCTCTCTAAACATGTACAGTCAAACCTCAATACCCTGATCTGATTTGAACTCACTTGACTTTTTCTGTCAGTGACTGGGATATAGAGGTTCAACTGTACTCGTACATGAATTGTATTGTGAAAATTAAGGGGGGAAAAGGATAAACTACAGGCATAAATTTATCATTTCCACAAAATCTAATATTGGATTTCTTTGTATTTGTCTACCAACAATAAATATGTACTACAGAAGTCTTAAAATTAACATATTTACCATATAATAAATTTTCTTGTAAATTTTCCTGTCAGCTAACTTGCCAAATATTGCCTCAATATTTCTAGTAAAGTATTATTGCAGTCTTAAATATGGAAGATCATACAAGCGGAACAAGAGGTAAATAACAACAGTTGGGAAGATCACTCAAGCAGAACAGGAGGTAGGCAACAGTAGTTGGGAAGCAAAATGTCAGTAGCCACAAATCTCTCATCACAGGATCTTCAACACTGTCATAGGCATATATTACTTGATGAAAAGCCACATGTTTAAGTTTTCCAGATTCAACAGTATCAAGCTTCTGTATTGCTGTAAAACTCTGTTTTGAAATGTGTATTTTGTTTTTTGGAATGACTTGTTGTATTTTAAGTTGCAAGATCAGAAAAACAGCTGATCAAAAAAAAAAAGTTTCATCTGTATTGATACCCCCCCCTAAAGAAGGCCAATTCTAAAGCCTCAAGTTCCATGCAGCAATGATGAATGGTAAGTACACTTTGTCAGGTTTTAGATTGGTCAAACATTTTGTTTATCTTCTGACTTGGGATTGTAGACTTTAAACAGAGGAACTATTAGGTCATCCATGTTAGGGAGCACAAAGGTTCTCTGTAAAAATCAAAATAATGCATACTTAATTGATGATGCATGTTATTCGCAAAAATTTAATACTGTCACAATGTAATATATCCATAACAATCATGGTGTTAATAAATATGTGATTTTGAAAACTAGTGAATGTTAATAAAATTCTGGGTTTGTTTTTTCTTAAAGACAAGTCCAAGCAATCACATTCAAGCAACCACATTTATATGCATATTACACAGCCATTCAGTGTAAATACAACTTGCTGATGGTTGGGTTATCCTGAAAGAGTTGTCATTTTAGCTAAAACAATGTTATCATGTAATAAAAGGGAGGTAACTTTTATTTTATAAAATAATTTGTGGACTTGATATCAAAACGGTGCATTGTACCAGAAAAATGTGAAAATTAAAACCTGTGGAATTCATCTTCAATACTGTATCATATTCTCAACTTCTGTTTCAGATTCTGATTTCCTTACCTGGAATTCAGCTGAGAGTTTCTTCTCAATCCAATCTGTGATATGAGTTACTGTGACTTGTCTAGCACCAACTTTAGGTTTTGCTACTAAGGTTAATTTAGGATTTCCCTTAAATCCATACCTTTATATAAAAAAAAAAATGCAATTAATGACTTAATGTGTATGTGTTACAGTCTATTATTGTTTTGTGGAAATTCCAGATACTCAATGAAGGAGGGATCAAAATTTAAAACTCAAAATAAATATTAAGTGTCTCTTTAATTCAAATATTAAAATGAAAAACTTGTTGTAAGTCAAATTACAATCAAAACAAGAGATCTATGGGTCACACAGCTCACTTGAGTTACATTAGCCTTCTTATTCTCAATCAGATTTTAAAGGGTTTTTTGCCCTCATTCACATGAGATATTTATTATTGCATTGTGATGTTACCCCGACCTAGAAATTTAATACTGTGAAATCACTAAATTTTGTGGGAGTTAATTTTTGTTGTTTTCGAGGTTTGGAGAGACCCACAAATTTATGACCACCACAAAATGAAAAATTTCATATGCATTACTACTATCCAACAATGAAATCAAATAACAAGAGGCCCATGGGCCACATCGCTCACCTGAGCACTAAGGGTAGGAAAAAGTAGAAAATGGCTTTTTAATGTAAAGATTAAATCCAATAGTAGTCCCATGACCAATCACAGATTTGCTATTTTTTAGAAAATGATTTTTAAAGAATTTTCCTATATATATCTTTAAAAAACTTTGGTCGGCCATTTTGGCCCCGCCCTACCCCTGGAGGTCATGATTTGAACAAACTTGAATCTACACTACCTGAGCATGTTTCCATATAAATATGAGTTATGGCTTTGACATTCTTGAGAAGAAGATTTTTAAAGAATTTTCCTATATATTACTATGTAAAACTTTGGTCGGCCATTTTGGCCCCGCCCTACCCCCGGGGGTCATGATTTGAACAAACTTGAATCTACACTACCTGAGCATGTTTCCATATAAATATGATGAGTTATGGCTTTGACAGTCTTGAGAAGAAGATTTTTAAAGAATTTTCCTATATATTACTATGTAAAACTTTGGTCGGCCATTTTGGCCCCGCCCTACCCCCGGGTGTCATGATTTGAACAAACTTGAATCTACACTACCTGAGCATGTTTCCATATAAATATGAGTTATGGCTTTGACATTCTTGAGAAGATTTTTAAAGAATTTTCCTATATATTACTATGTAAAACTTTGGTCGGCCATTTTGGCCCCGCCCTACCCCGGGGGTCATGATTTGAACAAACTTGAATCTACACTACCTGAGCATGTTTCCATATAAATATGATGAGTTATGGCTTTGACATTCTTGAGAAGAAGATTTTTAAACAATTTTCCTATATATTACTATGTAAAACTTTGGTCGGCCATTTTGGCCCCGCCCTACCCCCGGGGGTCATGATTTGAACAAACTTGAATCTACACTACCTGAGCATGTTTCCATATAAATATGAGTTATGGCTTTGACATTCTTGAGAAGATTTTTAAAGAATTTTCCTATATATTACTATGTAAAACTTTGGTCGGCCATTTTGGCCCCGCCCTACCCCGGGGGTCATGATTTGAACAAACTTGAATCTACACTACCTGAGCATGTTTCCATATAAATATGATGAGTTATGGCTTTGACAGTCTTGAGAAGCAGATTTTTAAAGAATTTTCCTATATATTACTATGTAAAACTTTGGTCGGCCATTTTGGCCCCGCCCTACCCCCGGGGTCATGATTTGAACAAACTTGAATCTACACTACCTGAGCATGTTTCCATATAAATATGATGAGTTATGGCTTTGACATTCTTGAGAAGAAGATTTTTAAACAATTTTCCTATATATTACTATGTAAAACTTTGGTCGGCCATTTTGGCCCCGCCCTACCCCCGGGGGTCATGATTTGAACAAACTTGAATCTACACTACCTGAACATGCTTCCACATAAATATGATGAATTATGGCTTTGTTATTCTTGAGAAGAAGATTTTAAAAGAATTTTCCTATATATTTCTATGTAAAACTTTGGTCGGCCATTTTGGCCCCGCCCTACCCCTGGGGGTCATGATTTGAACAAACTTGAATCTACACTACCTGAGCATGCTTCCATATAAATATGATGAATTATGGCTTTGTCATTCTTGAGAAGAAGATTTTTAAAGAATTTTCCTATATATTTCTATGTAAAACTTTGGTCGGCCATTTTGGCCCCGCCCTACCCCTGGGGGTCATGATTTGAACAAACTTGAATCTACACTACCTGAGGATGTTTCCCCATAAGTTTCATCTTTCCTGGCACAGTGGTTCTTGAGAAGAAGATTTTTTAAATATGCCACCAAATTTTCATTAATTCCCAATTATCTTCCCTTGAATGAGGGCGTGGCCCTTCATTTGAACAAACCTGAATCCCCTTCACCCAAGGATACTTTGTGGCAAGTTTGGTTGAAATTGGCCCAGCGGTTCTTGAGAAGAAGTCGAAAATGTGAAAAGTTTACAGACAGACGGACAGACAGACAGACGGACAGACAGACAGATGGACGCCGGACAAAATGTGATCAGAAAAGCTCACTTGAGCTTTCAGCTCAGGTGAGCTAAAAACCAATATTTTTTCCTCAAACCTAAAAAATTTGACCCCATGAAAATATGTGAATTTACAGTAAACATACCAGAGTCTGTCTGTAGGTGGGAATGGAATGTTCAGGGCCAGTTCTCCAGACAGGTAGTGGGCCTCCACCGTGAGGATTATGGGAGTGTTGGACACCTCCTCCATTGCTTTCTTCACATACTTCCAGTCCATGGCTGACTGGACGTATTTTGATTGAGTTAACTTATCCAGGTATCGCATGAATTTTTGACCTGCCTTCCCACCGCCTCTGAAGAAAAAAAAAAGATCGTTTATGAATTATAATATGGAAGCAGAAATTTTCACAGAGATAAATTTTGTTGATTTTTGATCTATAATAGCTTCATTGGGATTAAATCGTGTTGTTTCAAAAAAAACTATATACATGTATAAACATGCAAAAAAGAAATTTCTTCTCGGATTTAATTTTGTAGATAATTGTTAACAAAATATTAAACAAAATTTTAATATTTCCCAATAAATTTATCTGCTTTTATAGGAATATTCAACAGGTGAAAGATCTCACACAAGAACTGGTATACACATGCTCAGTGTCCATCAGCAATCATTCAAGCTTTATGTACTCTTACAAATCACTTTTGACTTTTCTCTCATAAAATCAATGTACATCACTAATCAGTTTACTGTAATCTCAGACAGTGTCAATAAGTCATCCTAACATGATTTTGTATGGAATAATTAAATATATTAGTAGAGTACTTAGTCACCATTATCAGATGAGACCTCAAAATCTGTATTATGAATATGTAATTTTCCATTCAACTGGATATTATGACCATAGAAATCTTTTGTATAATTTCTTTTTAAAGAAGACCAAACCTTGGTATTTTTAATCAAATTTTTTTAAAGATTTTTTTTTTAACAATAATATTCATATCTCAGTAAACATAGCTCTTGGCAATAAAACAGGGCACAGGTTTTATTTTATACATACTAGAAAACCATTAAGTTCAATCTACTTCTCTTAAAATTTGCTTTTTAAAATTCACAAGATCTAGAAATAATTTTTCGAAATACACGTAGTGATTTTGATGTAAGGAAGCATAGGTAAAACTGTACTCATGTGCACACACTGACACTGTGTTTTCAGCTTCTGTTTGTTATCATAAAAGGAGATATCCTACAGTGAACATTTTCCATGTCTGATTTCTCCTAATATTATAATAAATGTGAAGATAAACATCATCTGATGATAACCCACCCCTCTTCCTCTCCCACACTTTCTTCTTCCTCGTCTGTCGATGATTCTGCGCTGTCTTCAGCTTCCTCATCAGTGATGGCTAATCTAAAATCAGAACAGATTTTGTAATTTCCCCCGCAGGGATGAGAGATCAGTCAACCAAGATTGCCTGCAGTGTTCATATTGATTTTTCCTAAACCTCAGATTCTCAATGTGCTACTAATAAATCTCAGTTCATTACCGACAAATTATTTCTAGGTAAAAATGCAATTAGTTCCAGAGATTGTTATTAATTAATTGAAACACATTTTTTTAATCATCTAACAAATGTTTTTATCATCTAAATTTACTGAAACAAGTACATGCTAATATGCATATTTTAATCTGCAAATTTTAATGAATGTACTATTCAGAAATGCAACTGGGTCTTTTAAATTGACAAAAAATTTACTTTTTGGTTTTGACTTTTTCTTCTTTCTCCTTTGCAGCAACCGAATCTTTCAGTTTCATTAAATTAGCTTTTGTTTCAATTGTCATCCGAAAACCGCCTCCATAATTCAGAGCCAGGTCTATCCAAAATCCATTTTCATCAAAGAAAGGCTTGGATGCCTTCCGAATAACTGGCATTTGGTTACCAAGCACTACTTCGGTGATATTTAATCCTTCGATGAAGTAAGGTATCTGCATAAAAGTCACAAAAAATAGTAACATTAATAAAACTCCAGACATGAGATGTCAATCTTATGGGATTGCTTTACCTGCCCTATGCTGTACATGCATGTCTTTAGCTATATGGATTTTTAAAAAATCACCATAGAAACACTTACTGGAAAATTGTGAAAGATAATGTACATGTAAATGTGTTCTAGACTCAAATTTTGTCAAATGTATAACTTGTAGTTACTTGACATGGCAGCATTTGTAAATGGTCAAGCTTTTGTCTGTACATTCATAGGAAAGACAGGTCATAAACCATTGTATAAGCATGGCAATTAAAATGTTCTTGCGAGGCATAGAGCTATTTTGAATTGACTACTCCGGAAACATTCAACTAGTATTTATTCAGAAAATGTCACTTGCAGCCTCCAAAGCTCTTTAGCTTAACCAAGCATCCTTTTTAGTAATGACAATGGTATAATTAACCATTTCCTCTTTTTTTAAGAGTGAAGACATTTTGAGCTTGGTTGAAGAAAGGCTTTCAATCATTTGTAGATTGAAAAACATCTTTTAAAAAATACCATATACCAAGTAAGTAGAATTTTTAGCGAGGATTTAATTTTGGCATTTATTAGCAAGGGTGCTGAAATTTCTAAAATTGAATATTGCTAAAAATTAATCACATATAATTTGTAATATCTACTTTAGTAAGCATTTTAAAATCGCTAAAATTACTTCTCGCTAAAAATAAAATACCAGATTTGGGGTAGAAATCGCTAAATTTGAGTCTCGCTAAAATTTCCACTTATAGGGTATTGGTTGCAGACAGCATCTAAATGTACTATTCAACTCCATGTTTGAGTTTTTTGAGAAAGTTTCTCATTTAAAATTCTATCAATGTACACATACTGTAAAATACTATAAAAATTATCAAAATTGAGTATCAATGTATCAATAAAATGAAAATGATAAATGTACTAACATGAATAGTATTCAGTTTCCTTTGGAGTTTATCCCTGACTTTTTCTGACCAGGTAGAAAGTCTAAGGAAGTCCCAACAGCACCGACTAATGAGAGCATTCAACCATAACAGCTGTTCTTCACACTCGATGACCGGGTGAGTCTGCGCGTACACTGAAGCGTATCGATCATACATGTCCCCTGGCATCATTCTACTCATGTATCTCACAAAGAGTTCCAACTCTTGTTCTGGACTCAATACCTCCTCCTTCTCACTAGTTGGAGAAGAGCTAACAGAAGATATGGAATCTGTCGACCCTTGACGTTTATGGGTCATGCTGTCCACTGAACCTTGACGTTTGTGTGACGAGTTGTCACTTTGAGAACTGGTGCTGTTTCGTTGCTCAAGTTGTTTCTTGGGAGTCTCATAAAATTTTCGAATTTGGCCGATGGGATTCTTGAGTGGTGATCCATCTGCTGCCGCAACGAGTCTCTTGAACCAGTCCTCCTTATCACGGCAAGTTCTGGCGAATAAAAACACAACATTTTCATCACACCTTTCCTCTGTCACAAGTTCAAATCCAGCCTCAGTATCGGGCGTGTCTGCGTCTGGCTGCTTCATTTTCTTTCCAGCCGTGGCAAAACCAATACGAATTGGATACTTCTTACTCCAAAACCTCTTACTCACCAACTCTGATGGAACCAAAGAGATGCTGCTGCCTCTGATATCAAAATGTCTCTGATGAATGAACTCCTTTACTAAGATTTTTTCTTCATCCCACATGGCTCTCCTTGGAACATTGGTTTTAGGTCTCCGTAACCTTAGTGTGGTCCCTTCAAGTAACACTTGTACTGGGTGTGTGTTGTTGATATGGTGATTAAATGGATCATACTCTCCTATTTCATTCATCCAACCCTAAAAGAATTAAAATAGTTGTATATATTTCATGTTCAATTCATTTGAAACTAATTACTGAATGCCCTTAGACACACTTGCAGACAATTTTGCCCCATTTTAAATTCACCCAGTCATATGTTTATTAGAGAAATTATACTGTATTCTTTGAATTCGTCCCGTTTTAAATTTGCTAAAATAAGGGTAGTGTGAAAGGGGCAAAAATAAAATGAGGGCGAAAATTTCCCTGTATACAGTATTTTAATTTTGTTTTTTATCTCAAATCTTTCTCACCTTATAAACGCCATCAATAAACTTTGCCTCTTTCATATTTGGAAGTACAAATGGCGGCAGGTCTTCTAATGGGACATATTCTGGTTTTTCCTTGGGTGGGGGTGGTCGTGTTATCCAGATGTACAGTTTCCACCATAGGGAAGAAATAAGGATCCCAAATACTACTCCAGAAAAATAAGTGGGGAGGGGTAAAAGCCAATACACAACCAAACAACTGATACCTGCAAAAATTTCATAGCAAAACATTTATTGTATTAAATTAAACTTGCTTTCTCAGTGATAAAAAAAATAGCAAATTTTATTCCAAAAATATCTTTCATATTATGAATATGCTAGAACCCCTATGTTTGAAATAATAATCTTATTTTTTCCTGTTTTGAATTGGAGAAAAAAAACTACCTGAACAAAATTATATACCTATCTGTTACATGGCAAGTTGATTCCAACAATTTTCAATGAAACTGAGTACCGGGTATATTTCATCAAGCATAAACAAATATTTTTAAGCTTAAAAGACAGTTATGCTTTCAATAGGTCTGGGCTTTGTCATACAGTCAATTCTCGAATTATCGCCATTCGATTCATCGCCATTTTCGCAATACCGCCATGATTTCCGAAGAACGTTTTTCCTGCTATATAAAATTCTCTTTATAACGCCAAATTCACATACCGCCATCCGCCACCCTGTTTTCATAACAAACGTTCATTTTTAAGTGTCAATTACCTCAATAATACCGCCACAGGTCCATGTGGTCAGTGAAGCGCGGCTAATTGGTTGACGCTATCCCTGATGTAAAGCATGCAAAGCCGGACAAGGTACATGCAATTAAATAATTAAATAAGAATTAAATAATTTTAACATTAACTGTTATAATAATTTTGTTTACTGTTCAATAAAAATCATTCAATCACGGCTTCGCCACGAAAGTGGCCGTTGTTAAGTACGCCGATAACGATATTATTTTGAAGATCTCTGCTTTATTAACAATGCAAAATTTGCTTTAAAAATAATTATAGGGTATAAATTGTAAACGTTTCATTAACAATGATGCCATAAACAATGAATTTATTCAAGAATTCATTTTACATACTATCGGCAATATATCACGACGATCGACCCAGTATGTTTTTTTTTCAATATCAGACGTGCAGATTTACATACATACACATGTACTTGTCTTTATTTCATAACTACACATTTTGTTTTTAGAGAAATGGTACATAAAAAATTACTTGAAGTATTTTCAAATTTAGAAATATGTTTTATATACATGTACATGTAATGATAATAATAGAAACGCTTTAAATGATATTTCTAAGAATGGTAACTCTATAGTTTCCTAAAAGATGGGAAATTCAATTCATCGCCAAATTCGTTATACCGCCATGATTTCTAAATTACAAAAGGTGGCGGTTTATCGAGAATTAACTGTATATAAATGATACTCAGTAAATGTATCTATGCAATTAAATTTCATAATTGTACACATACTTTTTTCTGCAAGGGACTACTTTTCATTTTGTATGCAGTCACAATTTTTTTAACAGATATAGCTATTCTATAAAATTTTGACTATGTATGAAAGTATACAAAGCTTATACAGCATATTATACTCAATTACTTCATTTGAAAATTGTCTCTGTCATAAAATGCTATCAGGGAAGATTAAAATTCTACCAAATTATCTGCATTGTATAGTACATGAACATCTGCAATTTGACTGTCTGCTATTACACAGACCTAAAGCAATGTACCAGTTCAATACCTATTATCAAATTACGCCATGGGACCAAGCTCTTCTCATTTTTCCTCTCGACAGCAGGGCCCTGATTTGATGCTGGTCTCGGTAATGTGTTGGAAGCCTGATAAATGAAGGCAGAATTTTCCTGAGCACTAATGTTTTCTATTGTTTCTGCCACTACCTCTTCCTGGGCCTTTAGATTTGAAAGCGATACAGTTCCCGTTGTGACATTGGATTTAGTACGTCGAAATTTCTGCGGAAGAGTGCGATTTCGATAACGGAGGTCGGGAAATGACTGAACTCCACTAAAATCTTCAATAGGTTCCTGGTAATAATCATCCACTAACTGAAAGTCATCCACAGTTTCTCTGATTTTATGATCTGGCTCCTTATTAACATCAAAGAATTTCTCACTGTCATTTTCCTCTTTCTTTACAAATGATGGTAAATCTGAGTCTAAGCTCCTCTGTTTTGGTGGTTTGGTTTTACCTGCCAAAGATTCAGTCTCTGGTTCAGGAGCTATTTCCTTTGAAAAGTCCTCTAACTTTGCAGAAACTTTTTTTCGCACTTCAGTTGATATTTCTAACAAGTTATGCTTCCATCTTGATATTTTATCCTCTTCTTTAGGTTTTGGCCCCGCCTGTAACTTCGTTGGTATGCGTCCATCAGCAGTCCTTCCCAGTGCTCTACTCCCTTCATTAATCCTACGATTTTCTGAAACTTTTTTGTCCAGCTCTCCTGTCATGGAGGTCAAAACGCCCTCATCTTCTTCTTCCTGCTCAAGAGATTTGAAACTGAGCTTCATGGAGTTGCTTTTGGGTGGGGGAGGGCGCCCTGGCACAGTGTCTCGCTTGCTCATGCTACACTGCAAATATAAAATCAAGATTACATGAATAAAACTTTCAATGTATGCGCACATCCAGGTCTGGCTATCTAATCAATACACTTTCCAACCTGTTGCATCCCTCTGATGGAGATAATAAATCTCCTTGACAATCTTTCTTGTCATTCCTTCCTTTTCACAATCAGTCTTTGCACATTTATGTTAATCAAAGAAAAAAATCTTTCAGCCAGAATAATCTTAAGCTGTGAATTTTTTTTTTTTTTTTTTTTTTGTGTTCATGACAGTTCATAGAATAGACAATTGTACAGTACCATTAAATAAAAGAAGTCGAGAAAACAATTTTGTTTATCTGTCATATATTTTAGATTTTCTTAAACTCTTGATCACTTTGCAAAAATTATATGACATAGCAATTTTGAATAATCCTAATTAAAGATAAAGCCACATATTCCACTGTAGTTTTTATTTTTTTTTATTAAAAAAACAAATAAATATACTTCACTCCTTCATAAAAATTTTTCCAGAAGAACCTGTATTTCCAGTTGGAAGCAACCATCTTCCCAGAAGATCCCTATACTCTATAAAACCTGGGATATCAGTTTACAAATTCATGCAACCTTAACACTTTTCCATGCATTTTTCTTAACCTCAATCACCAATTAATCTTAAATATCTTTCAGTTTTATCAAGTTTGACATCACAAGGTTCAACTGTATGAAATTACTTTTCAAACTTTTTGAGCTTGATCATGCAGTAAGGTAGTAACATAATATACATTATCGATCATTAGCAAATGATAAGATAAATAACTGCTCATACTGTCAATGTAATTTGTCCTAAACTGCCTTTTAAACTTTAAACATAACTGATAAACTCTTCCAAAAGAAAAGGGGAAAGGATTGCTTAAAATTTCAAACAAAGGTCAATACACGGGGAGACATTGAACACTTAAACAAACATGAATCAGATTTTAAACAGTCAATGACTATAAAGTCAGGTTTTAGCAATCTATTAGAGTTTGTTTCCCTATTTTTCTGTAAAATTCAGCTTTATACATGAATGACATGAATTTCTAAATAACCTGTCGTTGACAATGATATTCTGTGCAGGCATGCAGCCACATGCAATACAAATCTTCCTTAATTATACTACATGTATTTTAATTTTATACAAAAACATAGGTAATCAGAGATTACAGAGCTCACCTCAACGAATGTTGTCTTTAAATAAGGCAAAGTCACACAATTAACCAACAAAAAATGTACATTCCAAAAATGAAAATATCTAAGCAATTTTGATCTGATACTTTGAAGTAGACCAACATAAAAAATTGAAAGTAGTTTTGACATGAAAATGTAATTCAGCATCTAAAGCAAATTTGAATTTCATCTCTTGATGCAACATTTGTGCAAGTTTGGTTTATACAATGTTATAAAAGCCTTAAAGTTTTTTGGTAAAAGACATGCAACCATAACTTTAACCTGGTCTATTATCTGAAAAATATATATGTCGAATTCAGCATCCGAAGCAAGCCCGGTAGTATCCATCCTTAGATGTATTGTCCATGCAAGTTTGCACATTATAAGGCTCATAGTTAATTGGAAATGAAACATACATCAAAAACTAACATTTTCACTCATCCACAAAATGTAGGTCAGATTCAGCATCCGAAGCAAGCCTGGTAGTATGCATCCTAAGATGTATCATCCATGCAAGATTGGTCATTAAAGAACTCATAGTTACTTGGAAATGAAACCTGCACCAAAAACTTTTACTTGTTCACTTAACCGGAAAATGTAGGTCAGATTCAGCATCCGAAGCAAGCCCGGTAGTGTGCATCCTTAGATTTATCATCCATGCAAGTTTGGTCAACATAGGGCTTAAAGTTACTTGCAAATGAAACCTGCTCCAAACACTTTAACCTGTTCACTCAACTGGAAAATGTAGGTCAGATTCAGCATCCGAAGCAAGCCCGGTAGTATCCATCCTTAGATGTATCATCCATGCAAGTTTGGTCAACATAGGGCTTATAGTTACTTGGAAATGAAACCTGCACCAAAAACTTTAACCTGTTCAAACAAAATGATAGAACAGCATCCGAAGCAAGCCTGGTGTATCCATCCTTAGATGTATCATCCATGCAAGTTTGGTCAACACAGGACTTACAGATACTTGGAAATGAAACCTGCACCAAATAACTTTAACCTGTTCGCTCTACGGAAAAATCAGGTCAGATTCAGCATTAGCAAGCCCGGTAGTATGCATCCTTAGATGTATCATCCATGCAAGTTTGGTTAACATAGGGCTTATAGTTACTTGGAAATGAAACCTACACCAAAAACTGCACCAAAAATGTTAACCTGCTCCAAAAACATTAACCTGGTCATTTTTGCTAAAATTGCAGCATCTGAAACTTTGACTGGTACAATGAAACACACTAGAACCATCTTCCATGCATGTCCAATCAATATAGGACATAGAAGTACTTAAAAAGAAAACTGCTCCAAAAAACTTAACCTTAACCCGGGACGCCGAATAACGCCGACGAGGGTGTTTTAATTTTGAGGTGACAAAAAATTCTTCACTACGTTAACGGAAGAAATCAAAACTAACCAGCTGTTAAATTAAATATGTGTACATCACTTGCTTAATTTACCAATTGCAGGGCTATACAAATACATGGTACACTCTAATACCATTGGAATCAAATTGAATTGCTCACTGACAAATAAGAATCAGTTTGTGAACATAATGCACATATTTTGAAATATACTTATACTTTAAGCTTACCTTGCTTATACTGATTAACAAAAATATCACCAGTGGATTTGTACCAGAAATATTATCTCCTGCTTGTTTGGTACGCACTACCTTAAACTACAATTTGAGTCAATATTGATTCTCCTAGTAAACAAGGAAGCCAGGGCTATCAGATACAAATTAGATTATCATCGAGTACATTGTCTTGACCCATATATTTACCTATATCATATATCAACATACATCTTCTGACGTACAAGTGAAGTAATTATTGATGTCCTGTTATATATACCTTTATATTCCTTAAACTGAACATTCACAAAAAGTTGTGAATTGTGTAAAACCACTTCAAGTTTACAACTTGACAAGTTACTGAACTCAAATTTACAGAAAGGATACATTATGTGACTAACACTGTGTGATTTACATCGTGTTCAAAGGCTTAATAGCCACTAGTTTATATGGGAGCATCAGATGCATTCTAACCAGTAGTATTAAGTAAAAAATTCTAAAGAGTAGGGTTCATGTAAATTAAGTGCTACTAATTTATGAATATGAGGAGAGAATAATGATCCACACTAGTAAACATCTGAGATTATGATCATGATGATGATTGAAAAAGTACAGTTTCATGAATTTAAAGTCAAAGTTCCATTTTCATTTCTGTATCTGTATATATACGTCGAAGTGACCAATACTGGCTTTTCTACGACGGCATTTTTGTGGCTTTGTTTCATTTCACAATGTCTGTTGCACATATACAGTGTACATAACTTGAATCTAAGATTTTATCATGCAAAGGAGAGAAAAATTCTACTAGAGTGTCCAGGATGTGCATAGGGAATTTCAACAAAATCAGCAGGAAGAAACTGCATTACAGTTGAAAAGGATCAGATAAAGCTGAAGATACTTGTGATTTTAAGTGTTAAAACTTTTAAACATTCATAACTTAACCATAAATATTGCTCAGTTATAGTGAAGCGCGGAAATAATTGGTTATGAACAATGTATCCCTAATTCTAAAATTTAAAGCATGACAAGGTACATGCATATTAAGGGCATTAAAACAAGATACTTGTCTAAAAACAATGAAATTTCTCTCTATAATAATTTTGATTTCTGAAACATGAAAATTTTATATTTCTCCTTCATTTAAATCTTTCAAATTAAACTTCATTTCTAAGTACATAATATTGGATTTCACCAAAATAAAATCATTTCTGCTTTAAACGATTTTCTAAGTTTGCTAGGAAAAAAATAATTATACAGATATCACACAAATGATGAATGTTTCACAACATACAGTATTATAAAGTGACTCAAAACATAAAAGCATTGATTTCTGTGTTTTAATATAACTTGGCTATGAATTTTATGAGGCCAAGAAGATAATTCAGTGCCAAAAAGACAATTTTTATGAAAAATGAAGATTGGATTTTTTTAAAATTATGATGCTTAAGATAGATATATCTATCAACAATACCTGAAACAGTACTAGTATTTTACTCTTTTTAAACATTTAAGGATTAACTGCACATTTTGTTTTAGCGAAATGTATTAAATATAAAAATTACAAGATTAAAAGTTTTTTTTAAATTTAGGAATATAATTTTATATACAATTAATTTGCTTGCATGATAATCAGCATAAAATGCTGACGCCAAAGGTGTGTATGCGTTATCACAGAGGAGCAAATTGTTTGATCATTTCACAAAAAATGGGAAATTATTCATTATCGCCACATTTTTACCGATCCTTGATTTCTAAATTACAAAAGGTGGCGTATCAGTAAAATATTTAGTGAGTATTTTTTTAATTATTTGTCCCATGATGTGCAAGATTTCAATATCGTTAACAATTAATTGCTCTTAATAGCTTCTTTCTTGAGCTTTTTAAAATCGCTTAAATTTCATATGGCTGAAAATAATATACCAATTTTTAAGGGCACTTTGCTATATTTACATCTCGCTAAGAATTTCCACTTACACAGTAATAAGAAATATGCTTGAAAACACCATTTCTTTTGTCATCACCACAGTAATGTTACATCACATATATGTTTTGCAATGAAGCAAAAAAATTTTTTTCAAAAAGAAAAAAAAATTTAATTCTCTGGTTCTATATTTTTTCTCCAAAACAGATGCGGGAGGGCGGCATTTTATTTTCATTTTATTGGCAATAAATGATGATGTATTTTTTTGATTTTAAAAATTTTCTTTAACATAAAGAAATTTTTTAATCAAAGTTCCATTTTTCAAAATTTCTGCTTTATCCATTGCTTATCAGCGTGTAAACATCGTAGGTAATGTCCTCCATACATGCCAACTTTTGAAAATTCCCATTTTTTTATGCAACAAGGAGAGAAAAATTCTAGACATTTTGTCATGAAATTGAATGATAGGAAATTTCTTTTTTTTACATTTATAATATTGATATTACTTATCAATACAACTTTTAAGGATTAATTTAACACAAAAAATAATGTTTTTTTTCCAAAATTTAAAATTTTTAAAAATTGGTGCCTCTCTTACCAAAGAAGGGGTATTTTGTTACATGTGTAAACAAATAACATGACACATACAGTAAAAAATTGAAAAATGTTCTTCTAAATCATTTTTTTCAAAGGCAAAAAAATATACAAGGTTTTGATCTGTAAAAAACCTTGAAAAATTTTAAATTTCTTTTTTATTTAAATTTCTAAAAATTCTAATAAGATATTAAATTTACAGAAATTTTTACCACCTATCCAAAAAAGAATGATTTTTTTACAGTCACAAAATTGTCAGGCTTGATGGTGCCATTGGGTATTTCCTTAAGTCATGCACATACCTAACATATTACTTTTTAATAGGAAAAAGAAATTTAAACATACACTTGATTGTTTCATCTTAATTTTTTCAACAAACTGAAATTTTTTACAATATTTTTCATTATAGGTAGATAAAATCAGCAGCTATGCTTTGAGTTTTCTACTTTGTTTTAAAAAACATTCTCTTTGACTCCGATTTAATGGTTTGATTAGTATTTTATTGATAATTTATGTTTTTAATAAAATGACTAACTGTTATCAGGAAAAATGTGTTTCATCTTGTTAAAATTATGGATCCCCTAATTGCCCCAAGCTATAGCTACTTGTACCTGGACAACTTCGTGAAATGATTTCCTGTGGCTATAGGCCTAATTTACACCTGGTTAAATAAACAATGAAACTTATCTGTGTGCAAATTTGACATTGTTATCCCGATGTCAAAATGAATGCTTTGTTTTACGAAAACTTGGAAATATATTTAATATCGGGAAGATTAAATGTTTGAATGTTTGGCATTTAATGGGAATATATTTTCAAACGAAGTACAAAATCTCATTGAAAATGGCTACCGGAAGTTTTTTTTGTTTTATGATTTGATCAATTAATTTGCCAGCAATACCAACTTTTTATTTTATCAAAAATACAATAAAATTAGCAATGCGGCTACCTCAAAACGGATGCGCGCGGGTTAGTAGCATAATATTATCATTTTACATAGCCTAAAATGAGTGGGAATTTATCAAAACAAATCTTGAGATTGCTTATGCCTTTTATCCCAAAAAATAATCCAATACGAAAAAAAATTTTCCCAAGATTCAAATACCTGCCATGTTTATATTTACTCTCTAGATTGTTCCTATTGCACTGCGATATGAACAAAAATTTAATTATATAGAACATTCTATCTAATCAGCATCCTGCTAGGTTTATTACTGCATGAACAAACATGCAGCGAAAAAGGATGCATTTCTGTCACGTGCTGAGCAAATAGCTTTGTGTAATAAAGCCATTACCTTATTTGTGGTTTAATCACAGAGAAAGACAGTGCAAAATGTAAATATGTTATAAACTGTCAGATATATAAACACACAGAACATCATCATGATCATGTTCAAATGTAATTAGTTCTAAACACCTTTTAGTTATTATCATTTATGTATCAAGTTTACAAATGAAATGAAAAAAAGCAATATACCTTTAAATTTCATAAGACTTTTCACGTTTCCAATCACGTGCCATATGACAAATCCAGATGCCAACTTTCTGTTTGTGTTTTGCAGGAGGAACGCATCCGCAGCAAAAATATTGACCAATGAGGAGCAAAAACGTAAATTTAGAGAAAATAGAAAAACTCCAGTTCTCTTTGTTTATAGGAAAAGGATCATATGTTAATTCGCAAAAAAAGTTTTTGCACTGTTGAAGAATATTTGACTAAGCATTTTTTCTTATCCTAATGGATCCTTCAATTTCAACCAATCAAAACGCGCATTTTATTTCATGCGGGCACAAAAATAGACAAGGGAAGGAAGCATGGACACAAGTTTAGATACTTTTGTTTACTTAGTTTAAAATAGGCTTGTTTCAGTTTTAGAGATGATAATACGAGAGAAAAATAGGAGAAATGTGTAAGACATTACTGAAGCTTACGTGTGTGTTTATATTAAGCCTGGTTGGCTTGATTACAGTTGCCAAAACCCTGCAGGTAAAGACTAAATACATGTATTCTCCCAATCAGCTGGTTGTGGTCTAGATTTCGTCATGATTTACATGTTTATTCTAGAATCTTCCAATGCTTATATCCAAGAGCTTTCTTGACTTAAAAGATTCCCCTGCCATGATAGATCTGCTGACTGCATGTAGAAAAAAAAATCATTTGGAATTTTGAATTTCAAAATTAAAAAAGGGCAATGTATGTTTATATTTTTAAAAGACAGAAACATATTTAACATAAGCATATACTATGCATGTGTAAAAGCTGTGACAAAAATTTCCTATAAAAAACCAAATATATTTATCTTTAGTCGTTTGGCCTGATGACTAGATGTGTTCTACCAGTCCAAAGCATATTCTAGCTATCTAACAGTCCAAATAAAAGCAATAATATTCTAATAATTCATGATGTAATTCAAATTAAAGAATATGACATTGGTTAGGACAGGCAACAGCTGAACTGATTACTCTGTGTGTAAATAATTCTGAACCGACACAAACATGACCAATTGTGAAGCATTTCAAGAGACCAGAGTACATTTAATTAGAATAATCTGTGTGACAATCACCATAATTAGAATTTGTCCCATATATGGATACTTGCAATGTAACAAATCAAAGAGTATCTGCTCCAAAACTTTTTTGAAACATACCGTGTTGACATTTGGAACTCTCTAGATCATTTAGATAATTTGTAGTTGTGTAGATTAGAATGATTAGAATTATCTGCCACTGTTTATTTTGCTACATTGCCAGAAGGTAAACTTGTAAAAGGCTTTTTGAAATTATGACAAAAAGACAGAATTTTACTGGTACATTGTAAGTTAATTAAGAAAAACGATAGTTAATGCACACTGAAAATGATTGGTGATCTGTGATATATATCAAATTACAGTGGACATTTCAATTCTCTGTCAGTTTTGTCAGTAGGACCAATGGTTTTTAGAAACTCTTAGTATAGGAGAAAATGAATTCATGACTTTGTATATTGTAGCAATGCATGAGAGTCAGACATTGTTTTCTTTGCCAGTTGGTAATCTTTGTTGTATTGTCAATCTCTGCATGATGCAGTTTTAATTACTTGTAACGATGAGAGAAGATAGAAAACATAAATGTAATTAAAAATACATCTTTACCCCTGTAACTGTTATATTAAACACCCAAGTTTGAAGTTCTATTATAAAATTGATAATATCTTTGCTTTGTTTAAAGGTCTAAATAGAGTAATGATAAAGATTGTTTTCTGAAGAAACTGATTAAGGAGGTTCTGAAAAATCCACAAATTTATCATGTTTATATTTATTTCTTCAATGTCTCAAGAAGTTATTTGATTTCTAAATTAATATAAGTGAAGTAAATATTTTTTTTAAATGCTTGCATTATCCAAGTATGTCTTCGAAAATAAAATTTAAAAAACCCAAATAATAAACCATGATCTCTAACTCTGAGTGTGTTGCACTGATAAAATAGAATAACATGAGACCTTATCTTTGTCCCACTCTTTTTTCCATAGTCAGTATTTTAAATTATTCTCTTTTGAGGTTTGAGATAATTTGATTGATTTTCAGACTAGATAAAGACTACACCTGTTGTTTTGGATTTGCCCCGGGTCATTTTCTACTACACTGTATTGCACCTTTACTCAGGAGTAAATTCAAGGACAAATATCACATTTAAAATCAATATTTGTACAGTAACAAATTTCGCTCTGATGGGATGTTCATGAAATATGTGGGAAAGCAACTGTATGTAACAGCTGCTTCCTCTCATGTTGTAGAAACATTTGTTCTGTGCATGTGTACTTTAATTTGTAATAGGTCAAATTTTCCCAGGAAGAATTGTAGCACATCTAGAACTATATTTACTAGATCTTTGAACTTTCTAGAAGCCAAAGTTAGAGATATGAGGCAAGGTATTTTGTAAAAACCAAGGACATTTTCTTTGTCACAGGTGTGAAAATTACCCTTTGATTAAATATTTCTAATGGTTCAATAGATAAAGTTTATACTAAAACATATGATTATCAATGAAATCCATGTCAATGAACATGTCTTGCAGACTTCTATTAGGTAGTACACTTAATAGAATACAGCTAGAAATTACATGACATATTTAACCAGCATGTGTTTGTTTATTTGTGAAATAAGTATAACCCTTATTTTAATGTTATAGCCTGGTTCCCTGACTGTTCATGAATCTCTGATCTACGTATCAACCCTGAGTGGAACCTTTCATGCAGTAAGCAAGTCAACAGGGAAGATTGTGTGGACTCTAGATGAAGGCAAGTTGCACAATAATTTGCTCATAATCATTTTATTTAATCCTAGTTGCAACAGGGTAGCCCTCTAAAATATTTAAATCCCCCCCCTACCCTCCTTCTTCCCCCCCCCCCCCCCCAAAAAAAATGGAGAGGACTACATTATAACAACCTTTAAAGTAGGGGAATACATTAGAAGTTTTCCACTTTGCAATTTGAAATACTGTAGACGTACTTTTTTCCACGGGGTCATAATTTCGCGGAATCTCAATTTTCCTTTAATCCGCGGGTTGAAAATTACGCGGATTTCTCAGACTGTCACTATATGCCTTACATTTATATTAAGTACGCTTGGATAAATTTCCGCGGAAAATTTGTGACCGTGTACATAGCGTAAATTAATACCACGCAGAAAAAAGTACTACAGTATGTAAAATAAACAATTCACATGTATAAATTTATTTTCAGAACCAGTCCTCAAAGTTCCCACTGCTGTTGGGTAAGTTCAAATCAAGGAATTTTTCTTAGAAGATCATAGAAAAAATCTAACATTAATTTCAAAGGAAGTCCCAAAAAATTATAGATGTGTAATTTATTAATTTTTGGGGTTTTTTGGTACAAACTTGTTAATTCTAATTTGTCTTCCCACAGTCGACTGAGTTTTCTCCCAGACCCCAAGGATGGAAGTTTGTATGCTCTGAGTGATGGGAGAGAGGGAATTAAGAAGCTGCCCTTTACCATCCCCCAGCTGGTAACTGCGTCTCCCTGTAAGAGCAATGAGGGGATGCTGTACACAGGTGTGGAAATTTTTTTTTGTGTACCTAGATCCAATAAAGATTTAATCTGACAGAATTTCTTGTGGAAAATGGAAAGGCCAAAAATACTATATTCTCATAACTTTTAGATTCTTCTAAGTTACAAGTAAATTGTATAAGTCAAGAACATGTCATTTGATGACACCTTTTTGAATGCACAAAATTAGTTATTTATTAAAAATTAAAATATTTTTTTTATGTTAATCTTTTTTATTCAAGGGCATAAAAAGGACACCTGGATAGCCATAGATGTCACCACTGGAGTTAAAATGCAGACTTTGTCCAGCGACGGAACTCAGAAAATGTGTCCGTCCAGTGCCGAGAAGGTCATCTACATTGGACGCACTGAATACACCATCAACATGTTTGACAGTAAAACTGGCAACAAAAGGTGATTCTTAAAATCTAACATTAAAAATTTTTGTTTCTTTAATGTACAGGAGAGCGAAATAAATGCTAATTTACTTTGTCCGTTTAGGTGGAATGCTACATTTATGGATTATTCATCCCATGTGGGGGAGGTGAAAGAGTATGGTAGGTCTAGTACACATGTAAATTTTGTGGAGGGGAAAAATTTTTTGCTATGATAAACTCAAGTTGCTTGAATCAATGTTTTCATTTACACATTAGAAAAGATAATTTTTTATTTGTCAGACTTGAGGCATTTTACTGCCAGCTCTACAGGAATGGCTGTCACCTTGGACAATAAATCAGGTATGACATTTTAATTCAATTATCAGATTAAATTACTTTTAATTAAAGATGTGATGTTAAAATCGGTCTGTTCTATTTTTCTTGCTCAAAAATTTGGAAAAGGCTTCTAGGACTATTAGACCAACAACATAAGAAGTTTATTGTACCGTATATATCTTGCAGTTAAAAAGGTTTTGATTTCATCGGCTAGAAAAGTAAAAATCTCCCTACAAATTGTTTACAGGGGAAGTGTTGTGGTACACTGACTTCCAGTCCCCAGTGGTAGCAATGTACACTATGGACCACGAGGGTCTACAGAAGGTCCCCTTCACGAGCTTCGCCCCCGAGACTTTGGATCACCTGACCGGTCAGCTGTCCTCAGAACACTGGAGAAACAAGTTCCTCTTACATGGGAAGCAGGAGGTCTTCTAGTAAGTATTATACTTTAAAACAGTACATTTTGGAATGGCTTATAGTTAAACCAGTTTGTCATGTTACAGTATGTTATTCATGTTTATTCATAGGCAAAAACTTACATTTAACCTTTTCTAGTCCAGTACAATCTGTTTAAAGAAATTTCAGTTTCATTGAATGCCTGAGTCCATGTATCTATTCATTTCTGTGTATTAAGTATGCCAATTTTTGATTTGTATTAGAATTTTGCTGATTTAACAAGTTATTTTATCTGACCTGTAATATAATTGCTTTAGTGTCTGTTTCATTGGGATCTTTGTAACATTTAATGCCAATTTGAACTAATTGATAAAAGCCTTAATCCACAAAACTTACAAGAGATTCTAATTTAAATGTTTTTCTATCTTCAGTCCTACCCTGTATGTCGGAGAGTATGAACATGGCTTTTTTGCCACGAATTCTCTGGTGGATGAAAAAACAGTTACCGTGGCTGTAAGTTAAAAAACTGAAGTGAATACTATAACAAAGGATGAAATTTTAATATACTGATATTATGTTTGAATCATTGTTCCATTAACATGGTTTTGTGTTCGGCTGAGTTTTCTGCAATTTTAATAATTCCGTGGTACTTTTGACTCAATGCAGCCAAAGAATCAGGGTCCCTTATTGCTGGAGGGACCAGGTGTGAAAGACCAACCAAGGGGAGAAAATAAAAAATCTGACATTCCAGAGCCTGGCACACACAGAGACGCCATCACAGCTCACACAGTCAGAAGACCAGAAATAATGATACTAGGTAGAACTTCATATTTCTCTTCTAATTACCTTGTCACTCACAAAGTTTGTGAATGTCAAAGATCTCAATTCTTATGGAACAGGTATATTTCATTTAGTGTGCCCACTGCAACACCAACTAATGTTATGTGTTGTTAATCTATCAGACTTTACTTTGAAAGCATTGCTGTTGCAAAATATGTGATATTGCTTATTTGCATGAAGAGTTCAAATAACTAATATGACTGAAGCATGATTTAGTTGAATTACTCTAGTGAGAATTCAACATTTCAGGTTATCATGAAGTACCAGATAAGGCCAAGTCCCGGTTTTCCCCAGCTTTCCAGATTGAGGACCGGTCGATAGTTATCCCCCCTGTCTCTAGTGAGGAGGAGATCCTGGCTAATGCCACCACCTCCAGGACAGAGGAAAGTGTGATCCTCAAATACCTGAGTGCCGACGTCAGGTTCTCCATCACTGTAGCTCTGTCCCTCATAACAATACTGGCTGTCGTGTATTACTTCCCAAAGGTAGGCTTTTGCTCTGTTTATCCATTTCTTACATCTCCTTTGACAATTAGGCCATAATAAATAAATTGTTAGATTCTCATCCGTTTTTTTTTTTAAATCGAGGCGGGCGGGCGGATTTTATTTTATTTTATTTTTTTTTTCAGTTTTGCAGATTTTTTATTGACCTAGTCAATCGGTGTAATTTTATCTACAATACCTGAATAAAAGTCATAATAAAGGTTCAATTATCTCTTACTTCACATCATCACCAATCTTTTTCAACCAATGACCCTTGTTTAAAATATATACGCATGTATTACAGCATTACCATCTTTTCAGCTGTCAAAATCATGTCGACTTTCGTAGGATTTAAAACGAAAGTAAAATGGTAGATGAATACCGATCCCGATCAGAATTAAGACGAAGAAAAACAGAAATAAAAAAAATCAAGGCGGGGGTATAACATCGGGGCGGGCGGGGATGAGAATCTAAGAATATTTTTATTATGACCTTATCTAGCCATGGATATTATTTAACAGAAACAGTGCTTGGATTGATATTAATGTAACCAAGCAGTAATGAGAACAGGTCACGTTTTAATCTTTATTAAACACCAATAAACAGCAATGGCATATCCTATAAAATAATATACATGATTATAACTTCAAATAGAATGAAAAATAACATAAGTTATGAAAAAATAACAAGTTATGAAAAGAAAAGTATTTCAAAAGCAAATACCTTTACGGACAGCACGGCCTCGAGAAGTTGTGACCTTGAAAACTGGCTGGCGGGACAAGTAATTTCAATCGAACATGAGTATTTATACCTAGACCTACTGCGCAAGTGGATTGAGTTGATTTCCAAAATACGCCAGTCAGGAATAGGATTACAAAGAGTGTTCGACAAAAGCCTTTACAAAATGTTAGAATCATACTCACTTAATTCAATAATCGAATAAGAAATAAGTTAACAAAAGTGAGTAGGGTATTAGCCTAAATAAATATATGAATTAAAATATGTAATTACTTCGTCACATTAAGAGTGTGTTTTAATGTACTGTATATAGAGGTGTTTAAAAAATTGGTTAAATTTGTTAAAGAAAACAGACTGTGTCTAGAGTGATGTGGTAGGGTGTGTTTGGTATACTTTACATGCATAAATAACTGATACATTTGTTAAACACAGAGAACTGAGCAGTCCATAAAGATAATGCTACAGAAACAGATAGAAGAACAAAGAGAGAGGGATAAAAAACAGATATCAGCTCAGACTTCCCTCCAGGGGTCGTCGTCTTCATCTGACCTGTATGAAGGTACCGTCCTGTTCCTTGTTTGTTGAAGACATTAACATAAAAATAAATTGTTAATACATGTACAGCGAATGAAGTAAAAGATTTTTTAATTTTTTTTTTTTTTTTTTGCTGAAGCATTGATTTCTGTTTTCAGCTGTCCCTGAAGGCCATTATCAAGTTGGCAAGATCTTCTATAATCCCAAATGTGTGTTAGGACATGGCTGTGAGGGAACCATTGTTTACAGGTAGCACTTTTAGTACATGTATAAATTCTGTGTCTTATAGATGTCTAAAGAAAGATATATAAAATGTAGGGCTGTCACGGGTACCCGAAATGACCCGGAACCGCGGAACAATTCATTCGGGTCGGGTACGGTTCCGTTTTTCTGGAATTCGGTTCGGTTCCGATTTGTATAGGAGAGTAGATTTTACTATAAAATGGCGTCAAAAACGAGAGTTTTGTTAGTAAATTGTCATCAAAAGGCAGGGTTTCAGATTGGCGTCGGCCATTTGCCAATAAAAGTTTATCTGCTATCATGGCCTATAAGTTTCAACTTTGACATTGAACAGACACAATGGCCGATTATCTTCTGTATGTAAAGGCCAGTCGTATAATTTTTCCTCCATTCAGATCCGATTGTTTTTCTCTACTTTCTGCAACTGCCGATTCAATCAGCCAATGACACTGACATTTGGGTATAAATGGATCTTGACAAAATACTCTATAATTTTATTTCCAAACCCAACTGCAAGGAGCATAAAGTAGTGATGAATGTTTAAAACATCGAAGGAATCCATGCCATGTTGTTATTTCTACCGCCATGATTGAATATGGGGTCGGACTAATAGCAGGAAACGGACAATGTTGCAAGGTTTTACTAAGGGAAAAAAATAGTCTAGGTAATCTTTAAACGTAATTATACATTGAATATCATCAGAGATACAAGTCTAATTTTTGGATTACTATTTTTAGAAATTGTAATCCCAAGAAATAAATACATTTACATGTAATGAAAGGTGGAACTAATATAAGTTAAACCCATTGAATGGAATTAAAAAAAAACAATTCCCATTCTGTTTCAATATATTAATTTTGTTTAAAAGAAACAAAAAATATTTCCACCTTATTAAAAGGAAAATTAATATACATGTTTGATATTTTATGTAATAAAATGACTATTTTGTAAAAGTCTGACAGAAATCTGAGTTAGTTTAACTTTTCTATTGGCCTATAATTTTAGGAAGTTTAGGACAGAATGGCCTATAACTTTTCTGGTAAATATGCCAGATGTCCTATAGTTACTTATTTCAATCTGAAACCCTGAAAGGTGAATTAAATAATTTGATACAGTTGTTGTCTAGTCAGGAGGCTATTTTAAACTAGTTATAATGATGTAATTTCTAAGATTAAATGTGAATATTCTTTTTATTGCTGAAAATAATACAAATCATGAGCTTTTCTTCCATTACCTAAACCGAACCTCAAAAAATCAGAACCGACCCGACCCGAAAAATTTTGGAACCGTGACAGCCCTAATAAAATGCAAGTAGAAAAATTATCATTTTTAAATATTAAAGTCATACATGTAATGTAGTAAACTGAATATTGACTTTGCAAAAGCTTCTGTGCATTAGAATAAAAGAAATGATTAATTTAGAGATGGATTTGACAACAGTGAGGTTTTTTTTTAAGTAATAATATGAATATTTTCAGGGGGAAGTTTGACAATCGTGATGTGGCTGTGAAGCGTTTACTTCCAGAGTGTTTTACGTTTGCTGACAGAGAAGTAGAACTGCTCAGAGAGTCTGACCAACATCATAACGTTATCAGATACTTCTGCATGGTCAGATGTAGTTTTCTTTACTTTGTGGTTCTGTTTTAGCGGCAGAAAAATCTAGAGTGTCTAAATAAATTCTGTTACATTTCTTTGCTGAAATACTGGATTCTTAAGAAGATTTCTTGGAAATAAAACTCATGGATTGAGATCATTTAGATATAAAATAATAACAATACAGGGATGAAGTTTAACTCATAAATGTAGGAAATATGATATTTTTCAAACAATTCAGTTTTATGTCACTAACATCACCATGTTGGCATACAGTCAAGAAAAACACAATTCAAATGACAAACAGAGGAAAACTTGATAATGACAGTCACTCCAGTTCTTGAAATGTAATTGAGAGTTTTTTTCTTCCTACAGGAAGCAGATAGCCAGTTCCGATACATAGCTTTAGAACTGTGTATAGCCACAGTACAGGATCTTATAACGGGAAAGACACAGTATACCTACAAAATGGACGCCATCGATATCTTATTTCAGGCACTGTGTGGAATCTCTCATCTACATTCTCTAGATATTGGTAAGAGAGAAAATAAGACTGCTGAATTTTTTCTAGTACATATACCCTATGCCAAGTGAATTACATTCACTGTTAAGATATTTTTTGAACCATTTTATTCAAGTTACAAGAAAGTGATTGTAATTATTGAACATGCATATTTTACTGCTTTTTTTGAAATTGTAAATTTGTTCCAAGTTTTGAATATACATTTACAAAGAGGCACACATACTACAATAATTTATATATGTACAGTTGAAGTTTGAAACAACGGCTTTAATATTTCTTTTCTCTCTCCGTAGTTCACAGAGATGTGAAACCACACAATGTGTTGCTGTCTCAGCCAGACTCCAGAGGTCAGATTAGGGTCATGATATCAGACTTTGGTCTGTGTAAGAAGCTGGCGGCCGGTAGGATATCCTTCTCACGACGCTCCGGGGCGGCCGGCACCGAGGGCTGGATCGCTCCGGAGATGTTAGACGAAGAACAGAGGACTGTAAGTATTCTGTAAATCACTGAAAACTTTGTTCAGCTGTATAAAGCAAAGGATTGAGTGATCAAGAATTTTTTATGATGTCAATAAATAAGCATATTTCATAATTAAGAAACTTGGTTATCTTCTATTCTTTATTTTTCTCTAGTGTGCCAAGTTTATGTATGTTTAGTTTAAAAGATACAGTGCTTCATTGAGATGAATAATTTCTTTATCTTAATGTTTTGATTACTTTCCTTTTCAGACTTGTGCAGTAGATATATTTTCAGTTGGGTGTGTATTTTATTATGTCCTAACAAAAGGAAAACATCCATTTGGAGATTCCTTGAGGAGGCAGGCAAACATTTTATCTGGAGAATTCAATCTGGATAGTTTACCTATGACAGGTATATATAAGGATAGCACATCTATTCAGACACAATGTATATTAATTTATTTGTATATATATACATATATGTAAAGTAAGTTAACTAGCTAAATAAGATCATGATTATATCAAATACATGTATGATAATTCCTGGTTATTTCAGAGGGCTATGTCAGGAGGAATCTCATTGAGAAAATGATCAGCTATGATCCTACGCAGAGACCTACAGCCAAGACAGTGCTACAGCACCCCTTCTTCTGGAGCAGGGAAAGACAACTCATGTTCTTCCAGGTATTTCATATTTGTTTAGAATAAAATTGAAGGAAAAATTTAATTTTAAGGACTTTAGTAGATTTGTCTAGAAAACTTTGATATACTGAATATATCTGTATTGGATATGACTGACCCAATCTGAAAACAATATTTGACGTAAATCTTTATTTTGTAAATGTGTAGTTATGTGATCTATTGTATATTTCAGGATGTTAGTGACAGAATTGAAAAAGAGGCAGCAGACAGTGAAGTGGTCCAGCACTTAGAACGCGGCGGCCTGGAGGTGGTCAAGTTTGACTGGAGACGACACATCACCGAGGAACTACAAAATGGTAAAAACAAACCCAAACATATCATCTTAGTCGGATAGGTTGTTCTCGGCTTAGAATGCATCTATGGATGATTTTGTCATTGCAGTCTTTGAAGCATAGCTTCTTTATTATGATTCTGATCCTCTGGAATGCTTCAGTCCAGAAGGACAGTTCTGGTTTATTTTAATGTTATTATTCTGTACTGTATAAGATAGTAAGCATCTTTGAGTTTCTTAAAACGACTTGAAAGGAACTAGATATTTTTTGTAAGATTTTTTTTACACTTTTTTTTTCACAGATCTGAGAAAGTTCAGAACATACAAAGGACAAAATGTGAGAGATCTTTTAAGAGCCATGAGGAATAAAGTAAGTATATGTTAATGGTTTAAAAATACTTTTTCCCCCTAGAAACTTCCTATACTGGATTTATTTTACAAATCTTCAAATAATACATGTATTTCTAATACTTTAGTCAGAAAAAAAACCTTTGTCAGATAAATATTTTTTCTGTAAGGCATTATTTAAATTTTTGTTCTTTTGCCCTCCTTTTTATTCACTTTAGAAAACATTACATTTCAGAAACACCATTACCGTGAACTCCCTGAGGAAGTGAAGAATTCATTAGGAGCCATTCCAGACCAGTTTGTGTATTATTTCACGACGCGATTCCCCAAACTTCTGACTCACACTTACTATGCCATGATGTGCTGTAAACATGAGCGTGTCTTTAATCAGTACTACAATATGGAGGAATAGTGTAATGTTTTTATACAAGACAATAAATTGTATTTTTTCTGAAAGGCATTATTTTGATCAAAATTTTTGCTCCGTTGTGCGTTGGCGTCGTTGTCTTCGTAAACTTTTCACATTTTCATCTTCTTTCAAGAACCACTGGGCCAATTTAAACCAAACTTGCTACAAAGTATCCTTGGGTAAAACAATGTATGAAGGGCCACGCCCTTTTCCAAGGGGAGATAATTATGAATTAGAGAAAATTAAACACAAGAACCATTGAAACTCACCAGGTAGTGTAGATTTAAGTTTGAATCATGCCCTGGGGGTAGGGTGGGGCCAAAATGGCCGATCAAAGTTTTACATAGCAATATATAGGAAAAATCTTTATAAATCTTCTTCCAGACACTGGGCCAGGAAAGATGAAACTCATGTTCCTCAGGTAGTGTAGATTCAAATTTGTTCAAATCATGACCCCTGGGGTTAGGGTGTGGCCAAAATGGCCGATCAAAGTTTTACAGTGCAATATATAGGAAAAATCGTAAAAAATAATATTCTCAAGAACCACTGGGCCAGGAAAGATGAAACTCTCACACAAAGTTTTACAGAGCAATATATGCCATGACTGGGCCAGGAAAGTGCTGAATCATCCTCAGGAAGTGTAGATTTAAGTTTGTTCATATCATGACCCCTGGGGTTAGGGTGGGGCCAAAATGGCCGATCAAAGTTTTACAGAGCAATATATAGGAAAAATCTTCTTCTCAAGAACCACTGGACCTGGAAAGAGGAAACTCATGTGGAATCATCCTCAGGTTAGTGTAGACTCAATTTTGTTCAAATCATGACCCCCGGGGGTACGGTGGGGCCAAAATGGCCGATCAGTGTTTTACATAGGAATATATGGGAAAAATCTTCTTCTCAAGAACCATTGAGACAGGAAAGATGAAACTTCTGTGGAATCATCCCTAGGTAGTGTAGATTCAAGTTTGTTGAAATCATGACCCCCGGCGGTAGCGTGGGGCCATAATGGCCGATAAAAGTTTTACATAGGAATATCTAGGGGAAACTTTTAAAATCTTCTTTTCAAGTACTTTAAAGCCATGCTTAGTAATATTTTAGGGAATCATTTGTGTAGATTGAAACATGTAAACTTTCAGTTCTGATCTGATGTGTGCTTTTTCTTAGCCAATTGCTCAGGTGAGCGATGTGGCCCCTGGGCCTCTTGTTTGTTTTGAAACTGTAACATATTTGCTGTTAAATCTTCATCTTTTCACCAACCTGAAATTTTAATTCATTTTGAGGTGTAGAAGTTTTTTTTCAAATTCTTTTCGGTTTTGTTTGTTTTATGTACATGTACATTCCTTTGTTTGTTTTTAAAAATTTTGTTGCTGAAAGGGCATTTTATAACATGTACTAATTTTCTCTGCATCACCCTCATTGCTTTGTCCATTTTGGCGCCCTTAGATTTTGAGGGTATTTCATGAATCCTTTGTATGGAGTTTTATTTTAGACTCATCCATTGAAAAAAAAAAACATTGCCAATATTTTTTGAAGACTTCATTAAACCATTTTCACATCTTAGTGTTCATAAAATCATTTTCACATTTGAATGTTGTGTACATTATTATTTTAAATTGTCGGGAAAGAATAGCTACATTTTTTTTTATAAAAACATTCACTTCATAAGAGGAGTTCTGTCTTTAACATTTCAATTTTGATGAAATGCAAAATTCACAGTTTCTCTATTTTTGTACCATGACTGGGTGCTACAATGTGTTATAAATATTCATATTTCATGCATATTAATCATGTGATCTAAAATATTGCAATTTGATTGGGTAATGGATATGCCCTCTTGTTATTGATTATTGTTTAAAATTGTGTTGTGTAAATTTGAATGTTAGATGGTATTTTTATGAAATGGATTAATATTTATAAATGTGATGTAAAGTCATGATTAACTTCACTTTGTAGAGATGATGGTGCATGTTAGATCAAAGCTGTGTTGTAATAGTTTTGTACTTGTACTTGGTTTGTGATTCTATTGCTTGTATATTTTGCTCCTTGAAACATGGGACAGTTGCTCAAGATTTTACTCTACTTTGATCTTTATTACTTTTGCATTGGAGAAAGGAAAAGAGCCAATTTAATTAGAATTATATGTTCCAAATCTGCATGGGATGCTGTAAACTTGTGCTTGCAAGTATTATTCGAAGTTTCTTTGTCCTTGTGTGCATAATGGAAAAAATGTCATTTTCACCAGGTTCAAATGTTAAATGCTACCTTCAATTAAAGATGCCTTTCTGTGCTTTTCTACAAGGGGTTGCTCAGCTTTGCAGTGTCCTTGTTTAAATCAGAATGAAAATGAGCTGACAATAAATTTTGTAAGCAGAAGGACTTTAAAATCTATAGCTTTAAAGATGTTTAATAAGCATTTAGATTTATTGAATTTATTTACTAGGAAGTGTCATAACTTAAATATGCACAAATATTTATTTCAAATAGAATGTACCTGGATAGTTGTTAGTAGAAAGATTTATTTAGATTTAGTAGAAAGTTTAGCTCAGAATGCTTTGTAAATATTTTGCAATATTTTCCTAGTCTTACATTCCGTCAAATGTTTTAATATATAATAATTTATTTCATCTGCCTTTTTGTCTGTGCAATTTGTAATTAGTGTGCAAGTTGTTTGTGAAAGAGATGTATGAAAACAAACTTCAAAAAGAGATATATTTACATGTAGTTGTATGTACTAAATATAGAATTTCATTTCATGTAACCAGACAAAACCACAATAAGTTTGAATTCTTGGTTGTTATAAAATTAATAGGTCAATATTAAAATGTTAAGCATGTTTTTTTCCATGGCCATAAATTACAGTATTACTTACAATATTTAATGCAATTTTCTCTATTTTTAAACAGCTCTTCTTTTCAGAAGCCCTCTTAACATCATTTAAAATATTTTGATATTCATCCAATCTCAGAAAGGTTAATTGAGAAGATTGCCATTTTCTCTGTAGATCAAGATTAAGTCTAAATTGTTCTTTTTTTCATTCTGTGTCATCGACTTCTAAATCAATAATTTATAAATTACATGGATACTCCTCTTATGAGAAGATAAAGAAAGCATCGCCATGTCTTGCTATTTTCAATATGTATTTATGTTTGATATTCATTCATTAAATTACATTGTGCTATCAATTGGACATAGTGCCGGTATTATAAACAGAAATCTCATTTTGAAAGTTTATCAAGTTTGAACATTGTTTTTAATGTTCTTCTCCATGCATCCATGTTTGTTGTGAAGATTTTAATTTTTAGGACAGAAAGAGGAGAAAAAGAAAGTGTGAATTTTATTGTGGATATTTGTATCGAAAAAAAAAAAAACTTTTGAGCACTGTTATAAATATTTGTTTATATATCTTTTTTAATATATTGAAATAAATAATATAAACATTTTGTTTTGCTTCTGTCCTATAATTATGAAGATTGTATTTATAGAATACTAAATGCATAGGTACAATGTACATGTATATTCATGAGTTCTTTTCACTTTTAAAAGCAATTTTAACAAAGCTTGTGAGGAAATCCCATTATTGTTTATTATATTAATTTCAGTTTGTCTGTCCGTCTGTCTTTCTGTAACACTTTTGTTTTAACACAATATCTCGAAAAGCCTTTGAGCTTTTGCTATGAAATTTTACATTATTTCCTGTGGCCTATAGAAGGGTCCCTATTGATTCTGAGTTCAAAAGTCAAGGTCATAAATTCACAAATTCTATTTGTTTAAATTAACGCTTGTTACCACGCAATATCTCGATAACCCTTGAGCTTATGCAGCTAAATTTAATACCACAACTCCCTAATGCCTAATGAAGACCCTTATTCATTCTAAGGTCAAAGGACAAGGTCATAAATTCACAGTCATTCTATTTTAATATGTGTAAAACTTTTATTTCCGATCGATAACTCAAGGAGAGCTTTTGAGCTTTTGCAGTGAAATATCACACCATATAAACCAGCAAGTATTCAACTTAATATATGTGAAATATAGCAACTATATTTTTAGGTCACCTGAGTCACTCAGGTGACCTATTGCTATCTGTTTTTGTCCATCGTCATACGTCGTTCGTCGTCAATCGGTCGTAAACTTTTGAACATTTTCAGCTTTTTCTCTGGAACGCCTCAGCTTATTTTAACCAAATTTGGTACACAGCATTTATGGGTGAAGGGGAACAAAAATTGTGAAATTCATGGCCCCTGCCCCCCTGGGGCCTGAGGGGTGGGGCCAAAACCACCAAAATTAATGCAATCTTTAAAAATCTTCTTCTTTACTCCTGGAATTCTAGCAGTCAAACTGTTGGCATGATGATAATCAGCATTGAGTCCTCCACCAAAATTGTGAAATTCATGGCCCCAGGGTCAGGGGTTCTGGGGTTAGGGTGGGGCTATATAGATCATATAGTAAAAGTGCATTGTTTCTTTGAAAATCTTCTTCTCTGCTCCTATGTATTAAATAAACTAACTACATATATTGTTATGATGAGCAAGAATGCCTCTTCCAAAATTGTGAATTTTATGGCCCAGGGTCTGGGGTTCTGGTGTTAGGGTGAGGCTTTATTGATTATAAGTAACTGACAAGTCTTTTTGATATAATTTTTTTTTTGTTTTTGATAATTTTATTTAGTTCTGTATGGAATGCCATATACGACAGCCAACTGCTTACTGCCAAATGTCAGCTGCTTACTGCCAACTGCCACACATATTTGAATAAATTTTATTTTTATATTGATATTTATATAAATTAAAAAAAAAAGGCACGGATCTATAGGACATTTTTTCCAAGAGGGTCACTCTGGTAAAAAAAAAAATTGAATAAAATGACAAGAAAAAAATATGTTTTATAAATGTGAAAATATTCAATATATGGGGTTGCGTCATACTTTCATGTGTATTGTATTTTTTTTTGAATCCACATTTTCCTATTTGAAAGGTCCTTTTAGTTGATTTATTTTATACATTAAATAACTTTTAGTTGGTTTAGTTTTTTAAAACAACTTTACAAAAGAGGGGCCCCCCCCCCTCTCTCTAGATCTATGCATGTAAAACATATTTCATTTGTAGAGAACAAAGAGATATAAATGTTTGTCGCGTTTTCTAGGAGGAGGGTCCAAGGTCAGTTATACCGGTAGTTCGTTTTAGTTTATTTAACGTATGGCTGTAAAATTTTTTGCCCCCCCCCCCCCCCCCGATCTAAATGTGAAACATTAACACACACAGATATACATCTGTGTGTTGAGAAAATTTTTAACTATAGAATATAATGGAAAACGGAAATCTATTTTCAAAACATCTTTCTCTGCGAAACGACAAATCTTTTTTATTATTATTATTCTCTCTTCAAAGGTTTTGTTGTCTCCGGGTGGGGGGGGGCTTCTTTAACGATTAAAAGCAGAAAATAGTCATTTTATTACCTATTTCAAACAGGAAAACAAATAAAAAAAATAAACAATGTACTTTATCAACCGCATATATTGAATATTACATAAGATAAAACATATTGGTCATTTTATTCAATTCAATTTTACCTAAAAGTTATTTAATGGAAAAAAATCAACTAAAGTGCCTTTTTCCCCCTTTTTGTGAAAATTCATATAAATATCAATACAAATATAAAATTTATTCAAATATGTGTGGCAGTTGGCAGTAAGCAGCTGACATTTGGCAGTAAGCAGTTGGCTGTCGTATATGGCATTCTAGCCAAATGCAATGAAAAATATTGTGAAAATAAACACAAAATGCATTAATTTGGAATTTCTTAATCTATTTAATAGAGGAAACATTACTGTTATACTTCGGGATTTTTGTTCGTTTCATAAAGAACAGTGGCCCTTTTCAAAAAGAATCTTACGACCAGGACTTTTTTTTTTTTAAAATTTTACCCATTCAATATAAAAAACAAATATCAAACATGTGTGCAAAAAATATTTTTCTATAACATTATACTAAAAATTTTTGATTGAATTGCAATGAATTAATTAGGAAAACAATATCTTTATTAGATCAAGAGTTACAGAGTCATGAAATTTTAGTATTAGTCGTAAGATTTTTTGTGAAAAAGGCCACAGGGTAACAAGTCTACCATTTCAATACTGCGCAGAAGACAGAGCAGGCATATTGAAACAGAATTTCAATTATTTTAATTAAGATAGTTTGTAATAACGCCGATGTAAATTGAATAAATAAAATTAATACTTAAAAACAATTTATACGATTTTAACCCCTCTGTGTGGGAAAAATTTCGAATCATATGCGCGTGCTTAAAAGATTCAAACAAAAATTTCAAAATATGAATAATAAAGTAATAAAGCATAGTTGCAAGAAAAAAAGGAATGTATTTGTTGTAGGTTTGTAGCATATCCGGAAAGAATGGGTAACAGAGTGAAAATTAATTGTAGCTATCAAATACGCTGTGACATAAAAATGAATCCAAATAATGATATCAATATAACTGTTTTTTTTTTTTTTTTTTTTTTACAATAAACACAAGAAGAGAGGTACGAGAGGTAAAATTTGTGGAGACCCCGATACATTTAAAGTATTTCACTTTGTTGGAGGGGGGTGTTGTTATTTGGATGTACGTGTGTAGTTTAAGAAAGGTTAGTCTTCTTTCGAATGATTCCTGAGGCTTGTTCAACAGAGCGAGCACTGACGAACATTTCTTTTGCAGGATTAAGGAATTTTGACTAGCGCTCGCTCTTTCTAAACAGGCCTCTGGTGAACGAGATAGAGCATTATTCACTGTTGGGGTCAGTTGATGCTATAAATAGAATATATCGGTTGACGAGACTTGTTTTTCATTGGATGCACTTTGATCTCTCGATGATCGATCTTTAGTCACGTGTTCATTTTGGTGGGATTTTTCTGTTGTTCTTTTGTTCACAAGTCGCCATACTGGAAGTGAGTGTGATATGTTTCCGTTGAATCATTTGTCGTGTTTTAAAGTTGACATGGATTTTTGAATTCTTACACCGGGTGAGTTGTCTTGAAATGAATGCATTTTGTTCCATTTTGTAGCGCAAGTTTGATTTTGTTTGTTCCAAACTTGTAAAACTAGTTTATCAGGACTGTGAACACAGGACAGTTGGGCAAATGTTCAAAGATTTTTCCTTGTTTATCAGATGTACGTCCTGGACGATATGGTGAAATGGGAAATGCCCAGTTGACGGTATCTCTTCATTTGAGCAGCAGTCTTTCTGCAGTCATCGGCAGGTAAGATCACGTGACAGTTACAAATTGACATCATAAAACAAAAAACAAGTTATAAAACCTTGTCACATATTTCTGCTTAGACACTCCTCATTTGAAGGTCTATGTTCTTTTTGAGCTGATTCAGTATCTGTGGTCTAGGATTTTAGACCCTGTTCATTAAGAACCGGGCCCCTACAGAAAAGAGCCCAAAGGCTGAGATTGTCAAATGCAAAGGTCAAACTCTTTCCTTTTATTATTGGAAATTTGAATACTGATTATAACTTCAAATCATATTTCAAAGTTCTATGTATGCTGAAAAGGCTGATATTGCCAGCATCAATTTCTTAAAATATCTATCAAACACTCTTCTCGGAAGTTTGCTACACTAGCTAAGAGTCCCCATTTCACCGAATAAATCTCCATTTCTTTAAAAGACTAGCTTTAGGCTTTCTGGAATACCGTGTCATTTATCACACATATTGCCTGTCCCTGCCCTTTAACCTTGTTACTAGCCTTCTGATAAGCATCCTAGAAAGCTTCTATTCTTTTGAAAAATTCATTTCAGCAACTTCTAAATGAATATTGGTAACATGAACATCAAATTATGATAACTGCGTTTATAACACAATCATTGTAAGACCAAGTTTTCCTTGACTTTTTTCAGATGGAACAAAAATGCAGGATTTGATGTTTAAAATGATATATATAGTTTGTAATAGAAGTATGATAGGTAAGAAAAATAATTAGATATAAAATGTAACATATATTATGAAACACCCTGTATATCAGCAAAATTATTGGGGGTGGCTTTCCTATATGGCCATGAAGATAGCAAAGAGTACACTATGGTCAGGCAAAAGAATCGATTACAGAGGTCGGTTACAATTACTAGATTTGACCACATACATTGAATTAGCTATATTCCTTTCTCTGGTTTATCCAAAATAGGTTGATTTAGCAACATATATTTGCTATAGTGTACATGTAAAAATTTTTGTTGCATAATTGTAATCAACATTTCAATTTAAAGCAATATAAACTTTTGTTATACTCATACAATGTATTTGCAGTCTGAAAATTTTTGTTTTAATTGTAATTAAGCAATATATTACATTATTGTCGTCCTATACAATATTGATTTCTTAAATAATACATTACTAGATTGTACAAAACTTTTGTTTATTACTTTGTTCTAGTCTAATTCATCATAAAGGTTTAAATTATAAAAACATTTATCATAGTATAAACACATTTTCAACAGCTAAATAATAGGGATGGGTATCGCCAAAAATTTTGTATGATATAAGCATTTATATATAATATCATTATTTTTACAAGCAATTTTCACACTGATTTTTAATGAACTGTCATTATTTTTCTTGAAAGTGTGCTAAAAAAACAAAATTTCACTTTTTTGAAATTTTCATTTACATAAAATTAATCATGGTTGGATGGTAAGATGCCGTTCTTTTCACCTTTTTCAATATTTCTAGACATTTTATAATTGTAATTTGAAAGATTGAACAAATAAATGAAAAATTTTTGGACTTTTAAATTATAAAAACGGTATTTTTCCGTATCACGATACGTATACGCAACACATATACCGGTAACAGCTAAATAAAATGGTCAAAAATGCAGCTCATTTTGCTTTAATGAAAGTCCATACTTTTACGGATCTGGTTTTAATTTTACACACCAATAAAAAAAAATTTAATTATCACTTCTTTACAGAAATAATATATTTTTGGATGATTGATAATCATGTAGCAGGTATATATTTGTTTATTATAGTGTCATACAAGCATTTGATTTACATTTGTTATACATTTGATGTTATGGAAATTAACACTTTGTACTCTATTCATAGGATCTATACATGTATGTCATTAAGTACAAACAAAGACACATAATTCTTAATTGCCTTTATGGACATAAAGCTTTTTAATTTAAAAAAAAAAACCAAAAAACTAGAGATCTATTTTTGTTGATTTTAAGCATGTTTCTCCTTTTGAAATTTTACTTTTTTTAAATTTTGCAAAGAATGATTGAAAAATTTCATATTCCAAAATAGGGGGTATGCATGTTCAAAAGGCTGTTTTGTTATTTTTTACTGGTCAACAATAATAAAATATGTGTTTTTGTTAACCTTAGATATAATTCTTTATAGGTTTAAAGAAAAAATGGTAGTCATAAACAATTTAGATTTTGAGATTTATAAAAAAAGAAATTTTCAAATATTCTCCTGGAAAATCAATTATTTTTTATTTTCACAAGTTTTAACATGAATTTGATGTGATTTGGTGCCTAGGGAAATAAAATATGATATTAGACTTCTTTATGTTCAATTTTGGCAACAAGATTGCCACTTCTCCTAAGTATTAAGAATAAAATTTAAAAATTGTGAAAGCTAGTGCAAAGATGTGTCAATCAAACCCACCAAAGAATTGGAAGTTTTAATAACTTTTAAATGAAATAAGATTTTTAATTTATTTTTGTGTGAAATGCTATTAAAATATGACTGCCGTCATGAGAAAAGGGCCCTTAAGGTCAAATTTTCACAAAATGACTTTTTGGTAAATTTTGATAGCCGGACTCTTTCTGAATGCAAATATAGACAAATTTTGAAAATATCTCACTTTTTCCCTATTTTATGAGCATTTTAGTGAGGCGCTCCAAAAATAACTTTGACGTTAGTCAGTGAAAACGTTATCATGACGTCGCCTGCGTCTAATTCAATTTTCAAAAAAATCTTGAAATTACGTTATTTAAATAACATCAATCGATTTGAGAATTAAAAACTTGAGGAAGTATTTAATTTTTTCTTCCAAGCGACTAGTATTTAACTATTCCTAAGGGATTTCGTATATAATCACTATTTTCATGCTAATTTTAGCCATTTTGTCTGTTTTGTCACAGACTTCCGTCTGTCATGTGTAATTCATACGAAGCCAAACATGAACAGATGATAATGAGTTAATGACCAATAATTGCAGGTGGGGGATTTAATTAATATGGATTTATTGTTAAAAGATCTTTATTGATGTTCTTAATATACAAATTAAGTTGTTGAATATTTTCATGACAATCTAGGAATGCTTTATTAATTACATAATCTGAAGGAAAATCAGGGAAATGTATTTGAACATTTTATATCCATATAAATTAACAAATTCTTTTTATATAAAATTAACTTTTTAAATTCAATTTATACAATATATGAAGCAGTTGTAACACTTAAAACAGGTTTGACTGTATTCCTAAGGGATTTCGTATATAATCACTATTTTCATGCTAAAGATTAAAAGCTTTATAACATAAATATATATAGAGAGGTTGTAACACTTAAAGATTAAAAGAAATATATATAGAGAGGGAATCCGATGCAGAAGGACACCGCACGCAAATAGGGGCACGCCTCGCAAAAAGCACATCGATCCCGATATTTAAAAAAAATCTTATTAGACAGCATCCACTCACCAACATTTATTCCCTATAACTGTTACGATAAAAAAAACACCGTGTATTTTCTGTATCATCGAAGAATTCAATTGAGAAATAATAAATTCAGATACGCCAAAATATGTAAACTTGTTTTTTAAAACGTTTATTCCTTTAATAAACATTCATGAAAAAAAAATATACGTTCCCTTCTTACATGCAAGGAAGTAAGGAATCAATCCTTACGTCGCCGGTTCGAATCCCACTGTGGGACATGGAGACCGGTCCTTCGAATGAGACCGAGGTCCCGTGTCGCAGTAGGTGCTGGCACGAAAAAGATCCCTCCCTGCTCAATAGCTCTGAGAGCTGAGTATAGGACAACATTTGCAGCTCTCCACCGGCAAGTGGTGGTGTCTCCATATAAGTGAAAAACTTTCTTTGAATTTATACCTCAATTTGAAACTGTCTTTTAACTTATTTTTTAAAGAAGTAAATCACAATTAAATCGGTTAGAAATATTTCTGCACATTAACTTTTTAAAAAAAATTTGTCGCACCTGTACCCTGTTTCACTTAAACACAACATTTGTATATTCTTATAAGGACCTCTGGTAATTATTCCCTCTATTAAATCCGGCCACACCAAAAATATATATGATTTATGTATAAAAATGATTTATGTATTATATTGTATAACTATAATCAAAGAGATGGGAATTGTGCATAAAAATTGTTCTAAATTTTGACGAACCGTAACATTTCACCCGACTTTCAAAATCTATTTGAAACAGCTGAATGAATACTAATATATTTTTACGCAAGAACGGCAGGCCCTTAGGAAGCCATTTCAGTTGGGGGGGGGCTATATTTTTTACAGTTGTGGGCACTTTCAACCATCAAATTTTCCTTGACAAGCAAAACAATTTTTTACGGCCACGAACGGTCATCTATTCATTTTCCTCCGTGACAATGGTTTATTAACTTGATACCTTATAAGTTTTTCACTTTTCGATGCGATTGTCTTATCTTATATTGAACATTACGTCCAAAATACGTTAATGCTTTTTGTATGAGGCGATGCTGTTAATTAAATAATAGTATACCGCTCTAATTTGACTCTCTTTCGCTGAAAATCTTTAGGCAAGCCATTTTCCCCTAGTTATTACTTCAGAACATACCAAACATATCAAAATAAAACAAACATTTGACTCGTACCTTCGCCTGTCCCCACACAACTCGTTTGAAAATGAGGGGGGGGGGTTCAGATAGGGGAAAAAAATAAATCTACTTTAAAAAAAAAACCTACTCACCCCCCACCCCCCAAAGGTGTGTGTGTCGAAACTCGAATCCAATTTCGCCGTTGGGGAGGGAGGAAGGTAGGTTCAGTCTTCTTTCAGTATCAAATTTTCTTAATCAAACATAATACAGTGCCTTATTCTTTTTTTTGCCCTATAGAGCACGAATTTGACTATGATGCAACAAAAAAGTGTGTATGTGTGTGGAGGTCAGGGGGGGGGGGGGACTTTCAATGTACACCCCAACCTCCGTTGCTACTTGCGTGCGACTGTAATGGCCAATATTTTAATTAAAGGAAGAAAAATTAGTGTTTGTTTATTAATTACTTTCCGTAGAGTCATGTTAGGATTATGATATAAAGTCTTATCTCGGAACTTTAAGAAATTAATGTCGAGATATGCGGGGGTATTTTGATACATGTATCAGAGTTGAAGATTTCAACGCAAAATGTGACTTATTTATTTCATATCATGAAAAGTCAGTGATATATATTTCACGCTCATTAAAGTTTTTAAAGATTTTAAACACTTTCATAACTTTTGGAAATTATACCCATAACAATTTGTCACATACTTTTTGCTCTTTCAGTGATGTATTTGATGTTATCCAGAAATTCGTATGTCTTTTTGCTTAGCTATAGTTTTTCCCCCCTTTTTGACTTATAAAAATCCTCATTGTTAATTTCTTCAACATTAGGTATAATGCTTTTGGGGAAAGTCTACAATAGCTGTATTTAATTTCTTAACATATTGCAAAATAGGTTCCAGTGGGATTTCATTCATTCATTTCATCGAAACAATTTCAGAAATTTGAAACAATAGTAATTTTTACCATACGATTCCTTTGAATGTATTTATTTGATCATTTTAAATTAGTTTTTGAAACAAAATTTATTTTAGCAAAATTTTGGTGGCATGCATCCCCATCATCCGTATTTTCCCCCCTTAGCATATTCTATTACTGTTAATTTAGTAAAAAAAATATTTATTGTTTATATAAAAGGATTGGATCTCCCATGTTACCAATATCTTTATTCAAACAAAGATGGATTATGTTTCTTAGCTTTAACTTTTACCGGTCTTTTTATTCGGAGATTTTTTGGCTTGTCTCCCCCCCCCCCCTTTTTTTTTACACACATTTTAAAATCGACAGTCCACCGAAGGCTGGTTATCGGGGTATATCAGTATGATAAACTATGGATTAAAATTAAAATGGCTAATTACGTTTTAAATTATGCTATATATTTTTTCAGAAAAAAGTAGTGCTTATTAGAACGGTAATTACTATATATATGCATCTCTCTCTCTCTCTCTCTCTGAAAAAAATATATACATTTGTATGGAATATACCTTTTAATATTAAGACTTCTTAACTCAATTCAAAATTCAAATAAGCATTTGTAAATTGCTCGGAAAACAAATATGCAGCATTTTTAATTTAGTCATGCATAGACATCGTTTTAATTGCTGTTCCAGGGCTAGCAACGCGCATGTCCAATGCCCCCATATATCTACATCAAGTTAAATACTTAAACAAAATTATGAATAAATTTACTTACTAAATTGTAAATATATCATATACCAATGAAAAAATGTCCGTATGAAGTTTAAAATTTTTGTTACGCTTTGAAATTCAATTTTATTTCTTGTTTACAAGTTGCAGTCAACAAAAATTACTTCCGTGTTTACAATACCGTGACTTTGACGTCGTTTTCCGGGCATTGTGACGTCAAAAGATAAGGGCCCTTTTCTCATGACGGCAGTCATATATAAGTTGTAATATTATACAGAAAATATTAACTTCAAACCTCTGTCCATGCACCTTTAACATTAGACATAATGACATGAACTTTGACTTTGCCATAACAAATAAAATTGTCTATCGTCAACATATTGAATAAGCGGCCATTTATTTTTTTTTTGGTGTTTGTGACCTTTAAGTGGGGCTTAAAAATAGATGTGCATCCCGATCCCGACCTTTTTTAAAATTTGAATTATGCTCAATTTTTTTCAAATGGTCATCTGGACTGACTGTGCATTTTCTTAAATGCTATTGGTCCAGAGAAATTTTTACCTGCTTTGCCTACCGGACTAGCTTCGGAAGCTGGATCTGACCTACTTTTTCAGATGAGTGAACAGGTCAATGTTTTGGTACAGCTCTCATTTCTAAGTAACTATGAGCCCTATGATGACCAAACTTGCATGGGTGATACATCTTAGGATGCACACTTTAGATGCTGGATCTGACCTACATTTTCCAGATGAGTGAACAGGTTAATGTTTTGGTTCATGTCCCATTTCCAAGTAACTCTAGGACTCAAACTTTATTGCACTAAGGTTGATAGACTTAAATTGCTTCGGATGCTGGATCCCACATACATTTTCCAGATAATGGACCTGGCAAAATTAATTAAGTTATGGGTGCAAGTTTATCTTGATGGGTGCCTAATTTTAAGTTTTTGGATAGGTCTATTTCTAAGCAACTGCAAGCTGTATCAGATCAAATTTGCATAAATTTTGCATTTTGGGATGTAACTTCTAGAATGTTAATTGTGGGACTTTGCATTACTTAAAGACAACTTTCGTTGAGGTGAACTTTGATCTCTGATTACCTAATAGTATGTTTTCATCTCCTTCCCAATTCTCTAACAAAGTGTTTTCTTTGTTAATTTGTTCGTTTGCCTTTTTTCACCTTATTCCTTCTTCTCAATTTCCCAGCACTTCATTATGAAGTTGAAGTAATAAGGACTTGGAGAAGGAAGGGCAAAATGAATTGGAACAGCATGCAAACAACACTGGAATGGATTTCTTTGTTCTCTCTTTGCGGAGACTTCATTGTTGGAGATGGTATTACAAAGACTTGGAGGAGGCTGGGCATATAGGATTGGAACAGCATGCCAACAACGCTAGAGTGGAGGTATTGCTAAGTTGTTAAGGAAAAGCAGAGGTGAGTTGGTTTCATTATCATTTTTGTACTCTTACTAATTAGTACTAACATTTCCCTCCCCTCCCCCACTCTCAACACATTTTTTGTAGTAGTTCTTTCCTTTTGTTTTTTTTGTTCTGTTTTTTTTTTTCTTTGTCTAATCTTCTCTGTTCTCTCTTTACCGGGATGTCATCGTTGGAGATGGTGCACTTGGAAGCTGCTGGCTCTTCATCGTTGGAGGAGGAGGCTGGGCATATTGGATTGGAACAGCATGCCAACAACGCTGGAACGGAGGTATTGCTTAGTTGTTAAGGAAAAGCAGAGGTGAGTTGGTTTCATTATCATTTTTGCACTCTTACTAATTAGTACTAACATTTCCTTCCCCTCCCCCACTATCAACACATTTTTTATAGTAGTTCCTTCTTTTTGTTTTTTGTTCTGTTGTTTTTTCTTTGTCTAATCTTCTCTGTTCTCTCTTTGCCGGGATATCATCGTTGGAGATGGTGCACATGGAGGCTGCTGGTTCTTCATCGTTGGAGGAGGCTGGGCATATTGGATTGGAACAGCATGCCAACAACGCTGGAACAGAGGTATTGCTTAGTTGTTAAGGAAAAGCAGAGGTGAGTTGGTTTCATTATCATTTTTGTACTCTTACTAATTAGTACTAACATTTCCCTCCCCTCCCCCACTCTCAACACATTTTTTGTAGTAGTTCTTTCCTTTTGTTTTTTTTTGTTCTGTTTTTTTTTCTTTGTCTAATCTTCTCTGTTCTCTCTTTACCGGGATGTCATTGTTGGAGATGGTGCACTTGGAAGCTGCTGGCTCTTCATCGTTGGAGGAGGAGGCTGGGCATATTGGATTGGAACAGCATGCCAACAACGCTGGAACGGAGGTATTGCTTAGTTGTTACATGTAAGGAAAAGCAGAGGTGAGTTGGTTTCATTATCATTTTTGTACTCTTACTAATTAGTACTAACATTTCCTTCCCCTCCCCCACTCTCAACACATTTTTTATTGTAGTTCCTTTTTTCTGTTTTTTGTTCTGTTGTTTTTTCTTTGTCTAATCTTCTCTGTTCTCTCTTTGCCGGGATATCATCGTTGGAGATGGTGCACATGGAGGCTGCTGGTTCTTCATCGTTGGAGGAGGCTGGGCATATTGGATTGGAACAGCATGCCAACAACGCTGGAACAGAGGTATTGCTTAGTTGTTAAGGAAAAGCAGAGGTGAGTTGGTTTCATTATCATTTTTGTACTCTTACTAATTAGTACTAACATTTCCCTCCCCTCCCCCACTCTCAACACATTTTTTGTAGTAGTTCTTTCCTTTTGTTTTTTTGTTCTGTTGTTTTTTCTTTGTCTAATCTGCTTTGTTCTCTCTTTGCCGGAATGTCATCGTTGGAGATGGTGCACATGGAGGCTGCTGGCTCTTCATCGTTGGAGGAGGCTGGGCATATTGGATAGGAACGGAACAGCATGCCAACAACGCTGGAACGGAGGTATTGCTTAGTTGTTAAGGAAAAGCAGAGGTGAGTTGGTTTCATTATCATTTTTGCATTCTTACTAATTAGTACTAACATTTCCCTCCCCTTCCCCTCTCAACACATTTCTTGTAGTAGTAGTTCATTCCTTTTCTTTTTGTTCTGTTGTTTTTTCTTTGTCTAATCTTTTCTGTTCTCTCTTTGCCGGGATGTCATCGTTGGAGATGGTGCACATGGAGCTGCTGGTTCTTCATCGTTGGAGGAGGCTGGGCATATTGGATAGGAACGGAACAGCATGCCAACAACGCTGGAATGGAGGTATTGCTTAGTTGTTAAAGAAAAGCTGAGGTGAGTTGGTTTCAATATCAGTTTTGCACTCTTACTAATTAGTACTAACATTTCCCTCCCCTCCCCCACTCTCAACACATTTTTTGTAGTAGTTCTTTCCTTTTGTTTTTTGTTCTGTTGTTTTTTCTTTGTCTAATCTTCTCTGTTCTCTCTTTGCCGGGATGTCATCGTTGGAGATGGTGCACATGGAGGCTGCTGGCTCTTCATCGTTGGAGGAGGCTGGGCATATTGGATTGGAACAGCATGCCAACAACGCTGGAACGGAGGTATTGCTTAGTTGTTATGGAAAAGCAGAGGTGAGTTGGTTTCATTATCATTTTTGCACTCTTACTAATTAGTACTAACATTTCCCTCCCCTCCCTCACTCTCAACACATATTTTGTAGTAGTAGTTCTTCCTTTTCTTTTTAGGTCACCTGAGTAAACTTTACTTTGCTATCTTTTCTGTTCTCTCTTTCGTCGTACGTCGATCGTCATCGTTGTTCGTAAACTTTTGAACATTTTCAGCTTCTTCTCTGCAACCATTGAACCAATTTCAACCAAATTTGGCACAATGCATCTATGGGTGAAGGGGAACAAAAATTGTGAATTTCATGATCCCTGCCCCCCTGGGGCCTGAGGGGTGGGGCCAAAACCAGTAAAATTAATGCAATCTTTAAAAATCTTCTTCTTTACTCCTGGACATCAAGCAGTCAAACTGTTTGCATGATTGTAATCAGCATTCTGTCCTCTCAAAATTGTGAAATTCATGGCCCTGGGGAGGGGTGCTAGTGCTAGGGCAGGGCTAAATAATTATATAGGAAAATGCATTATTTCTTTGGCTGGGTATTAAATAAACTAACTATTGTAGATAGTCTTATGATGTGCAAGAGTGCCTCTACCAAAATTGTGAATTTTATGGCCCCAGGGTCAGGGGTTCTGGTGTTAGGGCGGGCCTCTATTGATTATATACAGTGAAAATACATGAATTCTTTGAAAATCTTCTTCTCTGCCCCTGGGTATTAAATAAACTAACTAAGTGCATAGTTATAATGAGCAAGAGTGCCTCTATCAAAATTGTGAATTTTATGGCCCTAGGGTCAAGGGTTCTGGTGTTGGGGGGGGGGGCTCTATTGATTATATAGTAAAAATACATGAATTCTTTGAAAATCTTCTTCTCTGCTCCTAGGTATTAAATAAACTACCTAAGTACATAGTTATGATGAGCAAGAGTGCCTCTACCAAAATTATGAATTTTATGGTCCTAGGGTCAGGGGTTCTGGTGTTAGGGCGGGGCTCTATTGATTATATAGTGAAAATACATGAATTCTTGGAAAATCTTCTTCTCTGCTCCTATGTTTTAAATAAACTAACTAAGAACATAGTTATGATGAGCAAAGTACCTGTTATAGTTTGTGTTTTAGTTAGGGTTTGGTTCTAAGATTATTTAATTACATTGTGATAGTGAAAAAATTTTTAAATTTTGAATTTTTCTTTTTGTGCTGTGTATTAAGCAGATGAACTACCTATATAGTTATGTCAAAGGTTCATTCAAGAATTGTGAATTTCATGGCCCCAACAGTACCATGTTGGGGGGTGTGCTGTTATTTTGAAAATGAATGAATTGTTTGAAATCTGCTCCTTGGTATTAATCAAATATTTTTGAAAAGCAAGGATGCCTTTTTAAAAATTGTCCAATTTGATTCAAGGGTTAAAATTTATATGTGGAATATAAGTCACTATCTGTTGTTTTTACTGATTTGTTGAAATGCATTCTTTTGTTCTTACCCTGCCTATGGTATTTTAAGTAACCAAACTCTCTTGTAAATGCTATTATAATAGCATTGCTTAAAACATGATAATAATTCAATCACTGCAGGAAAGTTGAGATAATGCTCAGGTGACCTATAAGGCCCATGGGCCTCTTGTTGTTCTGTTGTTTTTACTTTGTCTAATCTTCTCTGTTCTCTCTTTGCCGGGATGTCATCGTTGGAGATGGTGCACAAGGAGGCTGCTGGCTCTTCATCGTTGGAGGAGGCTGGGCATATTGGATTGGAACAGCATGCCAACAACGCTGGAACAGAGGTATTGCTTAGTTGTTAAGGAAAAGCAGAGGTGAGTTGGTTTCATTATCATTTTTGCACTCTTACTAATTAATACTAACATTTCCCTCCCCTTCCTCACTCTCAACACATTTTTTGTAGTAGTTCTTTCCTATTGTTTTTTTGTTCTGTTGTTTTTTCTTTGTCTAATCTTTTCTGTTCTCTCTTTGTCGGGATGTCATCGTTGGAGATGGTGCACTTGGAGGGGGATGGTTCTTCATCATTGGAGGAGGAGGCTGGGCATATTGGATTGGAACAGCATGCCAACAACGCTGGAGTGGAGGTTTTTTTGTATTTCTTTGATGTTAGGTCTCTTTGTTATTTTAGTTCTTACTTTTTGGTTTATATTTTGTTTCCTTAGTTAGTATTTGTTGTTATTTGTTCATTAGGTTTTTATTATAATTGTTATAGTTTATTGAGTTGTTATTACAGTGTTTTGTTTGTGAGGGTTGTAAAAGTTGTTAATTTTCATGTTTTATTTGTTAATTGTTACATTATGTTTTTAATGTTTTTATTAGTTGACATTGTTATGAGTTTCAGTTATTTGTTATTGAGGCAGTCATGAGTTTTACTTGTTAGGAGCTCAAGTTATTTTCTGTTGTTTGTGATTTTTTATTATTTGTTATTGTTATGAGTGTTAGTTGTTATTGTTATGAGTTTTAATTAGTAGTTAGTTGTTATTGTTATGAGCTTTAATTAGTTGTTATGAGTTAAGTTATTTGTTATAGTTATGTGTTTTAGTTATTTGCTTTAGTTGATATCTTTAATTAATTGTTATGATAGTTATGAATTTTTGTTAATTATTATTGTTGTGATTTTTATTTGTTTTTGCATTTATTATTCCTAAGAATATGTCTAATGTTCATTGTTGCATTGTGCATTAGCATCAACATTAGAAATGTTGGATAAGGAGGAAACAGTGTGTTTCACCCAAAGCACCTGTCTTATTGAGGGCCTTATTACAGTAAAACTTGGTTGATATAACGAAGTCACTGGGACCTATGACATAACTTCGCTATATCCATAATTTGTTATATCTGTGTAATGATTATAGTAAAATTTATATAGCTAGAGATTGAATATAATTTCACTATTATCTGTGAATTCACAATATCTGTGTTTGTACTAAACGAGTTTTACTCAGTATCTATTATTTCAGCTCTATTTTAAAATTTTGTTAGTATTTTATAGTTGGACAATTCACTAAAGAAGAAGAGAAATAAGCCAAATTCTAAACCATCATCGATAAGGTAAGATTATAGAAAACATTGAATTGATAATAATTGAAAAATACAGTAAAACTAGGTTAAAACGAAGTCACGGGGACCTATAAAATTACTTCACTATATCCATAATTCGTTATATCCGTATAAGGAATTTGTTAAATTTATTAAGCCAGGTGAGATCCAAGATAATTTCGCTATAACCGTGAATTGGCAATATCCTTGTTCGTACTAAACAAGTTTTGCCGTATATAGAAAAATGAAATGAAGTATAATTGTTAGATTATAGATTTATAATGTTCCATTTCAAATCGATGATATATACAGCAAAACTTCATAGTAATCATCTTTATACAGCAGAGATCTTTCTTGAGTGGTCATTTTATTTTTTTCAATAAAATATCCTATAAAACTATATTATAAGTGGTCACCTTTATTATGCATTCATTTTAAACAAATCAAAGACCAAAAATTAGGAACAGAATAAAAATGTAAATCTAAGAAATTAAGGAAATGAAATCTTAGTTGAAAGGGACTGACTAGGGTATTTTAGTGTAAAATGCATGCAGTGAAATAAAGCTGTTGATATTTTTAGCAGATGCACCCAACTGGCCTTGGTGGAAACAGCAGATGCACTCCACTTGACTTGGTGGAAACAGCAGATGCACCCAACTGGCCTTTGTGGAAACAGCAGATACACTCCACTGGGCTTGGTGGAAACAGCAGATGCACTCCACTGGACATGGTGGAAACAACAGATGTATCCAACTGGACATGGTGGAAACAGCAGATGCACTCCACTTGACTTAGTGGAAACAGCAGATGTATCCAAAAGGACTTGTTGGATACAGAAGATGCACCCAACTGGACTTGGTGGAAACAGCAGATGTACCCTATGGCAATGGTGGAACAGCAAATACTTCCAAAAGGACTTAGTGGAAACAAAGATGCACCAACTGGACTTGGTGGATATAGAAGATAGACCCAACAGGACATGGTGGATACAACTGGAGGAGACTTGCCTGATGATGTTGACCTTCCAAACAAGACATATCAAACGAGATAATGACACTGATCAGGTACATGTGTATGAGATAATCAAAAATATTATACTTTCATGTAAATTAGTTGAATCTGATTGGTGGAGAAACATCTGTTTAAAAAAACACTATTACCCGCTAAATAATGAAGCCATGCCCTCAAGCATAGCAACAGACAACATTGCTTGAGGACGGGTGCTATTCCCAAAAATAGCGACTGCACAGAATTTATGTGTGCACGGTTCACTGTGAACTGTGGTATTTGTGAACACGGTTCACAAATACATATGTATTTGTATAAAACATTCAGTATAATATACACTCAACTGCATGCAATATTTATATATTAAAGATCATTTAATTAACCATGTCAAATTTACTAGCTGACTTTTTATTTTTAGCCTGACTTATTTTTAGCTCTATTGGTCAGAGACAAGAAAGCTTGTGATCGTAAACAAGGGCATGACATGGTGGAAACAGCTGGAGGAGACAGGGCCATTGGATGCTAATCTTCCAAGATGTGGAAACAGCAGATGTCCTCAACAAGACATGTGTAACAGCAGATGCACCCAACTGAACATGGATAGAAACAACTTGATGATGCATAGCCAGTACTTGCTGATCTTCCAAGATGTGGAAACAGTAGATGTCCTCAACAAGACATGTGTAACAGCAGATGCACCCAACTGGACATGTATAGAAACAACTTGATGATGCATAGCCAGTACTTGCTGATCTTCCAAGATGTGGAAACAGCAAATGCGCCCAACAGTACATGGTGAAAACAGTAGATGAACCCAAAAGGACCTGATAGAAACAACTGGAGGATGAATAGCCAAAGGATGCTGATCTGACATTTATCAGGTATGTGACATTATCATAATCTAAGATCATTTTATTAACAAAGTCAAATTAACTAGCTGGCTAAAATTTTAGCTGGTCTTATTTCTTAAAGTCAGCAATAGCTGAATTTTGTTATGGTGTTCAGCTAGATAAACCAACTCTTTACACCAATATTGAATTTTTGCTTAATAATATAAAACATATATGTTTAACCACTGTTGAGACAACATAACAATTATTTAAAAAGTTAAATGAGGATTTTCCTTAAAAACTTCAGTGATGTATTTTCTCCAATTATTTTCTTCTGACTTTTACTGCAGCTGCAGCCAACAGAACCTTGTGGAAACAACTGGAATAGACAAGCTTGATGAACCTCTTTTAAGATGGGACAAATTTTCCAATATGTGAAAACAATGATAGTGAAATTCTTGAGGAGGCAAGGCCATTATTAATATTGCGGCAAAACCAGCTACACCCAAAAGGAATTGGTGGAAAGATGGGAAAGCAACAAATACTTCTAAAAAGACTTAGTGAAATAAATCTTGAGGAGGCAAGGCCATTATTAATATTGCGGCAAACTTGATGGACAATGATAATCCAATATGTGAAAACACCAGCTGCACCCAAAAGGAATTGGTTGAAAGATGGGAAAACAGCAAATACTTCCAAAAAGACTTAGTGAAATAAATCTTAAGGAGGCAAGGCCATTATGAATCTTGAGGCAAACTTGATGGACAATGATAATCCAATATGTGAAAACACCAGCTACACCCAAAAGGAATTGGTGGAAAGATGGGAAAACAGCAAATACTTCCAAAAAGACTTAGTGAAATAAATCTTGAGGAGGCAAGGCCATTATGAATCTTGAAGCAAACTTGATGGACAATGATAATCCAATATGTGAAAACACCAGCTACACCCAGAAGGAATTGGTGGAAACAATAAACACAGACAAGCTTGATGGACAATGATCTTCAAAATGTAGATGTTCCCAACAAGACTTGGTGGAAACACCTGGAGGACAATTTATGCCTGATGGATGTTGACTTTTTCACCAAGACATACCACAGTGAATTGCTGATACTGATCAGGTATATGACATTTTCATATTCCAAATCTTCTTATTTTTTATATTAAGCAAGGTCAAGGTAAATACTCAATTCACGTATTGAATACAATTTTTTAAATATCCGATGCTATGGGCATTCTGCCCACCTTGTTCCCCCATCTTCTTTCACATTTTGTGTTGTTGTTGCATGGTACAGTGGTATTTAAGAGAATCTGCTATAGAGCAGCATGGTATAAAGAAGTTGATCCTACCGTTGTGGGTTCGAATCCCACTGTGGGACAAGAAGACCAGTCTTTTACTGAGATCATTTAAACTGTGGTGCCATGTTGCAGTAGGTGCAAAAAAAAATCCCTCACTGCTCCTATAGCCTTAATACCAAGTATAGGTCTACATTTGTAGCCCTCCCCTGAAAAATGTTGCATTGCTATATGAGTGAAAATTTCTCAAGAGGGGCTGTCTGCTCGCCAAAAATTTATTCTTGTGTATATTTGCATTATTAATGTTTATATACAACAGAAACAACAGCTAGCAAAAATGTTGTTTCACTAATTAATGCCAAATAGCTAAGTCACTAAACTAAGGTGTTGTGAAAATATGGTGATCTACAGTACTGTATTGATTTCTGCTTTTTCCTAGCCTTAGAGCTCAGGTGAGCAATGTAGCATATAGGTCTCTTCATAATTTATTTTATTATCAAACCTGACAATTACCTCTTGCCTTGTTCAATTACAGAGAATCAAAGGAACTTGTAGAAGGAACATCCTTGAGATCATGTGTGTGGATGAAGAAGCAGGAATTAATTAATGATTAATCCACACCTTTAAAGCACTGATGTAAATCCATTTTAGTAACAATGTTTTTTTCAAAGACTATTTTAAAAAAATAAATTTTTGTAAAGGGTGTCTGAATTATGTCAGGGTATGGGGTCGCCCATTCGGACACGTGGGTTCTCTACGGGTACTCCGTCTTCCTCCCACATTGACCCCAGCTTTCTCTTTCTTCTTCATTAGCTATATATTCATATTGTTAAGATGAAGTAGTTGAAGGCTAGTTGTAAGTAGGTTTTTACGATACCCTGGGGCATTACTGGTTGGAACTTAAGTTCCTTCACCGCCACGGCTGCCAGGCTGGCTCGGGGAGGAGAAGCTGAAAGGGACTAGTTGGAGGCTGCTTTGTCTTTAATTATCTTTTTATTATTATGCCAATGAGAAAATGGTTCATTATTGTAATTGTTTTGATGAAGTTAAATATGTTTCAGCTGATGTAATGATTGTATAATAGGACATAAGTATTCATAGAATGTGTAAATTCTGTCAGCTGTTGTAGAAAGAATAATTTGTATATACTAAGTTAAGTCACCTTTTTGTTATAAGCTTATAGTGAAATTGAATGCCCTATATATACTGATGTGACTAAATATGCCGTGAAAGAAATGAATATAAAATTGTAAAATTGCATTTAAAAACGTAAAATAGTGATTTGCCTCAATGACAAATGTTAAATTGCCGGTGATTTGTAAATGTTAATTTTTGATTTGTTAATGTTATATCAATGATTTAAAATGTTAAATTGTTATTGTTAACAGTTTAATGCAATTGTAAATTGATGATGTGAAAATGTGAATTGTCGTGTTGAATTTTGAATTGTAAATTTGAAATTATTTTTATCTCATTGGCAAGTTTTGTGCAAAAAAAAAAAAAAAAAAAAAACAGGCAAAAAAAAAAAAAAGAAAGAAAATTAAAAAAAAAAAAAAAAAAAGAAAGAAAGAAAAAAAAAGAAAGAAAAAGAAAAGAAAAAAGAAAGAAAGAAGAAAAAACACAATGAAAAAAAAAAACAATGAAAAAAAATTGTGAAAAAAAAACAAAAAACAAAAACAAAAAAAAAAAAAAAAAAAAGAAAAAAGTGAGAGAGAAAGAAAAAAAAATGGAAAAAAGGCACAAAACTTTTAATGCTGCCTGCTTGAATTAACATGTTATTTCAAGCAGAAGGTTCCAAGCCCTTAAAAGCAGAGGAGAAGTTTTGGTGTTTATATGTACATTACTGAATGTACATACTAAGGAGTGCTAATTTAATGAACACTCAAATGATCAAACTTTTAAAAAATCATTGTAAAATATCAGTTCATCTGGTATGTACAATGCATCAATTATCTTATCAAACAATTTCTAGCAAATGGTATCTTCAATAATCTAGCAGTGTTTTGCTGAAATGAATGCAAAATCATTATTTTCATATGCAGCTTAATTTGTTGATCCTTCGAATGAATATTAACACTTTTGAGTTGATGCCTACAAGTTGAAAAAAACTCTTATTCTCATATTCAAACTAGTTTTAGTTGTAATTCTTTTCCACAGTTATTTTAAAAAGGGGACATAGATTTGGAGTTCATATTTTCTGAACATAATTACATGATTCATAACTCATATGTTACTATAGCATAGCATATCCAATAAAATAAATTTTTTTAACTACCAATTTTGGGACTCATTAGATTCACACATCCTTGCTTTTTCAGAAAGTGTCATACACTTTATACCTAATACTGAAGAAAAGTAGGAATTTTGTTGTGTATTTTTAAAAAAAATATTAAAACTATAAAATAATCCAAAAAATTCAGGGTAGGGGCATCTGAGTGTTTGACAAACACTTCTTGTATCATTTTGCTTATAGTAAATGAACATAAGACAGTGGACATCCATGTCCATCTCTACATGTAATTTTAGATTTTCCCGGTATAGATATTGTAGAGTTACTTTTTTCCACAGAGTCATAATTCTGTGGAATCTCAATTTCTGTTTCATCCGTGAGTTGAAAATTACGCATATTTCTTAGACTGCCACTATATGCCTTACATTTATATAAGTACACTCGGACAAATTTACGTGGAAAATTTGTGACTGCGTAAATTAATACCACACGGAAAAATGTATTTCTACAGTATCTGAATTCCACGTGAAGCATTCATACCCCTCAATGTTTGGCCAACCTACATACTTCAAGCTATGATTTGAAAAATATGAATCTGCACCATACAGGGATAATAAAATCTATCTTTTTTTGGTGTACGTTCTTGAGAAAATTGATTTTTCATACGATGTGTTACATGCCAAAACTCAAGTTTTGTTTTGAGTACGATCAACCTATTGATGACAGAGTTTTGCCCCTTGGACTTGGAAAAATTCCAATCATTTGGAGGAGGGGGCAAAATTGTTTTACAAACATCTCTTGTTTTATATAATGTTCATTGTCCTAATTTTTTTTTTCATTTTTATTCACAGATTCCTGTCTCATTTCAATGAAATAAATTGAAGTGAAGTAGAACAGCATGGTTTATGCCTTAAAGATGCACATGAGGGTGCCTCCTACATGAAGTAATTTAATCACAGTCCTGATATTTGGTTTCTGAACAGATGAAGGACCTCTTGACATTTCTGGAGTCAACACCTTTCTAGTTCCTCCATAATTGCAGCAGGAGAAGAGATAAATGATCTTTGCTTCAAGGTATGGATATAATTCATGTTGTTATACTATATAACAGAGACAAATGTTTCAAGTTTTAAAAGGCTCTATATTTTTTAAAATGCTTCAAACCCATTAAAAAAAGGGGAAGGGGGTTATTGTGAATATGGTCAGGGTAAAGTGATTGTCATGGTTCTGGTATATAAGAGTAGCACGCTATTGATAATTTAGTAAAAATAAAAATTATATGTTTTTGCTAATATACTCCGAGACCTTAGGACCTGTCGGCTGACAAGGATGATGATCCCAGACTTTGCAGTGTCCATCATATAGAATTACATCAAAATCAATTCGTAAATAAATACCTGAAAAATTCAGAAACTAGGTAACTATGATCAGACTTTCTAAGAAACATTTCAAGACTCCAAGGTACATCAACTTACAAGGTAGTTGGTTGTTAACATCCCTCCCATTAGAAATTTTTTTTTACACTATATAGAGATGTCATCACATACCATCAAATGGCTTCAGATTTATACCTTTACTCAGCACTTGAGGTCATTGAACAGTTAGAGATCTTTTACTGCAGAGTCCGGGATGCCAATGCCTGCTCTGACACATGGCTTGGGGTGTTAAAGTATCATTCAAAGAACCTGCAACTTTCATTTCACAGTGCCTAGTGCTTAGCAAAGGAACACTTGCTACCTATTTTTAGTCAACTTAGGTTAGTTGCTTCCAGGGATTGAACCCAGGACCCTGTTCAGGAGCAAACTCTTTATCAACTGAGCTACTGTCATGGTACAACTCACAAGGTTGAACGATTGTAAACCTCAGCATGCGAAATGATGAGCTAAATGTTATAAAACAAGGTTATTCATAAAATTCACAAAATGGTTCATGGTGACCAAACTTTTAGTTGACACACTTCAAGGCCCAAAGACGCATCAGCTGACAAGTTTTGAAGATCAGTGGCATCATAATGTCCAAGATATGCATTAAAATTAATCTTTAAAAAAAATGCGTTTGTGAAACACTATGTGCCGGGTGGCAACAAAGTTCCCAAAAAATATTTTTACCATATAGGTCACAGTCAAGGTCACAAGGTCATTAACCTTGGTGTCATTTGAAAGAGCATAATTAGTTGAGTATGCATACCAAATATGAGGTCTCTATCTCTAACGGTTCCAAAGTTATGGCAAAGGTTAATGTTGACAATAGACAAACAGATAAACAGACGAGACAAAACAATATATGCCTCGGACCTATCGATCGGGGCGCATAATTAATACCTGCAAAATTTAAACAAGAGGCCCATGGTCTACATCACTCAACTGAATTGCTTTGACCATGCTGTTCTTAACCAGATTTCCTCCTTGTAATAGCCGGTATACCTATTGTGACTCCATGGGTCAATGACCATCAAATTTGGACAAATTAAAATCTACACTACCCCATGATGCTTCCACGTAAGTTTCAGCTTTTCTGGCCCTGTAGTTCCTGAGAAGCAGATTTTTAAAGTTTTTCCTATACATTGCTCACAGTACCTCTAGTTTTTAATAAAGGCCATATATCCAAATCTACTTCATTATAAGCTGACTTAAATTGATGATTTGTTAAAAAAGATATTTTAGCAATTATAAGGACTAGGAAATCCATTCTGCTCTGTAAATGAGCCCGGCTCTCTGTACTTCTGAGTACTTTGATTAATAAAGGCCATGTATCCAAATCTACTTCATTATAAGCTGACTTAAACTGATGATTTGTTAAAAAAGATATTTTACCAATTATAAGGACTAGGATTATCAAATCTTGTCAGTTGATGCATCTCAGGACCTTATATACTCATGTGGAATCATCCTCAGGTAGTGTAGATTCAAGTTTGTTCAAATCATGACCCCCGGGGGTAGAGTGGGGCCACAACAGCCGATGAAAGTTTTACCTAGGAATATATAGGGAAATCTTTTTAAATCTTCTTCTCAAGTACTTCAAAGCTGTGATTAGTGATATTTATAAGGAATCATCCTCCTTAGTGTAGATTTTAGTTTGTTCAAATCAAAAACCCCCCTCTCCCCTCCCCAGGGATAGGGTGGGGCCACAAAGGTCGATCAAAGTTTTACATAGAAAAATAAAGGAAAAATCCATCTTTAGTAAACCTCTTCAGTAAACTTTACAGTTCTGACCTGATCTGTGCTTTTTCCTAGCCGATGTGCTCAGGTGAGCGCTGTGGCCCCTGGGCCTCTTGTATATATATATATATATATATATATATATATATATATATATATATATATATATATATATATATATATATATATATATATGTAATAATCATAAATAAAAAAAACCAAATTCAAAGTTTTAAAGCTTTAATGTCATAATTGGCTGAGATACAACAAAACAAAAAGGAAAAACACAGAATTGCAAAATGAGAAATACAATGTGCAATCTTTAATTTGGTAATTTGAAAAGCACCAATTTTGTCATGGGACATTTTATATGTCATGTTTTGTTTTGCATGTTCACTTCACAAATTTTACTCTTTAACAAACTTAATGTCTCATGTTACAATTTATGTTAATCTAATATACATGTATTAACATTTACATTATAAATAATACATCTAGGTTTGGAAAACCGGCACTCCATATGGCACAGACTTTAATTATCAAATCTGTCTTATAAGCAATGCATGTTCATCTTCTTATTGTTAGTATATTAGGCTGTCTAGAGATTCTTGTTTACCATAGCTTGAAAAAAGGTTGATACCCCGTTTACTTAAATGTTTTTAAATTGTTTTATGATTTTTTTCAAAGAAACATATTTTCCGTAATGAAAAAAAAAGCAAATAATTTTAGCATAGCTTGCAAGGAGAAAATTGTCAAAAAAGACATTTCCACATGATATTTTTAATTCAATAATAAAGAAATTAATCCTGGTTATGAGTTATCTCCCTTAGTCCCTTATCAGATTACCAATGAACCTTGAATTCTACACAAGAATATACTCGATGCAGTGAATCACATTTGGCCATTTAATCTTTATATACTTCACCATTTCAGAACGAATGAGTGCCATTCCAAAAACACATATCAAGATATATGAGTACAAATTGTTAACCATTTACTATACTAAAACAAATACAGTAAGCTTCTCAGCACATGTTAAATAGTCATTAAAATATTCGGTATTTTAAAATATTGTATATTATACACAAAATGACTAGAATTAGGCAATTTCTTGCACAGTACAAGTACTAAAAAATAATTCAGGTGAGGATGAAAAATTGGCATGCATGGCATTAATAGATAACATCAATTTATACTGCTTTGCAGTCCTTATATAAAACATCTTTAGCAAGTACATAAAATTCAATAATATAAGCACATGTATAGAGTTTGGCATTTTACATTCAACAATTTAGCATGTGAATTAAGACCATTCCAATTCATTCTTATGTGAATCATTGATATGTCAACCGTAATAGATTTAAAACCAAAAGAAAATTTGAAAAAATCTAAATTTTTGGTTGTTAATAATTTTTTTTTACCTTGAAAATCAATCCATTTGAAGATGCTATAACACAGAAGAAAAAAAAGGAAAGACCTAATTTGAATATATTTTCAGTATAAGTATCTGACAGTAGATATAATAGATATAGAAAAAAAACCTACAAATGTAAGATTTAGTAAAACAAATAAACACCAGTATTTCTTATATGTTATAAACTGCAATAAAACTCCTACTTAGTGAAGGTCCAACAAAAATTTAGGATCATTCAAGTTCCAGTGATGCTAAAAAGGTTACATGAAGGTCTTAATTCTTGCTACGCAAATGTGAAGAAACAATTAAATAAACATGTAGATATCGGTAATTGTTTCCACAAGTCAGAGACTAAACAATACATAGGAGTGCAATTAGCTCAGAAAATCTAATGTAGTATGTGTTGTCCATGCATGAATCTAAAAAACCTTTGAGGCAAAAAAGCTAAAGAAAACACATAGAATTTCTCTTAAATTCTACCACTAGGACATATATTAAAAGTATTGACAAATATCAAATAAACTTTGAGATATAAGTATGAAAAATATCTCAGATATTTTAAAATCTTAGGAAAATCTACATACCCTCAAAGGTAACTAATCTAATATATATGATAACGAAGATTTAAAGGCAAGATATAAGCATGCATATTTGTCAGAACAACTGTACCTCTAAAAACAGATTCCCATCATTTAGCACATGTATATATAAGCAACACTAATTTACTTTTTAAATGATAATTGCTCATCTTAAAGTCAAATATTGTTTTATTATAACAGGCAGAGGCAAAACATTTATATTTTTAATAAAGTCTTTTCCGTTGCAGCACTTGCTGACGCAGTTCCTCACAGCTCTCCTGCAAATCTGCCTCAGCAATGGTGGTTTTTGATACTCTGAATTCAAAAGACTAAGAATTTGAGAGTCCACCTCTCCATCCATAAGCAATGCTCGGTGAACATTCTTGATTTCCGAGCTAGGCAGTCCCGCAGACAAAATCAGGCGCACAATTTCAATATTCTTGCTTTTTGCTGCCCAAAAGAGCGGTGTTTGTTGAGCCATGACAGAAACTTTCGGACCTTCCAAATTGCTTCCATGCAAAATCAGAGTCTTGGTGATAATTGAGCTAACTCTGTAGGTCAACGCTGTAAGAAGAGGTGTGTAATTAAAACGATCTGTTTTGTTTACACTAGCACCATTTGAGATGAGATATTCCACAAGATCTGGCATCTGTTGTCGTGAGGCTACCCATAATGCAGTGTGACCATTGCTATCCACTGCATCAATATCTGCTCCAGCATTTATAAGAGTTACTACTCCTTCTAAGAAGTGCATTCGGCACGCTGTGATTACTGGTGGTTCAATTCGGTTAAGGTGGTCTTTGCTGCAAATGTTTAAATTTAACTTCCTGCTCTTTTCACAGTGCCTCATTAACAGTCCGAATATGTCAAAGTGACGTTTGTAGAGTGACAATGAAAGCACAGTAGCTCCTTTCACTAGAATATTGAAATCCACATCTGGATGGGAAAGCAATATATTTCTCACTAACTGGGTTTCTCCAGAAACAACAGCCATGTACAAATCAAAGACTAGGTGAGATTGGTTATACTCATGGATGGCCTGAAATGACGTGCACAACAAATTATCTACCCCTCTATCACCCGGCTTCTGCATCTTCACAGGCATGATGTCCCTCAGAAAACTGTAAAATAAATTGATCTTACTTTTCCCGGCTACAAAAAAATATCAGCTTCTCAGCTGTGCCTGTAGCGCTGCGTCGCAAGAGACATCTTTAGAACACATTAAATTCATTATCACCTTCTGTGCATGTTGACAACCGTTCCCCTGTGGTTAGCGACGGATGAGGAAAGACGCAAGCGGATACTGATGGATAGATAAATGCGTCACGTTTTTCTTATTAAGAAAGCATCTCAAATTTCTGTAGGGCCCGCTTCGTAAACTTAAAAACTTAAGATTACAAATATGAAACTGGAGCCAACTGCCTCATTAATTGTTTTCTGCGTCACAATCTTGTTTACATATCGATATTTTATGATGCTGGAGCACTGACACTTCCGTATTTTCGGATCAAATGTCAAAGAGATTTTCATTGGACAAAATCTGATTCAGCCAATCAAACATCGTGTTACATATTTGTTGACACTGTTTGCAACATACCTAAACATTCACAAGGAGAGATAAAAAATGCCGACTTGTTTGAGAGCTAAATGTGTGATTGTGGGTATGTTTGTGGTATTTTTATGGATAAAGCAATACTAATGATAAAAATTATTGTATCAATATTAGGGATTGTGTCAGTCATCTGAATTTCCGTTAGATTATTCTCAAAACTGCACAAAACTATTTGTGCAGGCCAGGTTCATAATACACTCATACAGTGCAATATAATGTATAACAATATAGGCCAGTACATGTTACCATAATGTTTTTACAAAATGGAGATCATGAAAAAAAAATTCTTTTTTTTAGTGGGTTGAATCACATGAAATTGGTTAGTCATATTCTTTAACATTTTCCAGTTCCATCATTTCTTCAGGATTTTGTTATTTGATGTGCCATAAAAATCAGCAATCTATTTTATAAAATGTTTCAACCATGTATATTATAAACAAAACATAGAACTGATTTCAATTGACCTAATGGATTACGCTGTTTGTGACGTGCTAACGCTTTGCTTGTCAAGAGGTTTAAATGCTACATCATATTGTCACCACATCAAAAGAAGAAGCCGAGATCACTTCTCTCCCAAGCTAAAGTCAGTCAACTGCAATACACATCGCCGACGTTACAAACGGGGACAGACAGCACAAATCTTATTAAACAGTTGAAAAAGAGCATTATTTATATATTATGCATTTTTTAATCAATAAAATTTTAGCGTTTCCCCGGCCTTCCCTCTTTACCATTTCTCTCGAATATATGCATAGAGAGGGGGCTCTATTAAATTTTTTCAGCTGTATTTTACAAGTAATAAATTGCAACAACCTCAGAATGCATGGCTTGGATTGATACATGTAGCAAATAAATGCAATAATCAATGACTTATGCACTACTTGATATTAATTTTATACATGTACGCAAATAAGAAAAAGATAAATTTTGCGATACAATGAAATAAGCGACCAATTTGAATATTCGTAATGGACTGAAAAAAATCATAAAGTGCTTTCATTGATTAATTCAAGTTTGATAAAGTCATTTAACTATGCTGGTAATATTCAAGTAGACGAGATCAGGACTGTCTACTCCACTTTCTTACCCAACAAATAAGCTGTATGTTGCAGCTAACCAACCTTAGCATGGAAGAGAAGTGATCTCGGCTATTTCCTTTGATGTGGTGACAATTTGACGTAGTATTTAAACCTCTTGACTCGACAAGCAGAGTGTTAGCACGTCAAAAACAGCGTAATCCGTTTGGTCTATTGAAATCAGCTCTAAAAGTGATGTTTCTGAGTACTAGAAATAGATAAGCTATGAATCTGAACTTAAGTTCACAAGTATCCAAAAATTGACCTGACATTTTAACCAGGCCTTGTGAACTCTTCAAAAGGTTCAACGACCTTCACAGTAATGGATGAGGCCTTTGATATATATCATAATCTATAATTTATTTATATTCAGGTGATTCCACAGTTGGGAAAAGCTCACTTTGTCAGGCATTTCATAGTGATGGTTCACATTTTCCAAAGAACTATAACATGGTATGTAGTAAACTATTTAAATACAAGATTCTGTTTAAAAAAAGTATAAAACCACATCAAATAGTTTCATTTTAGTACAGACTGTTAAGAACAGCTCCACAGATAATACATAGATAATCAATAAAATATTCTACCAGAGATCAGTAATAGTAGCTATATTAACTAGTTTTGCAATTTGAGATAGTGTTTTGCTTTAGTAAAGAAGTAAAGATATTGGGTTTCAGTGAGTGAATTCCTTTCTTGTTTGATTATTGCTTAGGATTTCTTACAAATGAAAATTTCATTCCTTATAAACTTTGACAATAGGAGTTTATATTTTCATTTTGATAGACAACAGGGGTGGAACTACTTGTAAAGCACGTCAACATTCCAGATTCAAAAGACAGTGTGGTAAGATGTCAGCTAGATTGATAAGATGCAGTTCTATTTCATTTGAAATTTATTTCCATCAAAGATTGATTTACACTGAAAAATTTAACTTTTAAATCTAAAATGAAATTTATGTGAATTTTGAGAACATTTATTTAATTTCATAAACAAGAAATATGACTTTCCAAGAGATTTGGAAAATTAATAAACTTTATTCATGAACCTGTCAGATTTAGGATTGTCTCAGGTACATGTATATTAATCTATTTTATCATCATTGACAAAACTATAGTTAAGGCACAATAGAGATGCTAGTTTGCAAGACATGTCACCAATATTTCTTTCATACATATTGTACAAGTGTTTTTGATTGATCTGTTTCTCAGGAGATGTACATGTATGACTCTGCTGGAAAAGAAATTTTCTCAGAACTGGTGCAAAAATTTGTAAGTACATAAATATATTTTTCTCAGTTTTTCTAGTTTGTAAATATAGGCTGAAGAACAGTTTGTAATTATTGCTATTGGTCAAATTTTGGATAAGACACACTAGAGTTTCAGAAATCACACTCTTAAAATATTTTTTAAAATTCAGAAAGTAAATGAAAGGGGGGTCATTTAGTTATCATCAATCATCTCAAGGTGTGAATTTTTGCTCTGATTAACAAATCTTTTAATTACTCCGATGATTAATTATAGTACGTATTTTACATTACTAGTGGGAGCATCCTTCAGTAATCATGGTGGTCTATGATGTAACCAGTGAAACGTCCTTCTCTAGTTGTGCCAAGTGGCTAGAACGGGTGAAATCTCAAAAACCCGATGTACATATACCAGGTAGGCCAAATACTCAAAAAAGGAAAAATCATGCAGGAATTTTTAACATATTATTTCACAAAAAAAAAGAAAAACTATACTAACATGCTGAGAATTTATTGACAGGAAATTCATGTGAGTTCTGTCCCCTTTGACTGCATTCATTAATGAGACTTTCAGTTGAACAACAAATGTTTCCTTTTTGCCACATATTCTTAAACAGTACTGAAATTACAAATTCACATACAAAATCTTAGTATATTTGTTAATGGTTTAAATTTTCACTCAATGTTTGATCAGGGGTCCTGATAGCAAATAAAATAGATCTGGATGAGAGAAGAGTGATCAGTCCCAAGGCAGGCATGGAATTCGCTGAGAGTAACGGACTCAAGTACTTTGAATGTTCAGCTGTAAGTATATGTAAACAGTGCAAGAGGTATATAGAGCTTTGATTTTGTGCAGGGATATTTTCAATCCCTGATTATTTCTGACTTAATTGTATTTTGCTTTCCTGGATTATGGGTATATCACATTTTTTATGTTGATTATCATAAAATATAATTATTTTTTGGAGGAAAAAAAATAGTATAAATGAAAGTGATATTTGTCACTAGCACCAGTAAATACAATGGTATTAAAAGCCTTTACATAGCAAGAATATTTTTTTATTTTCAAGATGGATATTAATGAATGATATGTTTACCTAGCATGTCTAATTTTAACTCTTTTCAATTACATTGTATGGAAATGTAAAGTTGCAGTTTGCATCTGATTTCACTACATCAAGAAAAAAATTGAACTTTATTTTGAATATAGGACATACATCTCAATATAAGGAATTATTTCCTAAATAAATGTGTTTATTGGTCACATGTTACATGTAAATTTCTTAAAGACGTCTTTTCTGTCTTTTCAGAAAGAAACACAAAATGTGGATTCAGCTTTCTACTACCTTGCAAATGAGTTTCACAAGTTGTATCAAGACAGATTAGAGACTTTTAAAACCTTGTCATAATGAACCAATATTACCTGTATTCTGCAGTACATTCCGTCCTCCTCTTTTTAAAAAATATACATGTATTAAATTATTAAATGAACAGTGTTTTTCTTTATTAAGTTTCTGAAACTTGTTTCAGACCCTATGCATTTTGTTGGTCTTTTGTGATCAATGGGGTCATTAATATATTACAAGTTGCCTTCTTTGCTATGTTTTTGCAATGCATTGCCCACATTTGTTAATTTTTTTTTCATAATTAGTATCTATATGGGACCCATTTTACAAAAGAACGTACGACTAAGACCAACATTTAGTTCTGCTTGTAACTTTCTAATTAACATAAAATTGAAAATGGTTTTAATCTTTTTAAAGGGAATCTAGAAAGGTGTTTTAAAGCTAGCAATTTTAAAGAGACTAAAGTGTATTTGGCATATTTCTACAATCCTTTTAAGTTTTTAGTCTTAGTTGTATGAAGTTCTTTTGTAAAACGGGCCTCAAGACTGTATTTTCTGCCCCTTCTTGAACTAAAGTAAATGGCTACAATATAGGAAAGGGCTTATAAAGGCAATGCCAGCTGCCCAATCCATACATGTTTCATTACATACCAGTAATGTAAAAATCAACTATTGAGGTTGAAATTCCCATGGGTACAAATTGCGTTCCGTTATTAGCAGACTTATTTATATATTCATATTAAGCAGAATTTATGCAAAATCTTATGCGTGAAAAGAAGAAAACACTTGCTGTGGCCTTCAACTCAACATTTAGATATATCGACGACGTATTGTCAATTAATAATGATAATTTCTATTCCTACATCGATACGATATATCCTGGTGAGCTTTAGATAAGAGATACCAGAGTCAGACGCTTCTGCTTCATACATGTACTTGGATATTTTACTTGAAAAAGACGCTAATGGTAATCTAACAACCAAGCTATATGATAAACGTGATGACTTTAACTTTTCTTTGTCAACTTTTTTACTTATGCAGCAATATACCTTCATCACCTGCATACGGAGTATATATATCTCAGTTGATTCGATACGCAAGAGCATACTACGTATGAACAATTTCTAAAACAAGGTAAATTATTGACAAGCAAGTTGATGAAACATAAAATTGAAAATGGTTTTAATCTTTTTAAAGTTCTATGGTTGATGACCTTGTCAGCAAATATAATTTATCACTGAATCAAATGCTGACTGACGTTTTTAATACCAATTGTTAGTTAATTATTTATACACTGAATTGACGATGGATTTTTCAGTTATTTCCTGATCATGACAAGGAGCACACGGCGGGTGTGACCGGTCAGCAGGGGATGCTCACTCCTCCATGGGACCTGATCCCACCTCTGATGTTTCGGGGGTCCATGTTTGCTCTGCTTTTATTTTGTATTGTTTTATGGACTTCGAGATTGAATACTTTTCGTTATCTCCATATCCTTCATACAGCAAAATTGTGTTTGGTCCTTTGTAGAATTCAAGTTTGATCACTCTTTTCTATCAAAGCCTATCCTTTGGTTTTTCACAACTTTTTTTTCTTCAATTTAATCAGAATTGTTAGTCCTTGAGGATATTTCAGAGTCAAAGTACAATCAAGTCAACTTAATTAGCTAAACAAATACTGTGAGCAGTGAGTCCACAAAATGATAACCCAGCTATCCTAAAAGCTTTAAATGGCCATTAAAAGTCCATGTTTTGTCATAGGAAAAAACCAGAACCTGTCTGATCAAAAGAGTAAATAGGTGCATGATAACACTATATGTATGTAATACATGTACCCATTTTGGGAATGTCTCGCTAAGTTTTATTTAGTGGTGTAGGAGGAATTGCAGTAAAGAGATGGGTTTCTCCAATATGATGGAAAGAATGGTAGAGTTCACATTTTTTTATGGGAAACTCCAAATGTGTCATCGAAATATAAAATTGAAGATCACAATGGCACTCATCTTTGCTAGCAAAGCATTTTCGGTCTACTCCACTCCAGAGAGCAGAGTGGATTAAAAACCCTTCGCTAGCAAAGATGAATGGCATGACATATATACATTCCATTTAATATTCACTGATGTAGGAGGAGTTGCAGATAGGAAAAAGATATAACTTGAAGCCTAATAGATGAATGGACTAAAGGACACCACATCAGTATTTACCCTGATTTTCAATAACTGGAGAACATATATATTATTTAGAGAATTTATTGCAAATTTTTAATTTATACAATTTTTTTATAAACAGCATAACTTTAACTGTATTTCAATAACAATGTTGCAATACACATGTAATAAAATTAATAAATATTTACATAATAATCTGAACTATATTTCAATTATTAAATTAATATTTACATGATATATAAACATTTATACATCTGCTATGTAATTAAAGCCTTTAGAAAATGCCTATTGCAATCTAAACTAATAACTAAAAATATAGACTAGAAAACACACATATAAAAAAAGTAATGCTGTATATTTCAGCAATGAAACTTGCTTTCTTGGTGCAAATACCTTTTAATTAGAAGTCCATGGGCTACAGCGCTCACCTGAGTAAACTCTTGTTTCTCTTCTTAACTAGCACCCCCCTTTTAATTCACAAGAAAAAAGTTTTACCACATATTCTGGCCAAACTCGAGGGTTCATGACATAACCTAACTTGAATCCACACATTATATGGATACAATATTAAGCTTTAACAGGAATTTGTTCCTTGCATTCATGAATTTCGTAATGATTTTATACATAACATATTAAACATTTTATTTTATACATAATGTACACAAAAACATGGCATAAACTTTGTTTACATCACCTTACACTAAAATTTTGGCTTGCCATTAAAAATACTTGTTCAGCTTAATAAACAATAAAAAAAAAGAAGAAATTTTGGCCTATGATATTGTGACCATGCCCCTTTAATTTAACAAACACAAATCCCCTTCACCCATAATTAGATTGCTTCACCCAAGGATGCACATTCAGTGCTAAGTTTTATTTTTGATTGGTCTAGTGGTTATAAAGATGTGTTCAAAAGTTAATATCCTGATATACAACCGACAAATTTTGATCACAATAGCTCATTAGAGCTTTAGCTTAGGTAAATAGATTATTAAAAAAAAAAGATGCCATCAAAATTTCTCCAACTAAGATATAGAGAAAAGTTTTTCAGACACATTTGAAATACAATTGATTCAAAATGAAAAAAAAAATATGCACATAAAAAACAGAAACTTGAATTCTCACAAAAACTTTTTACACTGTATATGTGAAAATGTTATTTGTTGGGGGTGAACAATACTGCATGAATATTCAACAACATACTACTCTTTTAGCTTATTCTATATTAACAATACATTATCCTGGTAATTCATAGGAATAATTCAACTTGTATGGTTTACACTACTTAATACATATTCAAAACTCATATTAAATATCCATGTTTATTTATACTTACATATCTCTTACTCTTTAACAAATGAACAATCAAGTTTAAGGGTACCTGAAAAAATCCTTTCTTTTTTATCCTTAAAGAAGGAAAAATCAGCTACCATTACACCTCAAATTAATACTGTAAGATCATCTTTGTTATGTAGCAAACCTATGAAGAACTTGATTAATGAGAAAAGTGATTCATTCTGATTTTGTGTTAATTTACTGACTTGCTCTATTATACATGTACTAAGCAGTATGCATTTTAAATACAAATTAATTATGGTACATCCATATTTTAAGATAAAAATATATAATTTAAAGTACACTGTATAAATAGATAATTGGTAACTTATTTTCAACAGCTATGTACAATGCCATTTTTGATGGTTTTTCTCATTATTATATTGTCAAATTTGTCATAAATAAAAATGAAAACCCAGTAGATTTTCCTATTAATCAGACATTTATGCATAGAAAGAACACATGAAGAAAAAAAAAGACTTAGCTGCCCTACATTATAATATACTCTAAAACATCATGTAAAACAAAATCTAATTTCATTGCCATTTATCTACAGTTTAACTTTGCAAATTTTGCCATTTTAAATCCTCATATATATGCATGTATGTATCATTTTCTTTCACTTTTTTTCAGTTTGAGATTTTCCCCTCCCCCTTCCCCCAATCATCAAAGATACAGTTCACATGAGCATGTATTGAATGATTTTTTCATCTTCTTCAAAACTTGCTAACTAATGTTAATTGCATGCAGAAGAAAGGTGGTTTTTAGCCAAATTGTGTGGTTTTATAACAAAAAATTTTTGGAGTCCAAATATGTGTGAAAGAAATAAAAATAAACTCTCAAAAATCTTCCTTATTAAGAAAATAAACAATGCCATAAAAATAAAATATTCTATAAATTAATAAATTCTGTAAACAATTTCAAGACAGTTTTTTTAAGTCCTATCAAACAAATGGAAAACTTAACTACATATACCTGGGTACACTTATTAACAAGCCTGTTTTACAACAGATATTCAAAACAAGAAAATTAAATATATATTTGCATGCTTTTAGCAAAAACTGATAAAATGATTACTGCGGTATCTTTGTGGCAAGCAGCAACCTTTAATACTTCTTAATACTTGCTATCTACATGTGTATGTACCACAGAATTAATTTCACTAAAATTACTAAGGAATGTGTCCTAGATTCAATGCATTTAATTTTTGGATAGTTATATTTGTACCTATACATTTAACAAGAATAACAGGATATGAGTATTTAAGCCTGATGTCTGAAATGTTGCAGTTCAAATCTAATAGGAATGATTCAAGTTACTAGACCATTATATTTCTTTCCTTCTTTCAAGTCACTAACTGTACTAAATGTCTTTCCCTATTCAAGTCAAATAAATCATGGCAGTTACAGGTTGAAATGTAATAAAATTATAAATAACACATTAATAGAAAAAAATCTTATTTAATAAATGAACGGTTTAACCCAAGATCAAACCAGTGGTAGGATTTTTTTTTGTTACGAATGCTGCTTAAGATATTCATTCTAAAATACTGGTAGTAAAAAATCTTATCCTGATTTTGAAGGACTTGAGAGAAGAGCTTTCGTTGGTGGAAGTTTTAATTTCCTCTCCAAGACATTATTAGACTATATGCCTGACAAATTTTTGAAGTGTCATGGTTCCTTGGGTTTCATTGGTGGCAGAAAGCTCCAGTCCATCATCGACAAATGTTCCTCTTGTTCATCTATTAAACTCTTTATCATATCGTCACACCTACAAAAATTAACATCAGAACAGTTGAATTCCATTATCCCAATCACTGAAATCTTAAATACCAAGAATATGTCAAAGTGAACTGGCAATCACAATCATGTTTTCTTTTTTCTTTTTTTTTATCTTGATTTTTTGGAATCTCTGAATTAAAGTTTTGGTCCAGTCAATTTTTGTGATAACAATGTTTGACTGTATTTTAAACATACTGCCAATATGTTAAATACTAACCATGCTCATCAGCAATATGAAATAGCTCACAAGATACTTCTTAATGATCAGTTTAAAGATGTTGAATACCAAGGAACTGTATATGTCAATGTGATTCAACCTTGTTTTAAAATTTGAATTTCAACTCTGTAATTTCAAACACTTTCACATTTTTCAGACAGTTTGGCCATGTATGTGTTATACTTAAGATACTGAATACAGTAGAACACGCTTATAACAGTGCCAGAGATGGACAATTTTACTTCGTTATAACCATAATTCATTACATTCATTAAGTTTATGATATATATTTTAAAGTAACAGGGAATGAGTCATTATAAGCATGTTCTCTATAAATGTTTTTTTACTGTAAATGCTTACATTTGTACAGTTTCTCTGTTTTCATCACATGCCTTCATGGAGTCAAGAGACGCCCCTCCATACATAGAAATCAACATGCTGGCATGGCCGCTACTCTTGTCTTGATGGTTCAATCCATTCTCAGTCTGTCAAAAGAAAAAAAGTGAAGAATGGACAACTCCTTGCAAGATTTCTGGAACAGAGTTGCTGTTCTCATAAAAATGGCAACACAGCTTTTACATATAAAATAGCTACATTTTGTATCTGCAAGGTTGAAACTAAGTTTTGCTTTGAGGCACTTGATAGAAAATAAAATGTGTAAGCAAATACACATACAGCTAATCTGAGAAGACTCCAGATATCAGATTGTCTCTGTTTCTGTGACTGTAACAGTTTGTTTTTGGCATCTGTGATCTGTTTACAGCACTGCTGAATGCTGGGTAATAACTGGAACAGTTCATGTTTGCAGGCACAGATTTTCCTACATAAAATATGAAAGAAAGAGTTTAAAAATACAGCATTTGGCTCATGTGAGCTACAAAGTGGTATTATATGTTTCATATATCAGTATAAAGAGCATACATATCTACAACACCTTGAGAGCATACATATCTACAATACCTTGAGTTTATATAATAGGAAAATAAAAGGCTGGTTGTGGAAACAAGAAAAACAAAAAGATCTAAGCCACAGGAATTCAATTTGTTCACATGCAGGTACAAAAATGCCTACTATACATTTAACATTCTGGACATAATGCAACTCAATGATACATACCCCAGATGTGTATAGAGGTCCTGTAGACTCTGATCTCGATTGAGGATACATTTCAGAACTAATTGTACCATGGGCTTGTGATCCTTGAATTGCTCACGTCCAGCTACAAGTAAATGAGTTTATTTCTTCGAAAAATTCAATCATACTTCTGATTCAATGATTGCAAATGTTTTTTTTTACATTTCTATCAAAATAAAATAATGATTTTAAGATATGAGATACATGTACCAGTATGTCTCTGCATGTTTGTAATTATAGTTTTTTAAAAATAATTTTTCTAACCAACCTTTGCCTGCTTGCCTCAACTCTTGGTATAAATCACTGGATTTCTTAGATCTAAATGACAAAGTGATAAATATTAAGTGAGAATCAAAATACTATAAATCCTGATTTCTGCACACTAAGATAACATGTGACACTAGTACTGACATTGTAAAGGTACATGCATCATAACAATTTGATGGTCAAAGTAAAATACAATTATGGCAAAGACTGATTCCCTCCATCCAAAATATCTTACTCTGTAAACTTGATACATGTATTTTGCTCAGTATTTTCTTGTACATTTTTTTTAATGCGGGTTAAGTTTTATATCATTTATGCTCTGATCAAGAAGAGTGCTTAAGCATGCTTCATCATTTTTAGTTTAGTAGGCTTGAGTCCATGCAGCTTGAATACAAGTGAAAATGACTGATTATGCAGTCTGAATAATATCAGTAATGGTTCAATTTTGATAACCTATTCTACAATATAAACTTACAAATTTTCAAGACTCTCCAACACTTCATGTTGTTTGGTTCTGGCAAATGGACTTTTCTGTAATTCCAAGATCTTGGTCTGCAGTGCTAAAGATTGCTGATGTAGTTTGTCAACATTGTGTTTCTGAAAAAAATGTAGTCAGTGCATTATTCGCAAATTAAGAAAAAACCTAATCAAAAAAAAAAAAGAGAGAGGGAAAAAGTTAGGAGCAGCATAACTACCAAATCTCTGTATATTTCAATCTCCTCCCCTATTTTCTTCCATTTGGCAACAACTTTTTCTGCAACTGTAAGGAGAATCATTCAGTATGTCTAAGTGCTTTGCATTTCTATCCAAACATTTTGGCTTAATTACAGTGGGTTGATCCTATATCTTAAAATCAACATGAAATGTCTTCAAAGTAAAGAGAAAGAGAGGGTGTTTTCTATTCACCAATTTCATTTCAATGTGAACAAAACTTACTAATTCCTTGTTCCCCACTTTGAATGTCATACAAATCTAAGTCATGTTGCAAACTGAAAAGAAACAATTTTAAGACACATTTAAATCATCAATGAATTTAGAAGAATTTTCAAGCAAAAGAAAAATACCTTTGGAACTATAACACTCACCACTCCTTGAAGTATTCAATTTTGGACATGAGTTGTTCATAACTACTGACCATATTCTTCTCCAGTTTTGAAAAACTGTTATTTGTTCTTAGTAAGCTCAACCTAAATGTACAGAAAAAGTAAAGTCATAACCCTTTAAGCAAATCAAAAATGATTCTGACATCTTGGTTTGTTCTCTAAGCGTTTCAATTTATGGTTTAATTAATGACTTTCATGTTACAAATGACTTGCATTTTTAATGATAATCTGCCCTTTTGGGGGCTCTTTTTTGGCACCTCTTTATATCATAATATTCAGCTTTATTTCAGCACTGAGTTACTGTATACAGGGAATTTTTCGCCCCTGTTTTATTTTTGCCCCTTTTGCCCATATCACAAGTGGTTGAATTTAAAATGGGCGAATTGAAAAAAAAAACAGTAGAAATTCTCAAACTGAACAGGGACTGGGTGATTTAAAATGGGCCAATTTGTAAGCGTGTAAAGGGGCAAAAATAACACAGGGCGAAAATAACCCTGTATACATTATTTCCCTTAAACCACCCCCTAGTGAAGCTTACATAGCTGCCCTTTGACCTAGGTTTAGTCTTCTGAAATCCACCACCTGCTGACCACAGAAATATACACACTCTGCCCACGCTCGCTTCTGCTCCTGTACAATTTATCATAATGGCAATATTTTGTCACAAAGTAAAAGTATGGTAAAATAACTGAACTTTTCTGGAATAAAAATACATCCACTGGTTACCCTGAAATTTGACAAATATCATTTACAGACAATCATCAAACTTGATGGGACCTATATTAAACTTGGAATTATCCAAGGATTTGAGAAAACTAGGATTAGAACACAATGGTTGGAACTGAAATTCATTTGTATTCAACATAACAAAGTTCAACTAAACATAAATGGTCTATTATCAGTATTTTTTCAAAGTACAGTACAGGAGGTAAAAGATATGGAGAAAAATTATTTTTACCTTGTACATTACCAAATTTTTAAATACATACTGGATATGGAAGAACTGTTGTGTGCTCCTTGAATATTCCCTGTACATTAGTGGGTAGAGGCTTATTCCTCCTGCTTCCCTCGCCTCCCTGATTATCTCCCTTGATGAACAGAAACACCACCCAGTCTTCTTCTGCCTGATTTATAGAAAATATCATTTTTAAATTCTAAATTATACTGGCACTGTAGAATCATCATTTTCAAGAGCACTTACATGTATTAACACAAAATGGCTTTCAGATGTCAGATTGCGAGAGCAATAGTTTGTAAGATGAGGGTTGATCAAGATATTTTGCATGGTTTTTATTGCCATAAAAATTTAAGAGAGTAATTTTATTTTGTGAGTTCTGCTTCTCGCAAAATCATACGACAATTTATTCCTCACCTATAATTAGGAAACTAAAGTATTTTAAGATAATTCACAGTGTGTAGAAAAAATTACATAACATACAGGAGCTGTCCAGCACTGATGAGCACCAAGATTAGGGTCAGGTGACGCCCCACCAGCCAATAGAATGTCTTGATCCTGAACTTTGACCCCTGTTTCTTCTTCAATTTTTTGCTGTAGATCTTGCATAGAGTAGTTTTCCACCAGTGGATATGAAAGAAGTTGATTATTTGGCACAAATAAGACTTGGACTATCTACAATATCAAATTAGAGATACTCATTTGTTACATACAGTTCCTAGCTTTTGACTTTTTTCTTTGCTTTTTTTTTCAGGAATTTATCTTTACTGATTAAACCTAACATCATTCATCAAATGGAAATAAAAAGAAAATACTTGAATTCACAGACAGATTCATCTACAATTAAACAGGGCTAGTTGAGGGGAGGGGGGCTTACCTTGACATTCAGCACTGTGTTCAGGACTTTAAAACACTGTGGCCTTCCTTCAATGAGTCCCCCTCCCCGAGATTTAGGGTCCCATCTCAGCATGAGACTCAACCACTGTTCAAAGTAAGCCTGCATACTCCTGAAGAATAAAATATGATATTGCTATAAATGTCTATTTATTTTGCAAAGTTTACAAGATGTTTCCTTTACATCAACAGTTCATGAATCATGGAACCAGGATAATTTGCATTAGAGTGCCAATGTCTGCAAGTAGTTATGAATTTCATTATGCATTGAAAAACATGGTAAAATTTATTTCATGTTTGTGCCAAATATTCTTGTTGAAGAGATACATAATCAAAACATGGTGGTAAATGACATGGTTGTATAGTGTAATTCAAAGCAGTGTAGAAATTTAACTTTAAAATGTACCTGCACAGATGCGTTGGTGTAACGATTTTCTTAGAGGATTTCACTTCTCCGCCCGAGTCATAATACACAGTGATGTCATCTGGTGACTTCTGGCGTACTTCTTCATGCCTAGAAAATAACCATTAAACTAATGCCACATTTACACTTCATTTGTACATGTATATGTCAGCTATAAGAAAGGATGGATATGTGACAAGTGCAGTTTACCATATCCATGTAAATGGTGAAGCTTATTCATGTGACAAGAGGAGCTAATGTGAAATCATCTTCGTTCATGGGGGACCAATGTTTGTGGATTTTGTGGGTCTTCATAACCCTTGAATTAACATCCCCGTTTATTTTGTAGATAGTTTGTTTCATTGAATTTACCATAAAAACAAGTACCGGCAAACCAATGAAACTACGACTCCACAAGCCAGCAAAATTTTGCTTGCCCACAAACATTGAACCCCTCCCCCCCAAACAATTAAAACGGTTCCACAGTAGTCAGTTGTGTGACAGGAGAGAGATATAACAGTTGGGGGTAAAACGTACCATGTGACAGGTGGAGCCTGTGGCAAGAACGGACGGAATCCCGTGATACACTCAAATACCAAGGTACCCAGTGACCAGTAGTCCACAGTACATGTGTACTTCTGACTGGCAAAAAGCTCGGGGGCCTGGCAAAGGGGAACAGTGTTATTTACAAGTGCATTGTGCAAGGTGCCAATTAAATCAAAAGTTACTTTTGAACACTGCTAATTATTAATTAGACAACTTCAGTTTCTTTTTTACTTACAAGATATTGCATAGTTCCAACAAAAGATGTGCACATACTGTTTTGGTCCAATTCTTTGGCATAACCTAAGTCTATAACCTTATATACAACCTGAAATAACATAACATACAGAATATTCTTATATTCTAAGCTTTTTACCACCGTAAAAAGAATTTTCAGAATTTTCGTTTTTAATGAATCATGTACATATTTGATTTTATTTAATAATCAGAGATTTACAGTATATAATAAAATTTAAACTTTTTTTTTTTTTACAAAATTAACTTAGAGTACAAGACAACAAGGTTTGACTGTATTAATATTTTCCCCATACAGAAAGGTTTAGAAACAATAGCGGAGAGTGACAAATTCCTACCCTTTCTTCTGTGGGGTGTAACACAATATTCTCTGGCTTTAAGTCCCTGTGTATGATTCTTTTGCTGTGTAGGTACTCTACTGCTGAGGCCACGTCTTTGACAAGACATCGGATGTCATACTGCTTCAGTCCTACACCATTAAATGGCTTGTTCAAAACCTACCAACAAAAAAGATTCAATGTTCAAAGTTAAAACTACTACAGTAAAACTTGTTTAGTACGAACATGGATATAGCATCCCGAATTCACGGATATAGCAAAGTTTTTCTGGGTCCCCGGCAAAATTCTTCACAAATCTTTGTAAAATTTTACGGTTATAACGAACTCTGATATAACGAATTTACGGATATAGCGAACTGATTTTGAGTCCCGTTGAGGTTAAATATAATGTATTTAAATCTTTTATAATGAACTTTCAAAGATTTTAAAAAATTGATAAATTGAACTTACTATATTTCCTTTTAGCATTTGTATATAAAATTCAATGCATAAGAAAACCTTAGTTATCGAAGATATGTTTTGTAATATTTGCTTCACTAACATAGTTGGTAGTAATTCTTGAAGGAAAACATGCATAGTGCGAATTCTATATAATGGTTATACAAGGCCTAAAATAAAAATTTGATTGTTTGCAGTTGCCGACCGACCCACTAAAAATGCACCGACCCAAATTTTTTTTAGCGATTTTGTAATATTAATTTTTTCCCCAATTTTTCAGGATGTTGAAACTGTTTCAATTTCAATTTTTGATGTTTCTATTAATCAGTGGTTTATAACAAGAGTGGAGCTTATTCATGTTTAGTAGGCCTATTAAAAAACTCAGTTATTTGTTATCTAGTAAGAAAAATTAAAAACAATTTTTTCTCAAAAAAAAAAAAAAAAAAGGAATGCCTACCTACCTACCCAGTCTATAAATTATAGGTCGGCAACTGCAAACAAAGAATATTTTAAGCTTGGCCCAATCTGATTAAAATCAGATCCTTTGATCCGCTCACATAGATCGCTACACAAGGATCTGAAGAAACCCCATTCAGGGTCATCTCCTGGTGACCTTTCTCATAAAAATATTCATGAAAATTTTGACAAATCAGAGAGATCGTACTGAAGCGACATTCGGGAAAACGAATATAGAAGTGAAAGTAGCAGCGGAGAAGATCTTATCATTTTGTACAAAACAAAGAGCTATAAAACAAGACAAAAGCAAGTACTTATTATACTACTGTACAGAAAAGAGTGTGGTCCTTCTCTTGACAGGCTACAGAAACTAGGTCACGATTTTTCCAATTGTGTATCATTGGGCCTTTCCCCTCTGTATCTGAATTCCAAGATACTTTCCAATTCTCCAAAGTGAACATTTGATTGGATAATTCAAAGGTCACCAGGAGATGACCCTGAATGGGGTTTCTTCAGATCCTTGTGTAGCGATTTATGTGAGCGGATCAAAGGATCTGATTTTAATCAGATTGATGGTTATAGAAATTCGTAATACGGATATAACGAATAACGGATATTGCGAATTAAATTTACAGGTCCCCAGGACTTCGCTATAACCGAGTTCTACTGTATATACAGGGTTATTTTTGCCCCATCTAATTTTTGTCCTTTCACATCTGCAAACAATATTGCCCCATTTATAATTTACCCATGATAGAGATAATGTTTTTTCTTTGAATTTGCCTAGTTTTAAATCTACCCACTTGCGAGGGCAAATACGGGGTTATATATATTTTCCTGCAAAGTTACACACCATTTGCCCTGGTAATCACACATACGAATTTTTATGTATTTCAAAAATTCTGTTTTCTTACAGAAATTTAAATATCTCTAAAGCTTGCCATTTTTCTATGAGAATGGATTTTTAAATTTGCATTGCAGGTAGAATATTAAAGAAAAACACTGAATTTGATACATGGTTTCCACATTAATAGGCATAAAAAAATATAATTGAACACAGTGAAACTTAATTTCAATGTCCCTAATCTAAATTTCAAGGAATTCAGAAACTTGATATAGAGTAAGTTTGTTGATACCTTCCGTAGATCTCCGCCTGAGCAGTACTCCATGGCTAGAAGTGGTAGCTCCCCCACACTGACGTTCAGTTCCGATGGGACCTCTTTGCCTGCTATGACGTTAGGGTGGTTCAGTCGCCTCATGATGTCCACCTCCAGGGTCCAGCGTTCCTTGTGCTTCCGGCTCATTTCACTCTGTATCCGACATTTCTTCAGGGCTATGTATTCTGTGTTACTCTGCCAGATATTTACATTGATTCAGATTAAAGATATCCTAGGTAATAATCCTAGCTTACAATACTGTATACAGGGCTATTTTCGTCCCATGTTATATTTGCCCTTTCACACTTACAAACAAGTTTGCCCCATTTTAAATCCACACAATCAAAGTTTTGTTTGAGAAATTTTACTGTATTCTTTGAATTTCGCCCATTTAAAATTCGCCCAAAAAAGGGGAGGGCGAAAGGGGCTAAAATAAAAAGGGGGTGAAAATTTCCCTGTATACAGTATATATATAATCATATAATTTTTTGGGGGATGGCTTACCTCATGTTTCCAGAGAACAACTTGACCAAAGCCACCTGAGCCCAGTACCTTCTCCTCCAACCATTCTCCTTTCTTCACTGGCTGACTGCTAGCCATGTCACCTGAAGAGAAATACAGGTATGCATGTATATAAGCAATTATTGAAGAATTTTTCAATGTAATGATTCGTGTTATTCTGAAGATTTTTCCTGTAAGGTATAACAGTATTTAAAAAAAAAAAAAAAGAACCAGTTGGATAATGCATAGTAGCAATTCAAGTGCCATACTTTTCAAGAGGAGGAGATTCCCATGCGCAGATCTATTAGAGTTTTGAAAGTCAACTATGTCCAATCATGGCTAAAATTCTTGAGATTTTCACCAAAAAAAAATCAGTAAAAATTTCTATGTAAAATTTTGATTTTCAATTTGATCTCCCAACCTTGAAAGGGGGAGGTGGGTGATTTAAATAAACTCAAATCCTCAATATCCAAGAATGCTATTTCTTGCAAAGCAATATGAATTGACATGATCCACTCTCCTTTCTTGAGATTAATTTTTATTCTTACTTATATATGTAGGACTCCAAAGTCCGATGGTCACGCCAAAGTCCAAAGGTATGCGCCAAACCGCGATGGTTTGACATGCCAAAGTCCAATGGTGCGGAAAAAAATTAACGTTTATGATGTTATAATAGTACTACTGCGCAAAAATGTGATGCCTCACCATGCCAAGGCCCGACTGTTTAAAATAAATACAAATACATATAAATATTAAATGCAAAAGATTAACCCTCATCTTTTGGATATAGGTGTGAAACTAACCCTAATCAGTCGAAAAATGCGTAATGCTTTGTAACTATAACCTGAATATCTTGGATGGGTTTTAGACTAATCCAAATAAGTCGAGGACTATAGGCTAACCATAAAATCTCTCGGGTGGGCTTGAAGAAACACATTATCAATTCAATAGTGTTCAAGAACTAACCCTTATCAGTGGAGTGATGTGCGAGGACTAACCCTATAATTAATGCCTCTACTGGCCAGGTGAAAACAATAAGCAAAATCAGTAAAATTGTATACAAGAGACGAATACTGATTCAATGGATTTTGAATGCAGGAGAATGGCATGACGTCGGACTTTTCTGACATCATAAACATTGATCCTTCCTCCGCACCATCAGACTTTGGCATAGCAGACCATCGCACTTTAGTGCGATGTGTGTCTCATAGGATTCTAGCCATCGGACTTTGGCGTGACCATCGAACTTTGGCATCCGTAAAGACAGCGAGTCATCGGGGTTTGGCGAAGACCATCAGGGTTTGGCGAGACCATCGGACTTTAGCATCACCATCACACTTTTAAGTCTTACATATATTCCCATAAAAATTTGATGATTTCCATTTGTGACTCCATCCTATGCTTATGGTTCATGATTCAAAAATGAACAAACTTGAATATACCGGAACACTATGTCAGGATTCTGGGCTGCTGGCACTTGTCAGAGCACTGTAGAGTACTATATTTTCATGACACCTTAATTTCACAAGTAAATTATGAAGTTTTTATTAGCGAGACAAAATTTTCGCAAGCTGTGGTTTCTGTTATTTATAATCTTTTATAAATTACAAACGTACATGAGAATAAAATTTTTGGGAGCAGACAGTCTTACATAATTACAGGAAAATAAAATTCTTGTGAATAAAAAGTGATTTCCAGTTTTTTCCTGGACCACTGGTTTTTGAGAATTAAAGAACATTATCAATTTAGACATCCTCCTTTTACTTTTTCTTGATTATTCAATTCATCCAGAATTCTTAATGCCAGGTTATTTGAAAAATAAGTACTAAAGAAGTTGAAAATGTGACAAATAAGCAGAAACAAAGATTGATCAATGAAATATTTCTGGAGCCAGGAGGGGAAAATGTTTTGAAGAAAAAAACCGTTGCAACATTCAGATCAACAGTCTGAAATAGCAAATCCCTTGTATCATCTAGCAAGAGCACGGTAAATTACATTTCAGTTTGAGTTAATGCTTAAAAATATATAAGAATAAAAGAAATCTCATCATTTGTAGGCTTAGCTAGTAAACAGAATTGTGAGACATGAACACTGGTGAAATGTTTACCAAAAACTAGGTCAATGATGACTCATGTCATAAGAAGACACCATCCAAAATCCACGAGTGACAGTTCCTGAAAAATTGTGTTAACACTCAACTTATCCAGTTACATGCAATCATTCATTCATGGTTTCTTCGTAGCACTGTATCTTGGAATAGACGATATACTTCGTCAGTTTTGTGTACTTCGCAAACTATGTCACTTCGGAATACTCTGGCAATATCCGGAGAATATCCAGGTTATGCTAATTCCTGTTAGGTATAGAAAAAATATTTTGAATTGTCTATTGTCTGTTAAAAAATTAAAAAAATATTTGAAAGGTTTATTATTTAAATGAGATTTATTTTGATGATTACAAAAAGAGTGTAGATTTAATTTTTTTTACTCGCCTAATATAAAATGCAAAAGCGTTTACAGCTGTTTAACAGGTGTCTTACTTTTATTAGTCACCCCTTATATTGACTAGAGGATTTCCGAAATAGGATTCCCCCAAACGAGAGAAAACCTTCAACAAAACTGAAAGTGGATGGTGAGATAAACATAGGTTTGGGTAAGTAAGAGTTTTAAATTTGGAATATATTTTGAAAGCATTCAAAGTATAACGTGTTACACTTTTGATAAATATAGATGTCATCCACAGATCTAGTGTTTACAATGTGTACAGTTACAGGTGACATTTGTCAGGCATAATGTAACTGGACAAAAATTATTCCCTTTTCTCTCTCTCTCTCTCTGTAAGTATACAGTACAATTCAAGTATTTTTCAAGAAAAATTGATACACTTTAAATTAACTGATAATTGAACATATATAACAGGAAAGGAGAAAATGTATGGTTGGACTTACCAGGAATCGAACCCGGTACGCCTGCATGAGCATGAGCATCACTAGTCAGGTGCTCTACCACCTAAGCTATCCAAGCCAATATTCACAGCTCAAACCATTGCATTCCTTTCTCCTTAAATGGTGTTCGTCCTTACAAACACAACCAAAGTTCTTATTAGCCCCTTGCAGGACTTTCACCTGCACTTCCAGGAGTGGTCAAGTCGGTACCAAATTTGTAACAGGAAAGGAGAAAATGTATGACTGGACTGGGAATTGAACCTGGGACCCCTGCATCACTATTCAGATGCTCTACCGACTGAGATATCTAGGCCGATATCCACGGCTCAAACCATTTCACATAGAATAAGATACAGTAAAGTTGATACAATAGTGTAATGGTAAAGAAAATAACTGACTGCCAGTTAATTGGGACTTGAAACCAGGCTCCGGGGCCATAAAACTTAGCCAGCTCACTTTTGAGCTCAACCTAAAAATCTCAGATTCCGGGCTAAACTTAGACCGTCTCACTTTTAGTGTGCCATAAAGGGAGATTGAGCTCATTTTAAATTTTCTAACTCGAGACAGAAAGTGAGACCAAAACTGAGTAGGATACCAAGTGCATTGTGGGATATTGTTTACACGTGACAGTGCCACGCCCACTAGGTATTGCGCAATATTAAAACGTATTAAAATAAAATTCAAAATAAAGACTGTTTTTGTTCTTTATGCTTACTATATGTTAATTGTTACGTCATTTTTAATAATTGACGTCACTGACGTCATCAACTTTCATCAAAGACGCAGGTAAAGAAACATGGCAGATAAAGATATCGAATTTCTTTTAACAAAAAATAATGAGGAAAAAAACGTTAACGAACCATACTGGAGTAAGCTAGAAAAAGAAATATTATACGAGGAAGCAAGTCGGCGGGTTGATGTTTTAGACTCCAAGTTTAAAGGTGCCCAGTGCGGCAAAGCAGAGAAAAATCGCGCTTGGGAAGATATATATAACTGCAATTGTCAATGCGTAAGTATAAAAACTTTCTTTAAAATTTTATTAGGAATAAACAAAATCTTACTTAATATTATATATGCAATCAGCAAATTTTTAAAAATGAGGGATATTCTATTTACTTGATCAATGTTAGCGAAACGAGAATTGAAGAAAAAGGGGGGGGGGGGGTAGAACTCAGAAAAAAAAGAACTATTTATGAAAAAAGTTAAGGCCATATTTTAACCCGTTATTATATATATGTATAGTGTGCGTTGTCACTTTTAGGGGGTGGGTTAAAAATGTTTTAAATATACTGTAAATGCATGATATGTGTATTCTCCATTGCTGCTTGTTTTTTTTAAATATAAATTCGGATAGGTGTTTTTCTCTAACATATTCCTCTTAAACCCCCCCCCCCCCCCAACATTTTAATACATTTTTGAAAACATGAATACTGAGAAAAGATATAAAAGTTAAAGAAAAATGAAATTATAATAATTATTTTAGAGGAGATACTTACTCATCTTAAAAATATTTATCACACTGAAATTATGATTCAATGATGAAGTTTGTATATGTACGCCATAACTTCGTTTCATATGCTAAATACTATCATTCAGTAATTAGGGGAAAATGGAGAGAAAAAATCCAGTATGCATGATTTGAAACTGGGGCTTCTCCTATCCTAATCGAGAACCATCGGAAAACTTGAATTTGCGAGGAATTAAACAAAACACAGTGACAAGTTTAGCATTTATTAAACCTTTTGACCTCAAAATCAAAAGGCGTCTTCTTTAGGTCATAGGTCATATTTGTTATTTTGAAATAAAATTTAATTTCATTTACATGTGAGAGAATAAATCTTTAAAAAAGTTATTAAAATATACAAGCTACATAAATTACATCATCATGACATCTATATCATTCACCGTTCTATTTATATAAAGTAAAAGAGAGACAACTCGCTTTGACTCTAAGGCACCAGGCAGGGTACTCTTCATTTTGCCCCCCCCCCCCCCCCCCCCCCCCCCCCCCCGTCTATATGACATTACATGCATATTTTCATAAAGAGATAATGTATGAATGCAAATTTCATAAATATTTATTCTATGATGTGATGAAGATTTTATCGTACTCATTTAGAAAAGGGACCACTAAGAGAAGAACCGTGAAACAAGTGAAAAAACAATGGTCAAACATGAAGCAACGAGGTAATCATTATTTCTTTATAGTCTGAAAAAAGATCATATATTTTGGCATATACCGGTATGCTACACACCTAAACGAAGAAAGATATATTAATTTTTAAATAAACTTACCTGTGGCTATATTTCAGTAATTATCAAGACCGTTTAGCATTAAAATATACTCGACTTTATTGTAATAAATAATTGCCATTTTTGCAGCTAAAAAACTAAATAGTCAGGGGAAGTATCCCGTGACAGGTGGAGGTCCAAAGCCCCCTTCTCCCTCCCCTATAGATGAGGCTGTGCTCTCCCTCCTAGCCGGAAGACCCTCCCTGGAGGGTATTGAGGGAGGATTAGAAACTTCAACACAAAGCGCATCAACTTCACGTCATTCAGGTAAACAAAAATTAAATGAAAAATAAATAAAAATGTATTTGTATAAATTTTGCCAAGTAAGCTAATAATACATTGACATTATGAATTTATTTACATATACATATCCAGTTTATTTTTCATAATATGTAATACCGAAAAATTTCGTTATGTAAAATTTAGAACAACAGTCAGTGTCCAATCCAGAAGAGAACATTGAAGAACAACCCGGACCTTCAAGCACAGCACAGTCTAATGCTTTCCAGACAGAGACACCTAAAGATCCATCCAGAAAAAGAAAAAATAACGTTAATGACATACACGTAGAGGTGTTATGTACTGAAAAAGAAAAGGTTAAATTACAAATAGAATACATCAAACTAAAAATGAAAAAAGTCTCGTCCGAAATTGAGTTGATTGAAATGAAAAAAAATTCTCTGATGCCCTCCAATTGCCTATCACTTTCACAGTTTACTGAACTGTGAATCAGTCATTCTACGATAAATGGACCAATTAAAGATATAAAACATGAAAAAAATTATTCATCGCAATCTGTTTGGGACTCTTTTACGGCTGAGAATTCCATATTGAAATTGTAAATATATGAAGCGATATGAAGATTTGAAATTGAATTAGTTTTTCAACATTACATTATTTTCTTATCGAAACTTTAACTGCTTATATATACATGTATAGGTAAATATTTACAAAACCATGTGACTGTGTATGCTGAGATTTTAGAGTTGAAGTCGATCATAAAATCTATAGTCAAGATATATTGGAACGGTATATTTTTAACCGACATAGAAAAATCTTAATTGGTCACGTTTTTGTAGATTGACTGGAATGCAGATTCTCAGATATGGTAAGAGATATTGTAATGAACTTTCTGCTTACTGAGCCTTTACATGTGTGAGGACTTTTGAGGAGCAATAATAGTTTTATTAAATATACACCTGTAGTAGGCCTAGATTTCACGTCTTATTGGATATATAGTATGTTAATTCATTCTTGTGTTTTAATAGATTTCCATATTAATCACTCTCAGTATTTGTCATTTGTTTATTGTTATAAGCGCTTGAATTCCTTTTTAACTGTTTGCTTTAGAAAAACAGAGAGAATTATACTCACTCTCAGAAGTAGTTCAAGGCTATGTGGTCACATACAGTTTTGCCATCGCCTCCCAAGTCTTCCGCCTGATCCCACTCATCATTAATGTCGATGTCCGCATTTGGCAAAATGTCTCCACGCAAAATGCCAATATTGTGCAAGACGCAAGAGGCAATGATGGCTACACAGGCCCTCTGGGGTGATACTCGTAATTCAGTATGTAAACATGAGAACCTGCGCTTAATGATGCCAAATGTCTGTTCTATTAACACCCTTGTCCTACAGTGGGCAGTATTAAACCGTTGCATATGAATCTCAGATGGGTTCAGGTATGGCGTCATAAGGTAGGGTTTGAGGGCATACCCCGAATCTCCCAAAAGTATTCCTTGTATGTGTCCTGCAGTGAAAATTTAAATGAATTTCTTTTATGAAATCAAGCTGAATAAAGACCTTTTTTTGCTGAATTGATTTTCAACAAAAATTTAAAATTATATATGTTTGACATTACATTACTTTTTTTTAAATTATACTAGAGTGCATGAATCGATTTGATGAACTGAAACACACCTATTCGGAAGCATACGTATTTTAAAATTTTCAAAATTTTTTTTTTTCCAAAACAGGAAACATGAAAAATAAATTATTTATAAATAACAAGAAATTGCAATTTTCAGGCAAGAATCGACGAGAAATTGATTAAGTCATAACAACGTACCATTTTCAAATTCTCTGC